CAGGCTAGACCTCCCAAGTCCCTCTCAATCCAACTCAAAGACAAGCGTCAAGATAGCGTCTTGGATTTCTTATTTCTTCAAGAACTAGGTACCTACGTCACCGTCACCATCGACCCTAATTTTTTTCTGTTTCCGTACCCGAGGAGTATTGACAGGACTTTTGATTATACGTATTCTAGTTCGAGGAATATTCTGCTTTGATTTTTTTCCATATTTGAACACCATACGAAGTATGAAAGACCAAGATTATACAGGTACTTACATAGGTAATAGATAATCTTGCAATTTCTTCTTCTTACTTATTGTTACAAGTTATCCTTGATACTCGTACTAGGTTTTCGACTTTACCACTTTTTGCACAGAATGTTTAATCTATACTATACATTTTTTTTTATCTTGTAGGTCGGCAAACGAGCAGACGGATTACCTGATGGTAAGCAATCAGCGCCGCCCATGGACACATGGGGAGGGATTGAGAAGAGGAAGGATTGGGCCTCCGGTAACCTCACTCAGACGGCGAAATACAACACTGTGGTTGTTTCACGCCGGTTTTCTGTGAGGCCGTGGTATCACTCCGGTCGAGCCGACCCATTCGTGCCGAAGCAGGGCTCTCCCACACTAAGCACACATATATATTTTATTATTATAAATCTGGAGGGTTTGTTTGTTTGAACGCGCTAACCAATGGTTCGATTTGAATGATTATTTTATATTTGTTAGTCCATTTATCGAGGGATGCTATAGGCTATAAAAAAAAATTACGGCCTCTCCCTTAGTCCTCCACGTCAAACGACCACTCGTCACCTGCGTCCATTGGGTCCCCGCGACTCTGAGGACACAAATTTAAAAGAAACTATTTACTACCACGAATTTTATAAAACAAAATGACACACTCACTAGGAATGTCAATGTCGTTAGTTAGCGCTTAAACTAATAAATATCTAAAAACCATAGTTTGTAAAAAAACAGGACACCTCAAATCATGGCGACCCTACACGAAGGAATAAACCAAAATATTGCGTACATAGTCATAAAGTAGGGTGCTTGTTGTCTTAGGAGCTTCATCCTGAGATTGTTCCACCTTCTCTCGGCACATTACGAAGGAATTGCGTTAAGATTGCAGACCCTTAATAGCTCGGACCCTATTTTTGGCCTCACTTACTTGGCTCTTCTAAAAATAGACCTTTGTGTTTAGTGTTCTATACACTTATATTTGTAGGTTATGTGTTGAGTCATACTAAGATAGGAAAAAATTTTAAAATAAATTGTGACTGCCTCCTCCTCCTCTGTTGTTGCGGGTGTCCATGGGCGGCGCTGATTGCTTTCTATCAGGTAATCCGTCTGCTCATTTGTCGACCTATGTAACATATAAAGAGATGTTCTATAGAGCCAACAGAACACTACATGTGTGCAACAGCTCTGAGCTGTTGTTCAGCCAGGGTTGCAGGTCAAGCTAATGTACCACTGCCCCGGCCTGAAACAGCAAAAAGAACGTAGTGGTTTTAGTCAGTAGACATGCCCAGGGCGTAAGAAGGCATTTGATAATACTTTACCTTCAAAGAAACCTACCGACTATTTGGTATATAACAATTGTAAAAGAGATAAATTGTTTCAAAATTATGTATGTAATGTACTCACTATTGTATGAAATAGCAAGAATTTATAGCTGCGAGTAAAATGATACCTAAGTATCTATACCTATGTTACTATGTTCATTGTAATTATGTTAAGTAGGACCCATAGAAATATGAAAAACTGCTTTCAAATTTTTTTTTATGTGGTAGGACGGCAGACAAGCCGTTTTCTCGTTTGATGGTAAGATTACCTGACAGTAAGCAATCGGCGCCGCCCATGGACACCCGCAGCAACGAAAGAATTACGAGTGCGTTGCTGACCTTTAAGAATTTGGGGGATTTAGAGATTGGGGAAGGGAAGGATTGGGCCTCTGGTAACCTCACTCACACGGCGAAATACAACATTGCGATAGTTTCACTCCGGTTTTCTGTGAGGCCGTGGTATCATTCCAGTCGAGCCGACCCATTCGTGCCGAAGCATGGCCCTCCCACAGTTAAATATATGTATGTATCTATGGTAGGACTGCTAGCTACCTCGTGTGAGTGACACAGCGTGAAGGCACGTCACCAAACTATCACGCGACGGTTTCTCAAGAACACCAATTGTCGCATCGCCGCCGGATGACAGCTAAACTCTTGCTTCCTTCGCTCCTGCTTGCCGCAAGTTACAAGCGGATAGGTAGCGGATAAAACCTAGATATAGTAAATAAAAATAATTATCAAAATATACCGTTCGTTTTTTTACGTTAACCTTTACCAATAATAATTTGCAACGAATTAATTTATTCATTTCGACATGTGTGTGTGCAGATATGTATGTACCTACTCATACTATCTCTTAGTCGGACCGATTTGTAAGTCAGATTAAAATCTACAAATCAGTGAAACTTTTATGCCCTAATACTTAAAACATTAATATCTAAATATGCATCTACGTATTGCATTGCAAAGTGTAATAAATACCTTAACACTGAATAATTTCCTTTGTATTATCATATTTATTGTGTACAGTCAGTATAGTCACCTGGGGTAATGATGTAATTACTATAGATGCTAGTCATCAATATGATTCATTATTTAACGGAAACAGTTTTACAACAAATGTATCAAGACAAGATGTAGTACATTTTAAAATTTATTTATCCATGACTTTATTATAAGTAAAAAATCTTTACTTTATATTTTTAAAGACGTTTTAAATTAATTCAACATTAAAAATTCTACGTATAAAATATCAAATACACCCCGGTCGAGCCGAATACTATAGTATCAGATTAACGTTTAAATTCATTTACTATTTATTACTGTAACAACATCGCCGTATCTTACAATTTAGACCAGCCCCCTAACTCGACCACATGCCAGCCCACGTGCGTCGTCTCAGGTCCAAACGAAAACTTTACACAAACAAAACGTCAAACCGACTTTTACTCAACGAGGTTCAGAGATATCATCTGCTAACATTATCGTCATCTCAATTCCCTTTAATTGGGCTTATTTAACATGATAACCCTTCTTCTAAGAAATAAATTTACAACAACGGCCTACGACGGAAATTCTCTGTTAAAATATAACTGTTTTACTAACTAACTAAGCCACCGATTGTATTGAAAATTGTTAAATATAATTCCGATCGTTAAATCAGTAAGAACTGGCATTGTAAAAATTTCGCTAAGCAAGGTCTTACAAGTTAGTAGAAATCGTTGGTAAAGCGTGATATATAAAATATATATAAAATATACGTCATCATCTTCAGCCTATAAGTGCCCACTGCTGAGCAAAGGCCTCTTCTCACACGGAGAAGGTTTGAGCATTAATCACGCTTGCTCGAGGCGGATTGGCGATTTCAAACTAATAATTAGAAATTATAAGTCCAGGTTTCCTCACGTTGTTTTCCTTCACCGTATGTCAATGGTGTACATATAATCATAGAAAGTACATATAACTCGGGAAAGTCACATTGGTACTTGCCAGGTTGCCTGAATATCAGTGTCGGGCTCATTGTGCCCAACTTTTTTTAAGTTGACGAACCATTCGGATTAGTTATGTCTGCCAACCTTGCGAAGTAAGTTTAAATACTATTATTATAAAGTCAATTTTACTACCATTATTATAGCTTTTCTTTCAACAGCTGCAACCACTCGACCGTAGCCAAAGCTGCCGAAGAATCGAATATAGAACCGACACTACATTACTAAACTTCAGCCGGGGCTGCAAGCGCAATGTAGCACTGTCCCAGCCTGGAGCAGAAAAAACACCATTATATGGTTTTTAGGCAAATACAGGGAGAAGTCATTTGATGATTTTCCCCTCACAAAAAAAACCCACGACACATGAGAAAATCCTAGTGCTGGCGGAATTTTTAATAAATTAATAAAAATAGAATCCTTCATCCTTTGAATAAAATAAAAAAATAATACCATACCGTAAAATATTGCTCATTATATTATATATATTAATTACTATAATAACAGTGTGGCACATAAATATAACTATTCTCTTTGTTTACTATAATGCAATAATACTTGCGCATACGCATGCACGCACACAGACACACACAGTTTTTCCTGAAACATGCACGCGAGTGGATCGCCGCTCTTCCGGTCATGCGCAAAGAATATACAATTAGGGGGAAAAGTGTTTGTGTGTGTCTCGCTTCAAATTGAAGTGACAGAAAATATACAATTGATAAATTGAAGCCATTTTAAAAGAATAGAAAATTATATAGACTGCTTATAAATAAATACCTTTGTGGAAAAAATTACTTGTAGCTACATTGTTTATGAATGTGCGTTTGCGCATATCTTTCGTCCGGCAAAGATAAATACATATTTGAAGTCTGTAAAGTGCTAAATAGAAAAGAAAAACAGATTACAATTTAAATTATTTTTATTGTGTATAGGTACCAACATCATCGTTATTGCAGTTGAATTTGAAATGTGTCTCAAATAAGAGTAAGGTTTATTTTCCAATAACAGGATGTGGTCTCTTTTTACAAACAAGGTTCAGTTAGCGATAACAATACTTATAACTTGATTTGTTTCGCGTTCATTCACGATTTGAGGCATTTGTCGCGAGCAATTCTAAACGATTAAACCATAATTTTTCTAGTAACGCTGTATCTACTATCAACGTGTAATACCTATCTTTATTGTTAAAGGGAAACTTATAATTGGCTTTGTACAGAATAAGGAATATGAATTTTATTACAGTTGGTGGATATCCAAACAAAAATTTGTTTTATGTTGGAATGTAGGTAAAGAATGCGTAACAAGGGAATTAATAGTTCACTGAATCGAGAAATGTTTTCTATAGGCCAATGTAATCGAGCAATTGTTCCGTTATCAGAAGTAATTAAAACAATGTTATCGGTATCAGAGTATCACCGTATATACCGTTCAGTTGTCCCTTCTTTGTTCCCTGCTCTTTGACCGGCGCCGGCGCATTTTATAAAGCAACAAAGGTCGAGCACAACAGCTCATCCGTTCAGTCCGGTCAGTCTGTTGCGGTCGCGCGAGTCGAACACACGTTAGCGCGCGATTTAATCACAAATAAATAAATTCAAAATGTTGTTCTACGTAGTATTAACAGTGCTTGCTGCCAGTGCTAACGCCAAGTTCTACAAGGACTGTGGTAATTATATATTTTCCTTATATTGCCTATGTTTTGTACCTTAAGTTATCTGATACAAGCGTTTTACGCTTTATTAGTAAATTGCGTGTATTGTACCTACATGCGGCTGATTTAAAGATGTTGGTGTGTAGCGAAATGTGTTGTAATATTGTCGAGGTATTGCTGTTTAAATATATTTTGTACAATATGAAAAATGATTAACATAAGGTTCAGTTATGGGGAGCTACCAAAAGTATATTTGACGCGAAACTATTTATTTTACCCCTTATAAACATTTCATTAAAATTTAGAACCTTTAATATAATATTTATTAAGTATAAAAAGCATACACTGTCTTGTCTACATCTGTTATCGATCATCCTTCTACCCACACAAATTTGCATTAGTGCAAAGACATAACATTGCAGCAGAGATGTTGAGAAAAACGGGAGAAAAAAGGATTATTTTGATCATATGGTGTGAATAGGTAAATGCCCCACTACTAACCTCTTCCCACACGGAAAGGAAAGAATAAAAGATAAATATATAACTAAGGAACCGCCCCGGCATCTCACAAGTGCAATGCTGACACTAAATTTCTCCACTATTTAATGGATGTTATCATACATAATTATAAACCGTAGTAGTCTTAAATCACTCCATCTATTGAAAACCGCATTAAAATCCGTTACGTAGTTGTAAAGATCTATGTACACATAGGGATATATCTAGGGCCATAGAAAGCGACTATGTTTTATACTATGTAGCGATTAATTGAATGAATAAATATAAATGAAGTGAAGGCGCTTAAGCACGATTTTATGTAATTACTAGCTTTTGCCCGCGACTCCGTTCGCGTGGAGTAGTGACTTTCTGCAAATTTTTGGTACCAAAACTATCCTATGTCTTTTCTCGAGTTCCAAACTAAGTCTGTAGGTACCTACTAAATTTCACAAAATCGGTTCAGTAGTTTATGCGTGAAGAAAAGACATAAAAATATTTTGAAAATGTAGGCAGCCAGCAATTTCTTAAGTAAGATAACAAACATACGAGATAAAGCTTTGGTTAAAACCTACAATTTATTATACCTAACAGTAAATACTGTCTCCCTTCTTAATCAATCTAGATTTTCCTATTTGCATAGCGAATAATTTAGATAAGAATAAATGAATTTTAAAATACCTTCATTGGTGTCGTTGTGACCTGGAAGTTAGGTCGGCCGCTTCTCATGCATGAGGGTGCGGTTTCGAAACCTGGCAATTACCAATGTGATCTTTTCCCAGTTATATGTACTCTCTATGATTATTGACATACGGTGAAGGAAACATCGTGAGGAAACCTGGTACTTTATAATTTCTAATTATAAAGTTTGTAATAGCCAATTCGCCCTGAGTAAGCGTGGTGACTAATGCTCAAACCTTCTCCAGATGAGAAGAGGCCTTTGCTAGTAGGGACACTTATAGGCAGATGATATGACACATTAATTACAACATGCAATTATTACAACATTTAGCAAAACCAGTATCATAAAATGTCCCACTACTTGTACACAGAACGGTAACATATGTCATTATTATGTAAACATAATAATTACAATAGACTTTAATGTGTAGTCATCATAAATAACAACATAAACACACACAGCATCCGTATCTGTGTGTAATAACATAACATTATTATAAACATTTTATAATTACATTCATCATTATGTCATTTATACTTATAAGGGCTTAAGCTACAGTCTTGTAGATCAATCGGGTATGTATATTTTTGTTATATTTTTTTTATTAAAAAAAAAGTAAAAAATCATTTATTTCAATCAGGCTACAAGGTTCAAAAGTGCCCACGCACTTTTGAACGTCAATCAAAAAAGAAAAAGAAAATATATTTCAATAGGTTTAAATTTATGCGTGTCAGTCTGTCCATCTGTCCTCTAGTGAAGCTACATATTTGCACGTTCCAAAGTGTAGATTCCGAAAAAGAAGAACGAGCAAGAAACTCCATTCTTAGGGAAGGCCTAATCACAATAATATAATACGTAACATATTATAAAACTTAAATTGCCAATAACAAGCCTCCACAGATAATTTCAACCTATCGATAGTGACAAGTCCTTATAAATAATTACACATTATGTAGGTTCATTCAGTCTTTTTACCCTTGGTACTTTCAGTTTGATAGTAATTTCTAGCAAGTTACATTGTTTACAAATTTTGTTATGGGACTTCTACTGACTAAAGCTACCTGGCTTCACTGACGAACAGACTGACAGACTACTATTCTATTTTGACGGTTCGAAAGTACCTATTTATGGTTTAGTTGGAATAAATGATTTTGACTTTGACTTTGATTTCAAGACCATCTCCTTCCTCCTCCTGCTTTGAACTAGGCCGCGGTAAAATATTGTACTTGTTCTCACAACGGCCACAGCCCCAAACCGCTTATACAGCGTTCGTCGTAGTTCTATTGTTTACTGCTTCTGTTATTAAGAAGACAAGTTATCTCCAGTCTAATAACACTTACTCATTTATATTTGACTAAGCCCGAAACCATGGTGTGGCCTGTGGTGGGTAGGTGGGCCACACTTTTTTTTGTGAGGGCAAAATCATCATTCTCCCGCTCAGGGCAGGGCGGGAGGGAGTGTCAGACTCTTGCTGACTAAAAACCCCCCTGTTCCTTTTCCTGCTCTGGGCCGAGGTCGCGGTGCCTCATTGCGCTTACCCCGCAACCCCGGCCGAGGTGGGCCACACTTGTGGTGATAACAGGGCCAGTGTTTATCAGGTAATCCGCATCCTCGTTTGCCGACCTATCACATAAAAAAACTATGTATGAATGTAACTTAAAATTAATTGTAGATACTTAATTATATTTACTATGTGGGGTAAGTAGAAAAATAAATGTAATAAAAATGTTTCATCGTTTGCAAAAACAAATATTAAACGTCCAGATAACCTTTTGATATCGCCACCCACGAAGTCATAAACGCAATTTTCATGTCCATTGTCACATGACGTATGATATGACCTACGTCGACATTTGGGCAACCGGCTGCCGTGCAACGTATCGTGGGTTCGATTCCCGCACGGAACAAATCTTTGCGTGATTCATAAGTTGTTGTTTCCGGTCTAAGTGTGATGTGTATGTATAACTGTATGTTTATAACGCATCATCCATGACACAGGAGAAATCCTAGTGTGGAGCAATGTTTTCAAAAAACGACAATAAAATAAAAGGTACGAAAACTAAAACCCAACTACGAAAAAAAATCGAATTCTGATAAGTACTTAGTTTAGAAGTTACGAGGGAACAGATGAACATACATACCTACATACATACACACATACATAAACTGTCAAAATCATAAACCTCCTTTTGCTTTGCCGTAGTCGGGTAATAAGTTTTAATTATTGGCAAATAATAATATTGCGCACACTCATTTGTTAAATACGTATCTAAAATAAATAATATTAATCAAAGTCATTATCAGAGTCGACCAGTTCATTGTCCTTAAATCAGCAAAGTAATAACCTTTGAACTGTTACTTTCATTTTAAACTTATACACAAAAGAAAATAGTATAACCAGGCTTTACGTAGTACCTATCCATATTACATCATACTTAGGCAGGACATTTATCACAATGACAGACTATTTAAGTTACTAAGTAATAAATTCAGCTGACAAGCCTATGTACCTATATATGCGATTTATTGTATATTTTTTATGAGCAGTAAGCAATGAGCGCCGCTTATGGACACCCGCAACTTCAGAGGAGTTACGAATGCGTTGCCGACCTTTTCGGGATTAAGGGTTTGGAGGGGAATATTGGGCCTCCAGTAACCTCACTCACACGGCGAAACATAACGCTGTGGTTGTTTCACGCCGGTTTTGTGTGTGGCCGTAGTATCACTCCAGTCGAACCGAGCCATTCGTGCCGACGCATGGCTCTCCCACACTTGATTACAATAAACCAAATAAATAGTTTTCCATATAAGAATAACTGTTTATCGAACCTGCGAGAATGCTCAGCTACCACGCCTTACACGCATGCATCATTATTTTTAATGTTAAATGCATTTCACGCATTGTGTCACGCATGTTACGAATTCCCTTAAAAGAAAAACACAAACGATTTGATATTATTTATAATTCACTAATAATATGCAATGCTATGGTAAGCATGGCAAAACAATAGCATATCTAAATTATTTATTTTGACCTAAGTATTGTTAACTAGATTCTGGTAGTGGCTTTGCTGGCGGGACCCAAATGAACAGTAGCCTAAGTGTTCATCCAGATTATCCTACTATCCTATTTTTTTGCAAGAAAAATGCGTTTATTTACTAATTTATGTTATGGTAATTTCTCTGGCTAAAAAGCGACCGTCGGAGTAAAACTTCTTTCACAAAACCAAATTATTAACCAAAAACAAAAAATAAATAGATTTTTTATTTCAATGGCATCCTTTTTATGGTCAGGGGAAAATCATCAAATGACATCTCCCGCCCAGGGTAAGGCGAGAGGTTCCTTCTCCTGCTCTAGGCCGATGCCGCGGTGCCTCACTGCGCTTACCCCGCAACTCCGGCTCAACATCAGCTCTATAGGGCCTCGTCTGTGGTGGTCTATTGGCTACCTTCGATCAATGGCATCCTGAACTAAGTACCTAGACAATACTATCATCTTCGCCGGGGTTGTGGGACAAGCGCAGTAAGGTACTGCACCCTCAGCCTTGGGCAGGAGAAGGCCGTTCCTTCTGGAGCTCACACTCCCTCTCACCACACCCTAGACTAGAGGGATCATTTTGTGACTTTCCCTCCTCAGGGTTTAAGCATTAGGTTAGACAAGTTTCATCCTATCCTATATGTTCTGACATAAGCATTGTACAACTAGGTACACACATATATACTTACTGTTTACGCTTCAACGCCCTTTATTCATATTTACCAACACCTACCTAGTGTTACGTAGGTAGTATTCTGTTCAATGCGAAATTTCATTGAATTTCCACTGTTAACTTCACTCAAGTATTCAGTAATTCTAAATCCTCTTATATCTTATTATTATATAAAAATGAATTGCTTTTCGTTAGTCCAGCTAAAACGAACACGAAAACTGCTGGACTGATTTTGTAAATTTTGCTAAATAATCATAGACATCCAGGTTTAAAAGATTAAAATATGTTAGTTAATTTTTGGGCGATATCATTTTAAATTCAAAAGAATTCTTTATTTTTAGGGTCATAAATAGCTTGGCACTCAGATCTATCTCTTTAAGCGACTTCTTTATAAAGAGAAGGTTCTCAATTTGGTACTTTGTTTTTTAAGAGTAGGTACTGTAGACTACATTATGACCATTTTCCTTATTTTCTCGTAAATTTCGCGAAACGATATGGATATTATTTATTATCTAATAATACAAATAAATTATTTTGTGTCCAACCCAAGTTTGACTAAGAAAAGCCCAGAAGAACTAAACTAGGAACAGATAATTTATTTTATTATTATCATCTGTCTTTATAATCGAAAATTCGAAATAAGTACCGAAATATATTCAGTATCTAAGTATTTATCTTGATGTTGTAAAACAGTTACTAGGTATCACGTTAAAACTATTTTCATCTAACTTTTCACAAATTTTAGTATTTATAAGCAAACTAACTAGGATCTATACAAAATACCTAACTAAATATAAACTGATTGTGCCTAGTAAAACAATGCCTCGTTACCGTGTTCCATGAAAGTCAGTTAAATTCATTCGATGAACGGGACACACACACTCACGTGGTTTTGGTAGCTTCCTAGGTCAATAATAGACAAACCATTTTGACTTTTCAGTGGGTACAATTAAGTAACAAAATATAATCATACTTTCGTTCATGGTTTCAAATAAGATATAATACCTAGTTTTAAACTTTTCAAGCAATTTTTTCAGTAATAGATACCTAAGTATGACGTACATACGCTTATGCTATTTGACGTAAAAATATTCTAAAGTCATAAATACAAAGTCATCTCATACAAAATATAAACTAGCTTTTGCCCGCTCGCGTGGAATAGTGACTTCTTGCAGATTTTTGGTATAGTCCTTTATATATCCTATGTCCTTTCTCGAGTTCCAAACTATGTTTGTATCAAATTTCACAGAAATCGGTTCAGTACTTTAGGCGTGAAGAAAAGACAGACAGACAGACAGAGTTACTTTCGCATTTATAATATTACTCGTAGTTCGGATTTGGATGTATGGTTTTTGATATCTCCATTAAGTATTGAATTTCACTAATTGGAAACTACCGGAGTGCACGTGACAGGCTAGGTCAATGTGTAAGTATATAAGGGCTATGGTAAGGGCCTAACTTCCATACTTAATGACTTAATCGAACTGCACAAGCGCCATTCGACAATTGAATACTTACAAATACTATTTTTTAATGCCATCCATCACTAAGTTTTAAATAATGAGTGCGTATTTAATGATACTTATTTACACACACATCACAAACCTGTCTACGAATACCCATACCTTAATTTCCTCCGAGTATTATTAGGAACCTGTGTCTAAACAAAACTAAGTATGGCCTAGTTATAAAAAAACCTATACGTACTTACGTACGTAATTTGAAATACCTTACCATACAGCAATGCGTACCATTTACCCTATTTACCATATCACTGCTGATTTATTAAAATAACCTCGCAATTACAATGAAAATTCAAAATCATGGTATAAAAATCATAATAACTACATTACACGACAAACAGGCCATTAGTATTTTGCGGACAAATAATAATAATATCGTAATGGCTTATCGTAATGTTTGTTTAATAATAGCCGCGAATTCAAACGGCTATTCGGCCATCGGACAATAGAAGCCAGTGGCTATGATAGCATCTAAGTGACACACTTGTTGAATAATCTACTACGGTATCTAGAACCACAGCTAAATAAGCATCCAAAAAACGTCAAGCCTACCAAGGTATTCAAATTATAATTTTCCGCGTTAATACCCGCGTAAATATAATGTTGTCGAAGAAAGTTCACCAGTGTATTGTCTATGATTATTAATACTAATCAGTGTCGCACTAAAGTTGTCTATGTCGTCATACCACTATAAAGAGGGTGGCCGAGCGAGTGTCGGCCATTGACAATGTAACTCTGGTGCAGTGAGCTGCACGACTGTGTACTGTGTAATTAAAGTCAAGTATCCAAGATCCAAGTCTTTTAATCATATTACAACCAGGAATTGTCCAAGGCGGATGGGCGATTTTCTAAATTATGATTACTCTAAATTAAAAGGCCTAAATCTTAGGAAGTTATACATAACATATTACATTCATATTTGACTCCACGGTTGGCGTGGTCGCGGGTAACCGGATGCTACGCACGTCTCGCGGGTTCGATTCCCTCGCGGAACAACTCTTAGTGTGTGATCACACTAAGAGTTGTTCCGCGTTTGGGTATGACGTGTACCTAGTCAAAATGTATGTTTGTACATACGACGCACACTCAAGTGAAAATCCTAGTATAAAGGCAAAAAAGAGATAAAAGAGACATAGAAAAAGACCAATTGGTACTTCGGACTTGAACCCTAGCGCTTAAGAAAAGAAGATAGAATGAATAGGTTGGTTATCAAAAAATATGACTAAACATTTTTACTAATATAAAAGTAAGAATCCTCTTTACTAGGAACCTGTTGCAAGCGTCACCACGTTTAAGTGAGCTACTCTAATTAAATTCTCAGCAAATATTAAACTGTCTTTCAGTTCTCCTCAATATACTTATTTAAAATCGAATGACCGATGCCAATGAAGCTATACAAATAGAAAGATATTTATTATGTAATAGGTTGGCAAACTAGCAGACGGATTATATGATGGTAACCAATCAGCACTGCCCATTAACATAGAGGAGTTACGAGTGCGTTGCCGACCTTTTAGGGATTACGGATTAGGGGAGGGGACGGATTGGACCTCCGGTAAACTTACACACACGGCGAAACACAACGCTGTGGTTGTTTCATGCAAGTTTTCTGTGAGGCCGTGGTATCACTCCGGTCGAGCCGACTCATTCGTGCCGAAGCATGGCTCTCCTACACTTAAAAAGAAAGCAAATATCCATCAATAAAACAAATATCCCTTTACTATTTTAATTTTGGTATACGCATGACACAATCGCTAACGGTTTTATTGAAGATTATTTATCCTTATATAAGTACCATATTTTCAAAGGTATCTCTCAAATTAAATACCTAAATCATAAACGTTTAAGAGAAAACATAAAAGATTTATGTTCTTAACAAAAACAGTGGGCATGTTGCTGCCTTTCTTAATTTTCTTAGGAGATACCTACGAAGCTGAGGTAGTCAGCGCCGGTTTCCCTCACAAAACCTTATTAAATCTCATTTACTCCAATTACTTTCATGACGTCAAACACCCGCTATTTCTGGAGAATTTTAAGTACCTGAATGGATGCTACTTATTCTATTATTGTTGTAGGGACTACCCAAGTATAGTACCTATTCATCATCACGTTATGCAAATACCAAATGTCACAACCCATCTATTACTTATTGTTTCATAAATATTTAAACTATATTTTGCCCGCGACTCCGTTGAATCAAATGAATGGAATAGTGACTTCGTGCAGATTTTTGGCATAAAAACTATCCTATGTCCTTTCTCGAGTTCAAAACTACGTCTGTACCAAATTTCATAGAAATCGGTTCAGTAGTTTAGGCGTAAAGAAAACACAGACAGACAGAGTTACTTTTGCATTTATAATATTAGATTTCATTTACTCGTTTAATAATATAAATAGGATATTCTGACAATATAGGTTACACATACAAACGAAACGATATGTACCTACCTACTAAACTTGCACGGTTGGTGCGGAGGCTGGGCAATTGGCTGCCGCGCAACGTATCGCGGGCTCGATTCCCGCTCCGATCAACTCTTTGTGTAATCCACAAATTTGTTGTTCCGGGTCTGGGTGTGATGTGCATGTAAATTGTATGTTTGTAAACGCACTCACGACACAGGGGAAAATCCTAGTGTGGGGTAATGTTTATTCTAAAAGAAAAATATAACAAAACTTTTTTGTTATTAACTTACAGATGTCTTAAACATATGTAGATAAATGTTACTTATGATAAGCCATGGTTTCGCATGCCTACATGCTACAAAATGTAAAAAACTTGTAGCCATAAAATCTTACAATAATTTAAATACACCTTAGTACGTTTTGTTAATTAAAAAGCATAATTAATGAGTAGGTAAGTACCTAATTATGCTATAGAAAATGATATAATTACATCACATTACGTAGGAGTGTATCGTGTTTTACAATGACAACGAATTATTTCTCTTGTTATTCATTTTGTTAAGGACTTTTGCCTAATTAAGAAGGTTTTGTTTGGTATTATAAGAATGTTTTTATATTATGTAGCGGACTAGGGAGGCACTATATTTGTAACTAACCGCGCCTAAGTATTTTGAGAGCTGGCTAAGGGAGATCTGTTCATTTAACAAAGGTGAGCAGGGCTTATAAAAAAAATCTTTCGCATCACCTGGGCTAGAGAAGAAAGATAATAACGTTCCCTCCTCAAAAAAAGGGCAAATGCCTCAAAAACCTGATGCGATACAAACAACAATCTCGGTGTAGAAGAGACCAATAGTCCCAAAGAATCTCCGAAACCATTATCCCCAAAAGGCCGGCTATCATATAAATTCTCTGGTGTCCCAGGTATCCATGGGTAATCAGCATACTCGTTTGTTATCACATAAAAAATAAGTCCACGGCTGACCGGCTGAAATAGACCACTATTAGCGCTAGGCACGCTTGGTAAAACGTTTGGCTTCTTGAAATAAAATGGGCATTTCTATTTTTGCAGGTTCAGCGACGGCGACCATACAGAATGTGGCGGTGACAGGCTGTGAGGAGAACGCCAAAGAGTGCATACTCAAAAGAAATACTAACGCCACCTTCAGTATCGATTTTACACCCGGTGAGTATTACACAAGTTTAGTTAGACGTATAAGACATATGTGTAGCGACATCTATCGCACAACATGCAGTAACAGTACCAATCACGTTCAAGATCCTACTCCGCGGTATAAAAGTTCTCGACACAATTAAAATCATCCCTGTAACAACCGTCATTGGGCAGGATCCAGCCAGGCACGATCACCTCGCCTGGTCGGAGGATCCTCCTTTCCCGAAATTAGGGAACTCTCTGTTCCCCAAATGTGTAATGTCCAATTGGAACAATACAAGTTAATGTTATACCCGGGTGAGAACTTACATGGCCAGTGACGGATCAATCAAACGCAGGGCCGGGAATAATGAGTATACATATATTAATGGGACATATAGTTTATACAGTGTCTCTGGAAGTACTGACTAAACTGTATACGATAAAGCTAGTATAAAGCGGATCAATTTAAATCTTTATAGCTCTGACTCTGAAGATGAGAGTACGTTCTTACCAGGGAAGCTGGAAGTCTTACAAAAGTACTTAATCTCTCTATACCTAGAAGCGTGAACTGATAAGTTATCGCAACGCTGCCCGTCTCAGAACAGGAGTGAAAACTGGTGGAATTAGTCAGTTTCGATGATATTCCCTTGTCAAAGAAAAGTCAGACTCGATTTTTGGGGAAGCCCGTAGCAGATGCTACATTGCTACATACATAAAGCTGCACTGTAAAATGAAAAATGGTAAAAATAAAGAGTACGAGTCAAAATCGCTTAAATGAAATTGATTCACACTAAATGGCCACGAGGATTCCATTGCCTTAAAGCCCCTGACTGGGTTAATCTAGCCCTGGCTACATGTAGTACTTATTTGCGTAATAATTGCCTTTTACAATATGACCATCCAAGATATTAAATTATGTTGTGCTAGTCTTAGTTTGTTGTAGGTTGAAATTAAATAATAAATAATAATTGTAACGGCGGAGATACTTCCTCATTTGTCAACTCTGGTAGGTATCATAATTAATAAGTACTTACCTACTCATAGCAATATTTGTCTAAAGTGGGTTTAGCTAGTCAAACCACATTTGTTGTTAATTAAATTAATGAAATAATATTGCTGATGCAGTAAGCTATATGACTACAATTAATTTTCCTGTCCTTAATTGATGATTAAATGATCTAATGTTTGGTAGAAGTCAGTTTAACCGACGCACATAACAAAAGAATTATTATTCTGTAAAACGGGGTGACTACAATTCGAAGGTTGAATAGACGCAGAAGAGAGGTGAATGTTTTAAAATAATGGCAGAATGTTACTAAATTGTATATTGTGTGTTATGTAATTCAACATTTTAATATGTTAGTTCATAAGAAAACACTTTTAAATAATTTGCATGCCGCTATGACGGCGAAACATGTTGGTCTAACTTAACTGTGTAACAACCTTGTATGTACCGTGTTTTTGGCAAATAAATAATACTATTACTATTACTATAGATACTTGGAAAATTGGTCAACATCTATTCATCCCTTTGGTGTATCTAATTACCCTTCAAATTCTATTCACACGGTTTTACGGTAGTTATTATTTCACTGATTTTATTTTGTACGTTATTCTGAATATTTATGTAGGGTAAACTTGCCTAATTCGTACCACTTTAGGAGAACCTCGAACATTTTGGAAATGAACAATGATACACAGTTATTTATATTAAGTAATTATAATTAAACTAATGTTCTATTAGTATTTCGACAAAAAATAACATAAATCTTTTAAACTTCTGAGAAATAAACAATTATCAAAAACTTAAAAAAGTACGATTTAAGACCATTGATCTTAAATCGTATCATCATTGTTTTACAGTCTTAAAAATCACAATCTTAATAATCTTTTACTCTTTTCAATCTTAATGTAGGTACCTAGATAACCTAATTCTTATTAATACAGCGGATGGTCTTTGCCAAATATTGAAAATCATCGCAGTAATAAAATTTAGTTTTTTTAATTCGTCCTGCACATAGCTTCACAATTACAGCATATTTTTTTTTATTTTTAATAAAAAAAACTAAAAATAATCAAGTAAGTAGTTAATATTTACTGTGAAATTAAACATTGTTTTCCTAAATCGTACGTACGTATGTTTTAAGAAGTTGCTGCAAGTACGAATTAGGCACAAGTATCAAATTAGCCGCAAAAAAAACAGTCAACGAACAAGCCGGCTTTACTATGTGAAATATATTCAGAAATATACGCATAAATATATAATAAACAGTTAAGCAACTTGTGAACGGTATACTTAGAAGACAGTTCTTGTGAAGTATGCAAAAAAATTACTCAAAAAGTGAGAAAAAACTTACCTGTTCAATATTTTAGTCGGGAACTTACGTAACAGGTGTTTATTTGTCATATGGCAATCTGGCCGACTATTATTAACATTTTATGCCACCATAGGCGCTGGTAACTATTACCCATACTGAGATATAGGCGAGGTACGATTTAGGCGCAGGTACGAATTAATTAAGCAAGTTTACCTATATCTATCCTAAATCCTACCTAGATCTACAAACTATGCAATCATTCATTCTATTCTTGAATCCAGGAGTGTTTATTCTTTGTTAAATCATAATTAGTTTTGTTTATAAATGGATCCTATGAAATAAGTGTAGGTAACACATCGCGTAAAACTGGCTTGCAAAATTCTTTAGGGACCAGCTAATGGTCCGCCCATAAACTTTATATAGCACTCTAATTTTACTTAATCACTATAAAGTTACCAAAAAAAATAGTTCCCAAGTACATCAGTGTTGTTAGTGTGAAAAACAAACGGTAGTATGCCCCTCCCCTTTAGTGACATGACGTCACTTCCGTATTCCTCTATGAAGGTACCTAGCTACCTAAATAAAGGAAGTTTTTACACTTACTCCTTACCGGTTTTAATATAAGTCTCATGCGACTAACAAAAACTGTTTTATGGTGTCACTATATTCTAGACTCTTTGAAAACACTAAAGTTATAACTCAAATGGAAAACCCTTGTTTAACTACGGTGGCATAAACATTAATAGTGCTAAACCACAAAACAAATTCAGCCTTATTACAAAACAAGGTTTTACTTTAGTCTAGGACTAAACCATTGAGCCAGTTTTTGTATTTCGAATTGAAGGTAGATGACAATAAGATTCAAAATTCAAAACCCGACTCAATGGTTTAAACCTGGACTAAAGATAAATCTTGTTTTGTAATAAGGGGGATAGAGTCGAATGATACCTATGTAGATGTTATTTTATGGAATCAACTCATGGGGCTGGTATATTTTCTGTTGATGCTTGGTGCCTTTCATGGCTAGCGAATTGTGGGCATAATTCTAAATGAAGCAATATTTTTTTTATGTAAGATCCGCAAACGATCGGGTTGACGACCGGATTACCTGATGATAAGCAATCAGTGCCACCCATGAACACCCGCAACAACAGTGAAGGTACGAGTGCGTTACCGACCTTTTGGGGATTAAGGATTTTGAGATACGGGGATTGGGGGAGGGGAAGGTTAGGCCTCCGCTGTGATTGTTTCACGCCGGTTTTCTGTGAGGCCATGGTATCACTCTGGTCGAGCCTACCCATTCGTGTCGAACCATAGCTCTTCCACATTTTACATAATCCTATAAATGGGTAGTCACTATTGTAGCTACTCGCTAAACGACTCGACTAATGAACAGTGTATCGCTTTGTATTTTATGTAAACGTACCTACAACATTATTCATGTAAGAGGAATAAACAAAAAGTAATTGTTAGAAATTCCGTTACATAAGGTGTCCGATTTGTTTATAATATACTCTATTTGACTGTGTTTATAATTTAATTTTTGTAAAAATAATAATATTGTATTCCTTATAAATATAATTAAAGTTGTACGCCTATAAGGTTAAACATAGCGATCCTAACATTGTAATTACATCTTATCTTTACCTATGTTCCACAAATAAATAATTTGAATTTGAATTTGAATGTGAACCTTACCTTTTTATTTCCAGTGAAAGAGGTGAAAGAGATACAAACAATAGTCCACGGAGTGATCATGAACCTCCCGGTGCCGTTCCCTCTGCCCCAACCTGACGCGTGCAAGGACAACGGACTCACCTGCCCATTACCGGTAAAATATTCAAACCTTACCTACATTGGAACCTTGAACAAATTTGAGCAGCATATTCGAAAAATAACAAAAAAGTCCAAAGATTTAGTTGAAAGTAATCAATTGAATGGTAAAAGTAAATTTTAAAAGCAAGTTTTTTTATCAAGATATTATCCCTGTTGTCTCTAGGGTTCAACTCATGACTCATTTGTTGCTGGAATCACAATGCTGAATCCTTAATAGTGTTTTTCTATAATATAAAATTAATCGCAAAGTGTGTTGGTAAGCGCATAACTTAAAAACGGCTGGACAAATTTTGCCAAATCCTTTGTTTTGTATTTATTAATGTCAGGAGAAGGTTCTTGTGAAAGAAAATATGAGAAAAGTAGAGGGGAAAATTGGGGAAAGTGCCCCTGCACATTCATTGTTAGCGAGATAGTTGGACCCGTGCGAAGCGGGGTTGGGCCGCTAGTAAACCGATAAAAATAACAGGTCCGGCGGCCTCGGCCCAGAGCAGGAGAACCCCGCGGCCCGCGGTGCCTCATTGCCCTTGCCCCGCAACCCTGGCTGAACATCAGCCCTATAGGACCCCGTCTGTGGTGGTCTATTGGCTCTTTCAGGCGTGCGCAAAAAATGCCTAAGATTAGGTTCGTAATGCAATTTGATTTTTTTTTACAGGCTGGTCAACCACAGAAGTACCATACCACGATGCCTATCCTCAAGTCTTACCCCAAGGTCAAAGTTGACGTTAAATGGGAGCTGAAGGACGAGGCCAGTGAGGACCTCGTATGCATCCTGATTCCCGCAAGACTGCAATAAGGATCACAAGGAAAATAAATACTTACCTGCAACCGATTCTGAAAAAAACACAAGATTCACTTATATAGTCTGTATTTTTGCGTCAAATCAAACTGTGATTGCCTAGTTTCTGAACTGATTGTTTTTGTAATTTGACCAATTACCTATAGAGAAAAATTGTTTGTTGTGAATATAAAACTAAAATGGCGGGAAACAATAAAATTCCCGCCAATTCATAGGTAACTGTTGTCGAATGAATCGACATTGTGCAGTGTGCATATCCCTTCTAAATACTTAATTTCAATGTATTTATGTATTCCACAAAAAAGTATAAGATTTTATAATTTTCGAATAAGTGAACTTCGTTATTTGAATTTACTCAGGCCTATGTAATTATATCAACAAATCATTAGATATTTTCAAAGTACCCAACTGTATTTACCTATGCTCCAATTAATAAAATTTTTAAGCTATTTACAATAATTTTCGAAATTGGGGCTGCGTGGTTGAATAATATATTTTCTTTCTATAAAAAAAAATATAAAATAATTATAATGTTGCTATATTTCAAAATGTCATTGATTGATTTACAAAATACATAATAAGTATCTATCTTTAAAATAAGTGTTAAGTCATGCTATGAGCTGGATGTTGTCTTCGTCACAAGCAGAGAACTGAAGCTTGAGATCTGTATTCCATGCAACGTAAGAATATACCTTAATTTATAAGAAAACGTGTTACATTAAACATAGGTTTAGGATTGTGGTTTTGTACATTATAATACTTATTAATTAGCGTACGTGTTTTATTATACATGCCTATTATAATAAGCTAATGAAGACTTACATAATCTGAGACTTAAGAGACATATCTAGCCCAGGGTCAGGCATGGCTCTCCCACACTTAATTTTTTTCAATTCATATATTTTTATTTTTTATTTATTATTTTTAATTAGGTATCCATTTAATTATGAAAACTAGGATCTTTTTTATGTCATAGGACGACAAAAACGAGCCGACACACGTGGTAAGCCATCGGCGCCGCCCATGGGAATCGTAGATTGAATTAGATATTGAGATCATAGAGAACAATTTATAATTGCGACACAGAGTACCTAGATATTAAGCATGCATTTCCATTGCGTATGTATCGCTGCGAACGCGCGTGATCCGCGTCTTTATTTAACGTGGTGTGCATAGGCTCTAATTATAAATATGATTAATTAACCCAATCAGAAATAAACCTAGTTTCATTTATCTACACTAATATTATAAAGCTGTAGAGTTTGTTTGTTTGAATGCGCAAATCTCCGGAACTACTGGTTCGAATTGAACGTTGTATCCGTTAGATTGCCCATTTATCGAGGAAGGCTATAGGTTATAAAACATCACGCTACGATATGTAGAGGCCGAGCAGCATGTGAAACAGAGGGAGAGTAACTAGTTTTTAAATAAAATTTAACGAGAACACGTCAATAAGCGAGATATTACGCTGATAGTTGTATTTTGTACATCCTTATTTAGAAGCGAAGAAGTCATAAAAATGAAATAATGAAAACAGCACGCTATGGTCACAAATAGAAGACAGCAGTTAAAAAATAGGAGGAAGTGTATATTACACTTTCTATTTTTTTATTTAAAAAAATGTCTTGAATTCGGTGACGAAAATGAAAATGTAATTGAATACCGATATAGGTAGTATTGGAATCCCTTATTCTTTGGCGGTATAAAGGTTAAGGAGATAAAAATGCTTGCATAGATCGAACATAAATAAGAAGGTTATAATAATAACAAGTTACTCAATGCATCTATATGTACCTTTTATTAATTATAAAAATACTTCATTTAAATTTGTTGTTACACATTTTATACTAAGTACAAATCATTTACTTATAAAATCAGTCGTAATTTTTTGACTAGGCTTAAATAAATAAAATAGGAAAATAATATACATATACATTTTGGATATATACAAAACTTTTAATAGACACATAAGAAGACTTATGTATCTATTAAAAGTTTTGAGGATGAAAAACACAAAATCATCCGATGAATTCGCTTCCGCGTAGAATGTAGTTGTGGTTACGCTTGCGCCGAACTCGGACATTGGATACAGCTTTAGATCCTGTTTCAAATAGTTATCAGCGTATTGTTTAAAGCAGATACCTTCGCATGTAGAACATCTCGTGTGTATCTTTTATTAATCTTGTTATTTGTAGGTAACATTTTCCAGGCGTGTTTACACTCCCTCTCAAATATACAAATCTTTTATTAAGAACTTTTTTCTACTAACTTTAGAGCCTTTAGAGACTCGCGTCTTTTGTATGTGACAAGTCGATTAAGTCTAAATTTACCTGATGGTACACGCAACTCCAGCTCCAGACCAAGATTTTGGAAATTAAGCGGGAGGTATGTAGAGAAGGGCAGGATTGGGCCTCCGGTAACCTCACTGACACTGCGAAACACAACGCTGTGGTCGTTTCACGCCGGTTTTCTGGGAGGCCGTGGTATCATTCCAGTCGAGCCGATCCATGCGTGCTGAAGCATGGCTCTCCCAAATGTCGTATCCATTGCTGCTTTCTATGTCGGTGACGTGTCTATTCCATGTGATTGAATCTTTTTTGTCATTCCAAGTAGGTAAATAACCAACCCATTACCTATCAGCCAACGAAGATCCATAATCATAAACAGAAACCAATGAAACTTTTTTATATTTAACATGCGAAAAATCTTTGTTCACATTTTATCCAAATATGTTGTATCTTATGATAGTTAGGATAGCACAAAAATTAAAAAAAAAATACTACAGATATTGTAGTACCTACGTGAGTTTAATTCGAAATCGCAGGCAGCCTTTCTGACCGCTCAGTCATCGACCCACGTATTGAAAAAACATGTCACACTAATTGCGTCATTAAGACACTAAAGTGTCACATTTATTTCAATATAATTGATCGTTAAAATGATTTATTGATTGACGTGTTTTTATTCGATATAAATTTGGCAAGTGACAAAAAAAAATCAATCAAGATCTTCGGAGAGATATGAACGACGAAAAAGGAGGGTTTATACTTTTGGAGCCTTACAAAGAACTATACTATTTGGCTTTGCCCTTGATGTATATAAAAATATTGGCAGTTAATAGTGTAGGTAATTAAAAAAATTAAATGTTAATCTCTCAATCTTCCCAAACCACTACCCCAAAAAAAGGGCTTGACGAAAGAACGAAAGGTAAAAAGGAGTTTCTGTCTATTCAAGACCCAGTTCAAACCAGTTTTCGATGTTTCGCTTTTGTATGCAATTTCTCAATATTATACAGCTGCCAAATGCACTCTTACCAGTAGGCTAGTTGGTTTCAGATCATATCACTCCGATTGACTGCGTGAGCTTCCTGGGTCAGCAGCCTTCGTGCGTGAGTATATCACAGATTTGCATCATTCAATTCCTTTCAGAGCTACATTGCAGTTCCTTCACTTTTTCTTAATAGTGCTTTTACATCGGCCACACAAAGCCTGTTCAGTCTTAACTTTCCTAAAATGTAAGTTATATTCCTGTCTAAATATTTTTCTGTACATAGACTCCTTAACAGGCACAATGTTCTCCTTGTTACAATCAGTAAAGTACATATTATACATATGTTTAATACTCAAACTAGGATCAAGGAACTGCTTCTTCTTAGAAAATTGTATCACTGGCTTAGACTCAACTGTAGTAAACGATTGTATGTGTTTCCTGACTCTGTCCTTTATTTCTGACGGTAGTGAATGAGAGCTGGCCTTGGAGTGTCCCCTACCATCTGGTTTCGGTATATTTAAATCCGTTTTCCCCATATGCACATTATAAACTGGCTTCTGAGATATAGATAGAGTACCTAGATAAAAGTTCTTACAGACTGTATGCCTCTCAGATTTAACATTAAAGAAATATTTAAATGTATACTTCCTTTTGTTGTTGGTGATGACTTTATTATTTTTAATGCATGTCCTCTCAGTTGTATGTAGCAGGAAATACTTCTTTTCATTAGCATTGAGAGTGTAGAATGCTTTGAAGATGTGTTCCCTGTCCGAGTCTGAGACTTTCTCATTACATTTGAATTTGCAGTTTTTAACACAGTCTTTTGTGTTTCGTATATGCCTCTCAGGCACAAATTTACCTCGCCTGTTGATATAGGCCTCTCCACGTTGGTGTTTTGTCTTTCTTATGTTGCATGCCCAGGAGTTCGGATCAGGTATTTGACTTCGAGACCTCTTCTTGGGTGCTTCAGGTACCATTTGGTTTGGTTCACATCTGAAAAATTAAAGCAGTTGTTATTTAAAGTAATTGATCCACTTTTCTGATCACATTTTACCATAGAACTTTTTTTGTACTTGACTATTGACTACTAGACAAACTCAATAGTTATCTATGAATTTTGTATCAAATTGAAATTATGTATTGTGTGGTCATGTTTTTGTTTAATAGCAAACTTATTTGTTGAATATTTACTAGAAAAATACGAATAGTAGGTACATTGTAGAGTTATTTTATAAAACTGTGATAAGTTTTTAATAGTTTATTGTAATATTCATTAAAATTTATATATTTTTTTGTATAAATTATTCAGACTTTTCATATAAGTATGTATGGGTAAATATTTTTTAAGATTGTTATGCAAAATCTTTACAAGTCTACTATTAACTAAATTGTTTTTTAGTTTTAGTACGAAATAAACAAATTTTATTTCAGAACAACATCAAAAAGAATAAAATTTTACTTACTCAACATCTTTATCAGCTATCTGCATATCTGGCTCGAGTTTAGCAAGTAAACACTCCTTAGGATACTCATACTGGCGGTAATAGGAATGTACTCCAGCTAACATATGCTGTGGTACTATCATGTGGGATGCAATCTGAAGAGACTGCGACATATCTGAGGTCTGTAGAACTTGGGACTGTCCCTGAAGTACTTGGGACTGTCCCGGCAATGATGGTAGACTCTGCAGCCCTTGTTGACAAGACATTACTATTTGATTCTGTGACATTTGAATCTGACTCTGTATCTCGGTGACATGTTGAGATGTCACTGGTATGTGAATAGATTCTGATGTGATTGTTTGCTGGTAGGTAACCTTTCCCTGTGAAGTGGGTAATGTCGGGTGAGTTATGTGTATAATCTGAGGATTTGACATCTTGCTGTTGGTAACAGATGGCTGGTACACTTGAACCAGGTGTGGTATGGAAGAAGGTTGTAACTGCTCCATCCTGATAGCTGAAAAGTATATTATGTACAAATTAATTAATTTTACGATTTAGAATATTTTGAGTTCCAATTTTATTAATTTACCAATCAAGTACTAATTCTGTCAAGCAGCCCTTTAAAAATAAATATCAAATCAATCATTAAGCATAGTAAAATTAAGTGGTAAATAGGTACCTGTCGGATTTGAGCTCTGAGCTCAATTTATAATTTAAAATAGTACCGTAATTGATGTAAACATAAATAATAAACTACTTGTTTTGAAAACAATACTTACTTCGCCAGCGAAATATTTAGATACTTATACACACAGTTTTAAAGTAAAATTAAAAGTTAAATAGACAAACAAATGAATCTTAAAAGTTAAGCAGATTTTGCAAAGCTTATAATTTCAAAGTTTCCAGTAAGTGTGACACAGTTCCATCTTATTGGAAGTAAACAAGACAACATGGATGAAATGATGAATTCATTGACCTGCGATGCAACTTTCTGTTTTCGATGCGTTCCAAATCTAACAGTTTCTCTCTCATTTGTTCTTGTGTAGAGTAAGAGCAATAGAATATTCAAAATGCTTTTTTTGGAAAATATATAATGCTGGTATCTGGAACGCACTTATTTGACATTGCGTCCTAGTGCTGTACCTACATAGAAGTAAAGAAACCGTAAATAACGATTTTACCGATATATATATTTATTTATCAAAAATAAAATATTTATTTCTGTTTCCTGACAATATTTTTGGAATTTTGCATTTTTTACTGTAATTTTAATATTATAACACATATAGTATATTATGTATCATGTATGATACATAAAGTTATCGACATAGCCCAAAGGATTAGCAAACTGAAGTGGCAGTGGGCAGGTCACATCTGTCGTAGAACCGATGACCGCTGGGGTAAACGTGTTCTAGAGTAAAGACCACGTTTATGCAAACGTAGTGTGCGCCCTCAAGCTAGGTGGACTGATGACATCCGCAGGGTGGCTGGCAGTGGTTTGATGAGAAGACGGCGTGCAATTGGAGGCCTATGTCCAGCAGTGGACGACAACAGGCTGATGATAATGATGATACATAAACTCGACGCAAAAAGGTCACATCAGTCAAACAAACATGGTTTATAACTTTCAGCTATTAGATGCACTATATTACATATTCTTGACTTACGGTTACGGCATTGCATGCTGTTGCTACTAATAAATAAGAGATACCTAATCGAAGCATTTTTAGTAATTTTAATTATGGTGGTAGATAATAGCCTTCATTAATCTTTTTTTTTTTTTGTCAGGAGAGAACCATAAAATTACCTCTTCCACCCTGGCTCGGGCGGGAAGGAGTATCAGATTCTTACTGGGTAAAAACCCCCTCTGCGCCCCCCTTTTTTACTCGGGTCTGGATCTGTTTGGGCCGCGAGCTAACCTTATTCGCGGTCCGTAAAACCCGCGCTTACAGTGGCCGGAGATCGTCTCTCGAAATTATTCATGATTAAGATACATAATTTAAATGTAGGTGTGTTTAATAAAAGCAAACAAGCACAACGGATCACCTGATGGGCAAGAAGGAACACCAGGTGAGGCCACAGGCACGTTGCAGGCTTTTTAAAAAAGAAGTGCGTACCTACGTTTTTTAGTGTTTGAAGGTCGTTTCGGTTCGGAAATACCCCCGAGTCGAAAGACGACCGTGGAACTGGATTTCATGTCTAGTAGGTATTAAGATTTTAATAATATTCAGATAGTAGGTACAATCAATTACCGAAAGTTGACTTAATAAAGTAAAAATGACATTATATTGATAACAGATTTTATTACAATATAATTCACATAGAAAACAGTTAAAAAACTAACGCATGTGCTTACAAGTATAAAATGTTACAAAAATACACGCATTACAATAGTGCGTCTATCATTATTTCAGGAAATTTAGCATTTATGTATAGGAATAGAATATATTATAAATATCTACAACGTTACTTTATAATGAAACCAAAAGATATGTCCACAACAAAGGTAGGTACTCCTGTTACCTGTCGGATTCAGCACGTCCTACGTTTAAGTTGATGGCATATTATTGTGTTTGTACTTTAAAGTTAGTTACAATGCCAAATTTCCGACATTTTAAATAGTGTAAAATAAATGCATTAAATGCTATTTTTTTTCAAATAGATATTTCGATATTTTCAAATAAATAATTTCATGCAAAACATGTGCATCACACCTAAGTTACTTTATTCAACTTAAATACATAGTCTACTTGACTAATTGCTTGTTTATCTAAGAAAAATATACCTTGCTACATTCAAAATATGCCAAACCCATCACAAAAGACTGACCGTAGGTAATCCTATTAAAATATTATAGGTAAATATATCATATCTTATGTATTATTTCGTTGTGTTGAATTTGAAAAAATATTGCACTAATTTTAACTCATTTTTACAAAAATATAATTCAAGTTCAAATATACCTACAAGGTTTTTTGGTACAAGACTTTGGTAGAGTAGAACCCACACTTAGTACATACGACAGGCAACGCGTTTAAAACTTCGATACAGCAAAGGTCGATGGTCGAGGTAATCGAGGATGTTCATCATATGATGAAGTGTACACGGCAAGTTTTTAGACATTAGTAGCTACAATGTAGGCTATTATTATAAAAATAAAAATTATAACAAAACTTCGCCAATATTAGACGAAACTCGTTCTAATTTCTAAAAAATGCTTGTCTTGTCTCGCAGTTGTGCGTAACTTCTACTTGTAACTAAATAATCGATATGTCGTGTTTCTTAATAAAAATCCCTCTTAACAAATAGAAAAAATATACATGTCTAACAAAAATAAAATCCAAGACCATAAAATACGTTTCAACTCTAAAGATAAAATATTACTACAGTTGAAAAATAAGATTACGTATCTAAATACAATATAAGATTTGAGAAGGCAAGTAAACATAAAATATGTATAAATAGGTACATTAGCTCTGTGAGCGGAGAGGCGATCTTATCAGCCAGTTTATACAAAATGATTATTTATTCTACGTATCTTGTAGTTACTATTTGTGCTACAGTATATTCAATTGTAGACTAAATTCTAGATAAATTTCGTTTCTAGGAAATGGTATACTTTTTCGTAAACAACCAGCATTATAGCGCCTCCAGGACCTAGTCGCAGGATTTTCGGTACCAGACCTTTGTATAAGGCGCGGAATCTGAAAACAAAAAAATGTTTGAATGAGAAACGCTAGTCAGCAATTATCATAAGTTAATAAAGCTATTGTGGTTTATCGTTTTAGGTAATTAACTAAATGTAAACAGTCATGTCTTTTTATCGAAAAATTAAATATAAATGTTTACAATCAACAAAATGTTCCCTTGTAATAAACTAAATTTTGGTAACCTTTGTATATATTTTATACAGCCTCTTTAATGTAAAAATGCATATCAAGATTGTTTACCTTTAGTTAACCACCGTAGAAATCCTATATAAACCTATACCGTAGAAAAATATGAAAGGTAAAAATTGTTTAAAAAACAAACTACAAATCTCGTTACAGTATCCAAGACTGACATTCATATCAATCTTATTATCTCTTGTTAAAGGATAAGTTAAAAATACAGTTACACAAACAACATCTTATTTATCATGGGTTTCTTCATAGACCAATATTGTTGACTAGCTATTGCCCGCGACTTCGTTCACGTGGAATAGTGATTTCCTGCAGATTTTAGTATAAAAACTATCCTATGTCCTTTCTCGAGTTTCAAACCATGTCAGCCATGTCTGTGCCAAATTTCACAGAAATCGGTTCAGTAATTAAAAAAAGACTAGAGCTAAGACTAAGAATGTTACTATAGTTTCTATTAAAAAAAAACAAATACTAAAATCAATAGCATGTATTGTGTTATGTGACAATGCAATCTGCCATATAACTTTATCCAAAGCTTTGATTATGCATTGAAGAAAGATGTGGCCCAATAATCTATTGGTTATTTTGGCGCGACAGAACTACCGGCACGTTATAACGAGCCACGATAGTTTTACTTCAATATATGTATGAAATTGATGAGGCTTGCGCTACGGTAATATATTGGGGCTTAAGAAATGCTAGATAATAAAAGTCTAATAAGAAACTACGAATACTAAACTACTGACAGAAAAACAATAGCGTTGTTTCGCCGCGTGAGTGAGGTTGCCGGAAACCTAATCCTTAGTAAATTACTAACAGATTTAACAACGTTACTATAATTGACTCACATGTCAATTTTATGAACGAGGTGAGTACTTAAATATCTGTCATTGTTTAAAAGCAGAACTAACGTGTCGTCTAAGAATATTGCACAGTTACTATAAAAAAACTACATATTTACTGCATAATTCGGTACCAAGACTTTGGACTACAGCCAGCTGGATATAAATTGAGATTTCTCAGTAAACACGAATATATGCAGCTGGTGTTCAATGTGGCTCATTAGTTTACTGCACTTACATACATATTTATAAATAGTTAACGACCTCCTAATGTTGTCGACAGTAAACAAGGAGCAAGTTTGTCTTATTAATTAGTCGTATTTACCAAAGTATCTGATAAATTATTATTCATATGTAATTACATATTAAATAGAGAGCAGTTCTTGTAGGCATACCCAAACCGTACAAACTAAAGACAAGTACCTATACATAGTAAGTATTTAATCAAGTATTAGATCGCTTTATTTGATATCAAATATAGAGAGAGAGAGAGAGAGAGATAGATACAGACGGAAATCTATCTATTCTATCAATCTTCTGACTTGTTATCCAGGCTTTAGGCTCGAGAAACGGTCCATTTTCATTTCAGGTGGAAATCGATCTTTGACTTTTCCCGCCCTTGGTGAGGCGATAGGGAGTTTCAGACTGTTACTGACTAAAACCACCCCATTCCTTCTTCTGCTTCAGGCCGGAGCCGCGGTACTGGGGCGCTTGCACCCACATTCCTAGCCCTAATGGGCCTCATCTGTCGAGAAACTGTCCTAAGACCGTATTGAAGAAATCATTAATTTCGCGATCAGAACTGAAATAAGCTTTTTACTATAATTTGACCGCGTCTTGTTTTCTGTATCTACATATTTGGTGACCTATATAATTAACATTCAAATAAAAATTTAATTGATTAAAAATCTTTTAACCGAGTAGTTGTTACATACAATACAATTTACCTATAACTAAGGGAACGCGTTAATGTAACATTGTTACATCAAACTAGGTCACTGCAGACACTATGCGCCGGCGCATTCATTCATGGTCGTCAAAAACATCGGCCGAGAACTGATATCTGGCGTCCATCCTTGGATCACGTATGAAATACGTACAATACCTACTACACCGAATTTTTCTTATGAAGGGTAGAATCCCGTGATGAAATGATTTTAAGCCTGTCACAAAATATTTTCTCGTCTACGCAGTGCCTACTGGGAGTTAGGTGCATTACGTGACAAAATAAAGCTATCACAACTACGAGGAAAATTTTAGGAGGTAAAAAGGAAGTATATAGGTATTTAGTATAACATTCGCCTAAAGTATTTGCGATCACAAAGTCAACTAAAACCGGGCTCAAGTGAGTCCTTCAAGCGACCCTGCAGATTAATTTTTATTTTGGCAGGCAAATAAGTTGAACGTCCTGCAATCGACGTGCATATTTGAAATTTCCGTCATTTTAAGAGTTTTCTTTGTAAACAATTTATTTTTCGCAAGAATACCTACTTGGCTTATTGCCAGGTTCACGAAAAGACAGTTTACACCAAGTACCTAGGTGCAGACTCATATTTATAGACAACATGGAATGTTGGTAAATTCTTTCAAATCTTAATAATGCAGTTTGCAAACTAGATTGAACTTAAGAATACTAATAACAAAGTCAATAATTTTTTCTTGCCAAAGCAAATATGGCTCTTGGATCTCCAAAGTGTAGCTGGCATACCGAATTATTGATAGTGGTATTAAAATGGGATAGGACAAACGAGGAAACAAAATATTATAGTAAGCAACTAGAACCGCGCAACTAACGCCTTGCCGGCCTCTAGGGGGTTATGAATTTCAGGAATGGGAAAATTTCCCAACGTAGGTTTTGCTTGACTCTACTACAGATGGGGTCCAATGGGGATGGGGTCCTATGGGAACGAAGTGGTTTTTAGTCAGTAGCATACTGACACTGACTCCCGCCTAACCTAAAGAAATGATTTTTAATCAACAAAAAAAAAAAATTTTTCACGTCGTTTCCACTTGTGTGGTATCGCTCCGCTCGAGCCGGGCCATCGTGCTGAAGAATGGCTATTCTACACTTATTATTATGGTCAGTAAGTACGTATATACATATATAAGAAAAAAATAACACACATAGCAAAGGTTTTTTTACAATACCTAGAGATATCCTAATTTTGATTTTCCACAGTGGGCAAGTGGACCCACAAGGGCGTCGTAGCCTTTACCTCAAGTAGAAGTTATACCAGTAATAAATAAAAAACTCCTTACCCTTCTTCCCGATACACAGTGATCATAGCTCCTGTAGTTGTTCTGTACTTTATTTGGCCTTGGACAGGCTGCGGACCCTGGATTCGGCTCTTAGCCACGTCAAATGGTATATTGACACATGACCCTAGACATCCTGCTACGAAACCGATGCACAATTTTCTTAAAAAGTCTAGTACAGGAACCTGTAACAAATAATACATGACTCTTAAGTAGGTATTACATGGGTAGATGAAGAAAATGTGCATATAGAAAATTTATTTATGTATTAATGTTCATCTAATAAAAAATTGAGAAAAGCCTGTCCCGATTTTTTTTTATGTTGGTATGAAATTGTTACAAGTGACTAGATAATCTACACTGTATGCTTTACAGAAGGGTTTGGCTGTAACATCAGATATTATCTTACTCCTCAGTTACAAGAATATTAAATAACTGAAGTCAACATACAAATATAAAAAAAAACTGAATTGAAAATTCTCCATTAAATTCCTCTAATTACTGACCTTATTCTCAGGTACAATGTCTTTGACGCTGTGATAGAATCCAAAATATACCATATTGAAAACTCCATTCCTAGCGAGGGTTGCAGTAAGACCTTTGCTTAGCCCTCTAGAGCCAAAGCCATGTTCTCTCACAATTTGCCTTGTCACAAACCATGTACTTGGAACCTCTTTCCCTCTGGCCTTGTTAGCCATTAATGTTACTTTTACCACTTCAAATGGGTTTACAAATAAGCCTTCTGTTAATCCTGCCCCGAACCCAGCTATTGAAAATACCTGGAAAAAAAATTTAATATAATAAGTTGTTAAATATTGATACGGAAAAGGTTTTAGTTATTCATTCTATATGCTTAAACCAAAGTCAAGTCTTGTTAAGTCAGTATAAGAAGAAATTTTAGCAAAATTTTTTTTTTAAACTTCTAAGCTCTATCATTCATATTTTATTTAGGATTTGCTTATTTGCTGACAGACTGTTGTGGTGTTAATCATGTTCTGCGAAGTAAAATCCTCAATAAAGAAGACACCACAGAGAAGAAATAATTTCTGTTATATTTATATATTTTTTTTTTTGTTAAAACACAATTCACATAATTTTTATTAAAATTATGGTAGCATTAAGAATGTTTCCCACATTTCATCCATTTATCATTTAAGGAATATTTTGTTGTCACAAAGTAATAGGTTAAACTGTTTGAGTATTTGATAGCTCTTATCAGACAGTTGACATTGTTTTTATTTGTAGTGATCTTTTCTTGATAAAGTGAATATTTATCTAACTACTGTTTTAAAAACTTCTTGCACCTTCAATTAAAATACCTTCCCAATTTAAGTAATTTTTAATAGTGTAGTAAAAAGTAGTAAAATCAACTCTCGCGTATTATTGTTATATAATATTTTATAATATCAATTTGCCTGATTATTTTATAAGTTTCACAACTTGTTTATATATTTCTTAAAAAAATTTAGTAAAAAGACAATCTCAAACTGTTAATTAAAACAGAAACAGAAAGTAAAGTTAGCAACAAAAATAAATTAAAATATCCTCACTAAAGGTGTTGCTGTACTGGTACCAAGAATTGACATACAAAGCTTTTTGTATTGTTCAAAGCAAGCAAACTTCACGGCTCGTTTAGGTGTCTCGGCCAAAATAGGAGGCAATATACCCTTGTAGAATGATGATAATCCTTCATGCTTGTACATTTTCGTTACACAGTCCAATATTCCAGTATAATAATGAGGGTCAGTTCTTGGCAGGTTCTTATTGGTAGCTTGCAGCTGCAGCCTGGTCTTTATAAGGTCCAGAGGCTGCATTATTAGGACCTCAACAAACCCTGCACTACCACCGGCACCTATCTGCATAGCAGCTTGCTTCAACAACGTGTTCATATCACTCATTTTGGTCACTTATTTCAAAGTTCACTATTTAAAATTATAAGTATTTGATATTTATTCTTAAACTTAGTTTTCTTCGAATATAATACACATAAGCTTCAAAAATACGTCACAAAAATAAATACATTAATAAAGTATTAAAAATTAATATCAACAAAAGCCTAAATGCACAAATGTTCTCTTCAAAATATCACAGCAAATGAGCAAAATGTTAAATAGGTAATATGTTACTGAGTCTTATAAACAATATTACCAAAAAGACGTAAACACTAAACAGAAGAAATCAACGTTACTGCTAAGTCATAAAGTCGTTTATTAAATGAAACTATCGAGCTACGGGACTCCTTACAGTACAAGGTAATATCAAAGTTGGGTGGTTCACATAAAGTTGTTTTTGATTTTTTCAGCTCTTTGTTTGCCTCAGTAGGAATTTGACATGTGTCATTCGGCATATAGTAGCCCAGTCGAAAAATACAAATTAACGTAATCATCAGTTTCAGCAATCAGTGTCTAGTTTAAGATACTACGTGTTTTAATATCCCCTACACTTTTTATACTCTTTGCATAGCTTATATTTTTTATCTTATTTTTCGACAATCTGACAAATTCTAATTGATATTTGTTTGACAGTTATTTATGTAATAATACCATATAAAAAAATGTTGACATAAGACGGTTATTGCAAGAAAATCGGAAGGAACATCACTAGCTGCGGATAAGAAGAATGGCAGCTGGCAGCCCAGACGTTAGCTGTCAATGAGTCTCCAATTGAAAGTGTTGTTTCGCAGATTTAATCCAATGTATCTAAGCTCAAATATATTAATTTGTTTGTCCATATTTTGATCAGACTAATCGTATTGCTATTTACAAATGTTAATAAGAATAAGGACTCGCTGCTGATGAGGCAGGACGCGTGTATTCCGCAAACAATCAATGTCTATAAAGTCCATTTTCGCGTGGAATCTCTCTTTCAAAATGGCAGTGGTATTAACAATTTGCAGATGTGAAAAATGATTTCGTGTGTTATAAACAGTGTCGGTGTGGGTGGATAGTGAATTAAACACGGAAATGTGGACATAACGTGTAAGATGGGTTCGCAGACACTAGAGATATTGCGCCAAGGTGTTTGGGCATCGTTAACAGGAGGATGGTTTTATGATCCTCATCAGAATTTGTTTTGCAACACTGTGCATTTATATGTGTGGTTGTTCCTGCTATGTTTGCCGTTTTCTATCTATCTGGTGAGTTAGATTACAATGCTAAATTCAAACTCCTCGTGTTAGTTGCTTTGTAAGTGGTTGAAATGAAAGCAGGTCACTGGTCATTGGTTGAGATCATTGTTATTCAGCAGTGACTTGAGTCATTATGGTCATTGCCCTTATGAAGCCTTAGCAATAAAATTGTTAAGAGTAATCTGTAAATAGTTGCACCTTCAAGGCAAATTATTTCTTGCTATGAATAGGGCAGATATGTCTTGATCTGGCTTACATTGTTTATACATCATTACCATGTTTGTTACACATAGAAATTTATGTGTAATTTTGTAATTTATAGGTTATTTTTTGTTCAAACATGAAGATAGTGCCATAGTGTATGATTCGGTCTTGTATTCTTTGAATACAATTTGGATCTGTATTCCTGAACTCAAATGTAGTACCAAAAAGCAGGTCATAATTATATTATCTTTTAAAATTACTACTAAACACACTACTTAGTAAATTGTAACACATACTTATCATGATGATAACCAACTAATTAAATATAATGCTACCAAGAATGTACTGCCCAATGACTAAGAATTTTATGATCCAAGCAGATTACTATTAGAATAATATTCAACAGTATAAATAATTTTTTATGCTTTAATTTTGATTGATAATAAATATTTGTTTATAGTTTATTCCAAATTCTATAAAACAAATGTTATTACTTTATTCGTCTTTAAAAGTTAAACATCATTAGTAACATTAATTGTCTTGCCTGTTTGTCTCTATCCAAATGTAGATTATAGAACAAGGTCCGCTAGATTCAAAACTTAGTCAATTTGTTCTTAATTTCTGACCAAATGTGGGCTTATGTCGTGGGCCTGAAAAAAGTTTTATTTGTGATATGCCGGAGCACAGATCTAAGTAAGACATGATGTGTTTACTATTGTCTCATATACCTACAGGCAGATGGTTGATGGCAGGCTAATAAATAAAGTAATTATTCAATTCTTTTTGACATCAAAAGTATCTATAGAGGGTTTAGTTGAATTAAATGGTTGAATGTGAGATATGCCATTTCAAATATGTAGTAATGTGAGAATGAGATGATTCACCACTCCAGTGCCCACAATACTACCTATTTTACAAAGTATTGCAATTTAATGCTGGGATTCTACAAAGTTTTAAACACTCATTAACTCATATTTAGTACCTACAACACAATAAGTGAGTAATATTCAAACATGTAAATATGTTATCAAAGAAGTTTTATTGTAATTTTGCAATACAATTATTAAGATTTTTCCTTCTTCTCTTTTGGCTGTCAATTTATGTTACCATTAATGGTATATTCCGGCACAATATCAGAATTTTCAAAAACTGTCAAAAATCCAATTTGTCTATGCCTGACCCGGAATAGATACCAAAGTGCTCTTGCTCTGCAGTACCATCAGCTGCCTCACCATTGACAAGATAATCTTATCTCTTAAATAACAGCTTTTTATATTAAAAGAATATGTACAGTAAGTTGATTGTTTAAACTTTTAAACACATTTTTTACAACTTTTGCACCAATTTGTAGGCAGTTAGCCACTTGACAGTTCAATAAAAGTCATCAATTTCATCTTATTGAGAGATGACAGTCTCAATATGCAACAATCACTGTTGGAACTATAAAGGACTAAGGGAGGTCCATTTAGTAAAATGTACCATTCATGATAAAATCTTCCACATTATTGTATTGAATATCTATATATTAAATGTTTTAGGAAATAATCATATAGTCATCATCAGCCTATAAGTGCCCATTGTGCAGAAAAGATCTCTTCTTACAAGGAGGTTTGACCAATAATTACCATGCTTACTCAAGGCCAATTGGATCTTTCAAAGGATGTTAGAATTTAATTTAATAACTACTAAGCTGTCCAATTTTCAACCAATGTTTCTAACAAGAAAATTGTTTCGGATTTTGTGAAGTCCAGCATCTAGTATGAGGTATTTGGTAATATGATCATCCTCTATTATAATCATAAAACTTAGTGAGTTTAATAAACACATTAATGAGAAGTATTTGTATACCAACTTTTCAATAATTCTATAGTAATCTCTCCTCTGTCGGCATACAAGACTCACCAGAAAATACATTGTGTCTGTGTCAGATCTATCTTCTGGCAAACCATGGGTATAAAGCCCATGTTTTGCCTGTTGTTTTTATGAATATAATCCATGTTGAATTAAAGTAAGTGGGCGCTATGTCACTGCCAAAGGTGGAAATGATCAAATCAATGGTTTTTAACTCATTACATTCTGGTACATCCAAACTTCATCTCCATGTAAAGAAAAATGTCAGTTTTCTTACTCTGTTAAAAATGTGCCTTAAGTTAAAAGTATGAGAAATTGGTTTTCAAAGTCAACATTACGTCCAGATACAAGATACATAAAATAGACTTACTATATGTATATGTTTGGTGTTTAGAAGGTGTGGCATTCAGGGTTATTATACTCCATTAACTTAATGAATGTGAAAATGTGGAGCAAGTTAATTGATGTGTTGTTTACAAACATTACATCTTATGCTAATAGTATTAAATGCTAATTTTGTAAGCAGAGCTTTCTGGGTATATTTTTGTGTGTGTGACAACAATGTTTGGAGATGCAAAGATGAGATAGGCAAGACAATAAGATTATGTTACCTTTCACATTTTAATACCCAGTATTTCCAAAAGTGTGGGAGACCCGTGCTTTAGCATGAATGAGTTGGCTCGACCGGGGTGATACCAGGACCTCACAGAAAACCAGCTAGAAACAACCAAAGAGTTGTGTTTCGCTGGTTACCGAAGAATCCAATCCTTCCCCTCCCCCAATTCCTAAATCTACAAATTCTAATCCCTAAAAAGTCGGCAACGCACTCTTTGTGTCCATGGACTAGATTAATTTCTTTTACAGGCAAAACTTTGTCCAACTCTAGGAGCAACATGAATTCTAGGTGGCATCCCCATATTTTAGCTTATTCCATTTTATTGACCTCGGTAAATTCATTCGATTTGTCCATACTTACACTTAAGTATCGATATTTATTCAACTTAGTATTTTAATACGTATGCATTTTGCCTATGTAATTTGACGCTAAAATATTATAACGTCATAAGTTGCTATTTCTGTGAAAAGTTGACGGTTCATTTTGAACATTGGATTTACTTAAATAGAAATTAAAATGTGAAATGGTTACACCAAATAATTGTACTAAAACCTAAATTTTGGCCAATATTCTGGCAACCTATTTAAAGTCAAAATTTCTTATTACCAAATTGAGACAATAGGGTTCGAATATAATATTAGAACAAAAATAATATTTATATAGATTATACGAAAAACTAAATTGTCAATAAACACGTGGGTATTTTTTTTTTTAAAAAAAAAACGTTGCCCCACATTAGGATTTTCTCCTGTGTCGTGGGTGCGGTTACAAACATACAATTTCACATACACATGACACCCAGACCCGGAACAACAATTTGTGGATCACACAAAGAGCTGTTGTTCCGTGCGGGAATCGAACCCGCGACACGTTGCACGGCAGCCAGTTGCCCAGCCACCGCACCAACCGTGCAGCGGTAATTGCAATGTATTGCATAAATTTATTAGAATAACATTTACGTAATATCAACAACACGACGATAGTAGAGTAATATGATGATTTGAATATTTGAATATTCTAAACCAACCTACTAACACGATATCAATTAAGTTTCATCAGTCTCCGCTCGCCTTCAAACTAATTAGACTTGCGAACAGATCGCAAATCGATGAATATTGCATTTCGTTCAATGAATCGTAATGGACAATAAGAATAGTTTATTTTGCTTTTAACCGACTTCAAGACAAGGAAAATGTCCACAATGGGACCATATTTTTATGTTTCTTATATAATAGGCATTTGTATTCCGATTTAAATATATTTTTTTTTACTTATTGCATTCAAAAGTGTAAAGAGTCTGTTTGGTCTCATAGAAATTCGGTCAGTGATTAGTGATTACCAATGTGGAATGTATTTCAGGAAACTCCTAAAAGGTCAACAGAATAAGTTCTGTGATTAATCTCCCTTGAGTGTCCATTCCAGGACTTTACAAGTTTCATTTTAGTGGAAATAAGACCTTTTTCCTACCTTCAAATGTAGCCCATATTATAAGTGAAAAAATAAAGTGTTATTTTATTTTTGAGGGTGAAGAACTTTTATTAGTGTGTTTAGAACCACCCCATTCTTCCTTCTTTTCCAAAATGGGGTATATTATTGCTCGCAAAAGTCTCTCCAAATACGCAACTCTGGCTAGAAATGAGATTTCCATGCAGTGAGGGTATCCTCACTCACTCACTCATAACGCTAAACGTACTGCAATTGCAAATATACAGAGTGGATAGACCGACAGGAATTCTAAATATGGTTGTTTTGGCACGGGTTTTTTTTAATCTTGCCCCTCTCTGGGATTTTTCCTGTGTCGTAGGACGACATTATCAATCATCAAACCCCGAGCGAATGCCGGAGTTCGCGCACCTATTCTTCTTCTATTGTGACTTGAATAACGACAATTTAAAGTTTAAGAATCCGCAAACTTAAAGCTAGTTTATAAAGGCATCCTTTCGCGTTTCATCCAGTCAAATGCAAATCTATGCAGATTTGCTAGCCTGAGAGCAAAATAAGGTACCTAATAATCGGCTTTGTCTGCCTGCAGTACTTCCCGCCAGCGAGTCTCGGTTGGATCATATACTGCGCCTTAGTTGCGGTGCTGTTCGCCGGCCTGAAGCTGCTGAACCACGGCCTGCATCACATGTACGACACCACCGAGTGCATCATCGTGCAGCCCCCCAGCGATCCCAACGCCACTGACAACACTGCGTTAGTAGCCGTACTTTATTTTAATGTCTCCCAGTTTTAGTCTGCCATGCCGAATAGACATGGTGTTAAGTCAGAATCACCAAGTGATTTTTAGAAGTAAAAATGTACTAGAAGTATAAAATTTCTGCCATCTCTAGTAACTATCTCTATATTAACAATTATAGTTATCAAAAGTTTGTGTAGTTAGTTATTTTCCTGTATATTGCAATGTTCCAAACTCTTTATGTTAATACAGAATCTATTTTTATGTTTCCAACAGTCCCGACGAAGGCATGGAGATGCAAATGCTGAAGTTGGGCGGAGCGCCGGCCACGGGGAGTGACAACGAGTCAGTCACCTCACTCGAGTACCACAAACCTAATAACAGTACTATAGGTATAAAAAAACGAATATTTATAACACATTTAATCACAAACCTTAGGATACTATTAAAAATTGATCCCTTTCTCCTTTGCAGATTTAAAAGTAGATGTCCACCGAAAGAACAGTTCGGAGTCCAGCATGGAAGACAGCGCCATGTCTGCCAAGCAGACGGAAGCTGTGGCCGCCACCAAGTCGGACCTGTGCGTGGCGCAGGCCGCCGACATGCCCGGCCCTTCCAAAACCCGTCCAGCTACCAGGAGCCGATCTAAGTCCGGCCACAGGAGGGAACGAACCTCTAAAAGGAGGACGCACGGCACCCGCATCGACGAACTCATCGGTGAAGCTTCTAGAAGTAACAGGGTCGAGAATAACTTGCCCGTTCATATGCTAGTCGACGAAGGCCCCTTCGCTAAAGTCAGTAGGCGCTACCACGAGTGCCCGCACCGACGTGGCTCAAGCAATAAGGACTTTTTCAAAGAGTGGCTTTACCTCGACGGTAGCGAGGCTACCGGGGAACCATACCAGTCTAAGTTCGCCCGGCAACTGAGCTCCGACTCGAGAGATAACTCCGAGCCTAGCGTCGGTCCACCGTCCCCTAAGAAGAGGACAGCGCATCGCCGGAGGTACGCTAACTACCCAGATGAAAGTTGCACCAAATCCGCCATGGCGCTGGCAACCCAGCAGTCGTCCAACATGCGCAGGAACTCCAACTCCACGATGTCCACCATTCAGCTCCCGCTTTTGAATTCAACCGCGCAGCTCGTATCGCATATGAGGAGGCACTCCAACAATGCTGATACTGGATTCTTCGCTAGTGTAGAACTCGGTGAGTACATGATGGTGAAAGCCGAAGCTCCAGCAGGCGATACAGAGAAGAGTAAAGGAAAGAGTTCAGGTTTCAGAAGAATTAAAAGCGCCGCGTTAGAAATCGGGTGTCCACCTCCGAGCGTTTCGAATCTATCTCCTCATCCTAATAGTGCAGAAACTATCGGCGGTCAGATGTTGAAGAACCCGAAAAGTGCTGTTATTCCACCACCTAGCAAAAGCTTAACTCGCGGTCCACATTTAAATCTGTATCCGAAGAATGAATCGGGAGAAGGATGTAGCTATCCATATTTAACCTACGGTTCCGAAATTGTGTACCCAATCGCAGAAATATCTGATGAAATGCAAACGTCACAGAAAGAAACAGACCTGGACTCGAGCGGAGAGAGCTACAGTGATTATGATGACGAGAAGCAATTCCGGGGCTTCGACTGGGACGCCGAACAGTCGTCAGCGATGCGCTCCAGTGATTCGGATTATGAAAACAATGGATCCAGGTCGCCATTGCTTGACAGGCCCTCAGACGTGCGAGTGGTGCGGAGCAAGACTCACGGGGACAGCAAGAAGCACTGCTGTGAGCGACACACAAACAAACATAACTTGGACTGTCCCAACGACAAAAGCAAACCTACAAGACTGAAAAAGCTTCCCAAACACGAGCCACAATACGAAGCTAAGCGTTCCGAAAGGGCAGCTCCTTGCTGCGAATGTAAAACCAACATCAACACTAACGTTGACTATTTTGAAAAGGCCAGCGCTAGTTCCAAAGACTTATTAATAGAAAAATCCAGTTTGGAGTCTAATGAGGCACAAGAACCGCCCGAAAAAAAGGCGGAAGATAAAAAAGTCGTTGAAAAGAAACTGTGGGACCACAATATCTGTAATTCTAGCAGTAGTAGCGATACTTACGTAGAGGGAGTTGCGAAAATGTTTAAACCAGAAAAGAGCACCGCTCCCGAAACCGAGGAGTCGCAACTAACTTGCGACAGCAGCCGCAGCGCTGACGAGCGGAGCGTGTACAGCCTGGACTGGCTCTTCGAGGAGTCGGATCTGGCCGCCGCCTGCAGCAAGGACGCAGGCGCCTGCGCGCTCGCAGAAGATGTACTGAACCAAAAACTAGCCAACGCCCTCGGCGAATCATCTTCCAACGTTCCAAAAAACTTGGGCGCTATACCAAAGCAGATAAAAAACTTAGCGCGTTCGCGAGCTTCCTCGCAGAAGGAGAACAAGAAGAGAGATTCTAAAAAAGAAAAAGATGAGAATCAAAATGAAGAAGTTTCCTTCGACGCGGTGGAGGCTCAGGCTGCTTTGGTACAAGGGTTGGAATGCTTGTTTGCGGCGACGAACGCCAACACCGTGGTGATGCCGCCCACCAACCGGGACGAGCGGCCGCGTAGCCACAGGCAGAGCATTCGGGGCGAGAGAGAGAATTCGCACAAAACTAGAAAACGATCCATTGAAGAAGTAGCACAAACTTCTACCAACACCCTTCTTCCTACCTCCATGCCTCTACTGGCAGCTTTCCTCAACTCCAGAGTGGACTTCGGGCCCTGCTGTGCACCATCACACGCCACCAACGGTACTGAGGCAGCTCCGCCCCAGAACGCGCAGGCTGCAGAAGAAGCGCCGCGGTTTAGACCTCTAATGGATAGAAACCATAGAAACCGGATTAGAAAAATTAAACGTTCAACTCGACAGCGAAATAATCCTTCTCATCAGAGCAATGCAAACAAAAGAAACAAGGCACCAGCTCCGGACAGCTCCAATAACTCCAACAATGTTCATTTTGCGACGTCCTTCGACGACACGACGGATGGGGCAATACACTGCTTCATGGATGAGTACGGCAACTGGATGTCATACACCTTCGACAAAAACAGTTCAGGTCGTGCCCAAGCGCAACCGATCCCTTTGCCGGAGAAGGAAGATGGAATGCGCATAAACAGGGTTAAACCTATTGATAACCCCGACAACTCACAAGAAACTGCCGGTGAAGGTAGCTGTGGCTCTCTAGAATCTGAAGCAGGCAACAGTGAAAGCATACCCAAAACTAAACGAGGAGACAGCATCGATCAAAGCTCCTCCAACCAGGGGAGCAACAACCCGCTACTGTCGAGCAACAATAACGTGTCGGCAGTGGTGCCTATAAACACGAATAATGCCAACAAGCGGTTCTACGTGTTTGACGGAGGGACTGGTGCGCACGCCGACCAGCCCCGGTCCCCCGTGGCGTACGTCACTGATAGTTTACTAGAACAAATAGAGGCTGAAAGACAATCGCGCATGGGGCTACCGAGCATGCATATAAACTTCCTCATGAACCAGCAGAGGGCACAACAGATGGCTCAGCAACAAGCTGAAAATACATACGCCAACATACCGAGCCTGATGCCCTCAATAGGCGAGGAGAGCGTAGAAATAAACCATAGGAGTAAATTCTCAAAATTAATGGACGAAATGGAGAAGGCGAATCAGCCGAAACCAAAGAGTTACTACAAGTTTAAACTTTCAAAATGTTTCGAACTGAAGGTTACCATGGATAGGCTGCAGCTGATGGCGTTGTTTGATAGAAACTTGACGTTCAAGGAAACCTTCATCACAATATTTCTGGCTGTGATGGTGGCCGTATTGGGTTCCATGGTGTTGAACCTTGGCTTCTACAGGGATATATACGCGTTTTGGTTTTGTTTCATAATGGCGGGCAGTCAGTACTCGCTACTAAAAAGTGTTCAGCCGGATTCTGCGTCACCGGTGCATGGCTTCAACAAGATGGTGGTGTTCTCCCGTCCGGTCTACTTTTGCATATGCACGGCACTATTGTGCGGGGTGCACAGTTATTTAGAACAAACAGCGCCCTTTATGGACGAGGACCACACGAGGCGGAAACGAAGCGTAGACGCCACAAACCCTATAACTATATACGGATTTGAAATGAATGAAAGAGATTTTTTGCTCATCATTCAAGAGATTCTATCAAAGTTCCTGTTGTTTTTTCCTTTGGCGTTCAGTTTGGGGTTATTCCCTCAAGTGAACACGTTCCTCATGTACTTCTTGGAGCAGGTAGACATGCACGTATTCGGCGGTAACGCGACGAGCAGCCTGAGCGCGGCCGTGTACTGCGTGGTGCGCTCCCTGGCCGCCATCGGGGTGCTGTACGGGTTCGCGTACAGCGGCCTCGTCGAGGGGAAGAAGTCCCAGCACCAGAAGCACAACATTCTGTTCTCAATATTCTGCGGCCTCTTGGTGCCCATAGCGTACCACTTGAGCCGCAGTGCCAGCGACTACACGCTGATCTGGAACTTGATAAAGAAACATTTGTTACCGCCGGAGTTGTACGTGATACATAGTCCGGAGTGCTCCCCGGAGACCGACAAGTCGGACCCCAACACGCTGACCGAAGACAAAAAGAACAATTCGGAGAGTAACATATCGAAACAGAATTCAATAGGTAGTTCAGCGTCTAAGATCAACTTTAGTTCGGAGACGAATATTGCTAAGCAGAAGAGGTCTCAGACATCGAGTGTTAGTTCCTTGAAGATGGACCCTCGGGGAGGGGACACAATGAACTCTACGAGTTCCTTGAAGGCTGACGTGCCTCCGGAGGACGATAAGACTCAGGATACGAGTACTACGAATGTGAAGGCCGACTCTGAGAAGCCAGACGAGGACATGGAGGACCCCCTGCCAAAGAAGTTGCAGGCGACAGTGAACGCGCGGCTCAAGAACGATGTGATCGTGTGCACGTTCCTGGGGCTGTTCGTGTTCGGGTTGCACTGCACCACTGTGTTCACCACGCTCAGACCACAACTTAACACGGTGAGTTCTATTTGTGTGTGTTTATATGTAGCATATACCATAATTACCTAATTTCATTATACATATACTAGTTTTTGTCCGTAAATTCGTCGGTCTAGAATGCAAAATCGATTGACTGACAAATCACAATAACTGATTAAAATTTAATGTTGTTGAAATTAATTCAAAATCATTAATAAGCAAGATATCTAACAAAGTTAATCAATGAAAACCATAAAAAATATGTTTATTTCGTCATCATTTTATTCAGTCTTTAGAGGTACCTCGGATTTGGCTTGGAGCGGAACAGGAGGTCCTTAGTCAGTAAGAGTCGTACACTCAGAAGTCACGTGATGATTTTCCTTTGACAACAAAAATGTTTTGAAAGTTAGTATACAGAGAAAAGTGTCAGGTTGTAATCACCCGCGTGCTTGTTTAGGCGCTGTGGATAATAGCGGGATGCCTGGGCTGGGCGCTGCACTACATAACCCCGCAGCTGCGCAAGCAACAGCCGTGGCTGTGCCTGGCCGGGCCCGTGCTCAAACAGCACGAACATGCACAGTTCGAGGTCACCGAACCCGCGCGACTCATGTGCTTCGAAAAGGTATTATTTTACAATTAATAATTACAATTGGGTAGTTAAATTATTTCTATGTTTTAATACAATAAAATATAGAAAAATAACTGTAGGTACTTTTACTCATCGATCTGTCGATACATAAAATTTTCGATGTTTGGCTTCGAAAAGGTAACGCATTATTCTTATTATCATCCATTTAACTAGAATTAGGTATTTCCTAAGTCAAAAATAAATTGATTCAACGTTTCAATACAAATGTTGAAAAATAACTATAGGTACACCTACTTTTATTCATCGATCTGTCGATACACTAAGTTTTCGATGTTTTTTAGCTGAGTTTTGAGAAATAACCAAGCTATTTAACGCAAATATACTAAGACTTCATAATTTAATTTCATATAAATTTTATGATAAGGTCTCGTTAAATAAAAGTATTGAATTTGACTAGTTGAAAACTACCGTATTACATGATGAAACAATCTTGGTATGGCTTTATATCTAAAAGTTGTTTAAAAATTGTATTACATAAAGGGTTTACAATTAGGTGTCTCTAAAAGTCTAAATCGATGATAGCTAAAAAACAAAACTTAAATAACCATTGTAAGTATGTTATACGACCTTTTTAGTATAAAAAGACATGCCAACATTGTTAACCTTTCATTAACCATCTAAACCAATAGACCATAGGTGTAAAGTTGTTTCCCGGGGAGGGGAATGGGGGGGGGGGGTTTAAGATGTGATATAACGTTCGTGCCATAGATGTTCGTGTACCTGAGCTTCCTGGAGCGCAACGTGCTGTACCCGGCCGTGGTGGTGGCGGCCACGTCGCAGGACGCGCCCGCCATCGCCACCAAGTACGGGGACGCCGTCGGCGCACTCATCATATGCGTCTGCGCACTCAAATGTTAGTATTACCACTTTTCATAATCTTTTTATTTGAATACAGGATAAAATACTGTGATGCTGCCGAAGATTATATTACATTGAAAAAAAAAAAAGAAGAAGCGGTCCCCAGTTTCGAACTAGAGTAGGATGTAATTGATGTGTGTAGATGTAGGATTACTGGGTTGCCATTTCAAAATATAGATGTTTAAGTTTGGGAGAACCATGCTTCGGCACGAATGGGTCGGCTCGACCGGAGTGATACCACGGCCTCACAGAAAACTGGCGTGAAACAACCACAGCGTTGTGTTTCGCCATGTGAGTAAGGTTATCGAATACCCAATCCCTCCACCTCCCCCCATTCCTTCCCAATCCTTAAATATTCAAAACCCTTATCCCTAAAACGCTGGCCACTCGTAACTTTTTTGGTGCTGCGGGCGGCGCTGATTGCTTACCATCAGGTAAGTTTACCCGTTTGCCGACCTATCCCATAAAAAATTGTAGCTGACGTTTGTTCAAATAAATTTTCCTTTAATAATTCCCTGAGCTAATACCTCAGACTAAGGTTATAGATTGATGCAACAGCCCTCTTCTGCAGAATTGGTTAGATTTTTTTTTCTGTTGGATAATCCATTTATGTATCAAGTATCCGATAAACTTTTATTACACATCTTTCATACAAATTATGTTATAAAACAAAAATAACTCTATTTTATTTATCCTTTATACACTTCAGTCACTTGCATATCGGAAGACTTAATGCTAGAAGCATTTTCTGCCAGTCATCCTTTTGGTAGTGCAGTGTGTAGTAGGTGATATGCAGCAATTAAGGAAGTTATGGGAAGTGAAGGTGTAAATCAATTCAAAGTTACAAACATATTACAATAAAAAAAAACAATTTTATCCCCCAGACAATAAGGTTCATTATCAAATTTTTTGCCTACAGGCCTAAGAAACGCGTATTCGGAACCGGAATCCCAGTACTTGATCCTGGTGTTCGCAGTGCTTCTCTTCCAAAGGGACCTCAGCAGTCGCAAGATATCCGAGACATTTCTAGTGGACTACTTCATCACCGCTATAATCTTCAGTAAGGTCTACGAGTTCCTTCTAAAGGTAGGTACTGGCCGGAAAAGATTGTGCGGCCATTTTTTTTAGTATTTCGGCCTATCCGAACTTGAATTGTCGACCACAGTTGTGGGGTTCTTAGTTTTGTCCTGTAGTTTATTGCTGCATAACGAATGTTGGCAAAAATGTATTTTATTTTAATGTTTTATTTAAAGTTGAGCCTTAATCTATGAACATAACAACTTTAGAATTTTTTAGTCACTCAATCTTCATATATAAATGTATTATTGTTTAAAAAAAAATTGATATTCTTTGTTTATTGCTGCATTGCGTCCGGTGTCAAAAAATGTATTTTCTGTTCTTTTTTTATAGTGAAGCATTATTTATAACCTATGAACACAAACTTGACAAAGATTACAATTTCGTATTCACTCAATCTTCATGTTAAAACATTATTTCTCTATTTTTCCTCGTATGTACAGGTGCAATTCGTGGTGACATACATAGCGCCGTGGCAGATCACGTGGGGGAGCGCGTTCCATGCGTTCGCGCAACCATTCTCCGTGCCTCACTCCGCCATGTTGTTCCTGCAGGCCGCCGTCTCCGCTCTACTCTCCTCGCCGCTCACGCCTGCCCTCGGTACGTACCCACTGTCACCATCGTCATATAACACTATAGTCTCTTAAAAAGCCGGCGTGAAACAACGCTTGCGACGTGATTCGTTATCTGAGTGAAGTTAACTGAAGCTCAGTACCCTTATCCTCGATTTAAGTTTGAAATCTCCCATCTATCTCATGCAAGCTTAGCCAATAGTCTGCCAAAGATGGGGCCCTTGAGGGCCGATGTTCAGCCGGGGTTGCGGGGCATGCGTATTAAGGTACCGTAGCCTCGACCTGAAGCAGGAGAAAGAACGGGGAGGTTTCTAGTCAGTCACTGTTCAGTCTGACACTCCCTCTTGCCTCACTCCAAGCGAGAAGTCATTTGATGATTTTCCCCTCACATAAAATACTTTGGGCAAGCTTGATACTTATTGCTGAGAGTTTGTCCGTTTGAGGATAAGTCTTTGTTCATAAATGGAGATGGTCTTTTATGGTATAGGTCGGCAAACGAGCAGACGGATTACCTGATGGTAAGCAATCAGCGCCGCCCATGAGCACCCACAATAACGGAAGGAGTAACCAGTGCATTGCCGGACTTTTAAAGGTTTTGGATATTTCATGATTGGCAAGGTACGGGGGAAGGTGAAGAGATTGGGCCCCGGTAAACTTACTCACATGGCGAAACACAACGCTGCGGTTGTTTCACGCCACTTTTCTGTGAGGCCGTGGTATAATTCTGGTCGAGCTGACCCATTCGTTGCCAAAGCATAGCTCTCCCACACTTCATGAAAGAAATGTAAGAATGTTGTTTGTATATCAGGTAGTGCAATATTCATGACATCGTACGTGCGCCCCGTCAAGTTTTGGGAGCGCGACTACAACACGAAGAGAGTGGACCAGAGCAATACGCGGCTATCTTCTCAACTGGAGCGGAACTTAGGAGCTGGTAAGCATAGCCTTTATCTTATAAGGAATAAAGTCTTCTCCTCAAATAATATCTTCTGATTTATTTCGTTGTGAGATCCAAGACAGTCATACGTGTCCATGGGACGCGCCGGACTTCAGTGCACCGGTGTTTTCATGGTTGTATCTACTGCAGGTCCTGACTTGCAGGAGCTGTAGCGTTTAGGGAGGTTGAGGCGAGCTTGACCGATTAAAAAAATTTTTTTTTTTCATTGTTTTTTTCTTCCTATAAATTTCAAGGAATATTAATAAGGTAATGTGTACTTATATTACAGACGATAACAATTTGAATTCTATATTCTACGAGCACCTGACCCGGTCGCTACAGCACTTCCTCTGCGGAGACCTCATGCTCGGCCGCTGGGGGCAGGTCCAGCAAGGAGACTGCTTCGGTAAGACCTTCGTACCAACATTCTTACAAAGATCTCAGACAGTAGGTTTTTCAACCGGGGTTGCGGGATAAGCGCAATGACTCACCGCGGCTTCAGACCAGAGCAGGAGAAGGAACGGGGGTGTTTTTAGTCAAAAAGAACCTGACACTAATGGGGCGGAAGAAGTCAATTTAAGATATTTAAAAAAGGGAGTTAGTTTTGTGTTTTTTGTAAAGGGTTTCCCGCACTATATTTTTGCTAAAGAACTATTGTTATAAGTGCTTTGTAATATAGTCGTTTACGCTCATGATCAAGAAACCTGGAGCACCTTGAAACGAGTCGGGATAAACGACTTTCAAAATGGAGTATGTAAATACTCTAGGTACGAACAATCCTTTATTTTGTTCCAGTTTTAGCATCAGACTACCTAAATTGCTTGGTCCACATAGTGGAGATGGGCAATGGACTGGTCTCCTTCCAGCTGAGGGGGCTCGAGTTCAGAGGGACCTACTGCCAACAGAGAGAGGTTGAGGCCATCTCCGAAGGCCCTGAGGAGAGTAGCGGTGAGTTATTTCTTAACATATGGAAAATTTTCTTATTTACTTTGACACCTAGTTGTGAACAACAATTTGTGGATCATGCGAAGTTCTATCTACGGTATACTTGCGCAGTAGCCTTATAATCAAAGCTTTCCCTTACTAAGGAGAGGTTTGCCATGATTCCCTCGCTTAACAGCAGGAGTGGTGATCGCTCTTTAAGAAGATCAGGTATAATATCAGAGTGCACTGCTCACAGACGACTCAACCTAAAGACCGCGCTTTGCCAGACATATGCATTCGCCAAGGTTAGGCAGTGACACTGCATTAGAGCCGGCCCCGCCCCTGTCTGTTTCTCATTCCGCCGCGCCGTCGAGAATCAAAGCGAAATAACAACATTGTCAATTTTGACATGTCCTTAAACGAGCCAATGAAAACTAGATTACCTCTCCCCGCAACCCCTAACCTTTTAGCGATTTTGTTTTCGTACTGAAGTTTGTTTACGCGTGGTCTTTAGGTTAAGTCGCCTATGGCGCTGCTGTTCATTCACCATTGATTTTTACATTATGTTATCTGTAGCAAGAATTGGTGATAAATCTGTTTCATTTTATATTCAGCCCCGGTTGAATTTTCGAGTAGGTTGAATTGTTTATAAAGTGCCGCACTTGTAAGTGAAGGAGAGCCAAGCTTCGGCACGAATGGGTCGGCAATGATTGATTGATTGTGTGATTGGTCAAACTGACGACGTGCTAGATAAGCGCCATCTAGTCAGCATAGAAACGGTAGTCTCCGTTGGTGACGGTTTGTTAAGTTTTGTGGGCAATGAGTAGTGTGTGTGTGTGCAGAGGGCGTGTGTGGCGCGGGCGGGGCGTGGTGGTGCGGGGGGCGCGCGCTGTCGCTGGGCGCGGCGTGGGCGCTGCGCTGTTAGCAATGAGTAGTGTGTGTGTGTGCAGAGGGCGTGTGTGGCGCGGGCGGGGCGTGGTGGTGCGGGGGGCGCGCGCTGTCGCTGGGCGCGGCGTGGGCGCTGCGCTGTTAGCAATGAGTAGTGTGTGTGTGTGCAGAGGGCGTGTGTGGCGCGGGCGGGGCGTGGTGGTGCGGGGGGCGCGCGCTGTCGCTGGGCGCGGCGTGGGCGCTGCGCTGTTAGCAATGAGTAGTGTGTGTGTGTGCAGAGGGCGTGTGTGGCGCGGGCGGGGCGTGGTGGTGCGGGGGGCGCGCGCTGTCGCTGGGCGCGGCGTGGGCGCTGCGCTGTTAGCAATGAGTAGTGTGTGTGTGTGCAGAGGGCGTGTGTGGCGCGGGCGGGGCGTGGTGGTGCGGGGGGCGCGCGCTGTCGCTGGGCGCGGCGTGGGCGCTGCGCTGTTAGCAATGAGTAGTGTGTGTGTGTGCAGAGGGCGTGTGTGGCGCGGGCGGGGCGTGGTGGTGCGGGGGGCGCGCGCTGTCGCTGGGCGCGGCGTGGGCGCTGCGCTGTTAGCAATGAGTAGTGTGTGTGTGTGCAGAGGGCGTGTGTGGCGCGGGCGGGGCGTGGTGGTGCGGGGGGCGCGCGCTGTCGCTGGGCGCGGCGTGGGCGCTGCGCTGTTAGCAATGAGTAGTGTGTGTGTGTGCAGAGGGCGTGTGTGGCGCGGGCGGGGCGTGGTGGTGCGGGGGGCGCGCGCTGTCGCTGGGCGCGGCGTGGGCGCTGCGCTGGCTGGCGTGGCAGCTGGTGGCGGCGCGCTATGTGCTGGAGGGGTACTCCGTCTCCGACAACTCCGCCGTCTCCATGCTGCAAGTCTTCGAGTTCCGGAAGGTGCTTCTCACATACTACGTCAAGGTACGCACTCGTTACTACCTTATCTGTACTAAACTTAATATTATAAAGAGGTATTTTTTTTAAGTTAGTATGTAGGGGGTAATTGTAATTGTAACTGATGGTCAGATTCCTAAAATTCTTTCACTGATAGATACTTTTTACAGGTTTTTTTTTACTAGGTACAGTTTACCATTAGGATATCTGCTCTTAATTAGATATTAAAGAGAAAAACACCACAACCATTAAGGTTTTAAACTTACCTATAGCAATCTCCCCAAGTATACGGCGCGTAGTATTTCGCGCGCGACTCAAAGAGTCGATAGACCACCACAGATGGAGCCTGACGGGATCAAATTCAACCGGGGTTGCGCAATAAGGTACCGTGGCCTCAGCCTGGAGCAGGAAGCTGGGAAGGGAGATTAATAAATTTGTCTTTTATTAATTTGCCCTACTATGATTTTCTCCTGTATCGTGGATGCGTACAACAAACATATAAATTCACATTCACATCACCCCGAGATCTGTCAGTCAGTGGATCACAAAGAGTTCCTCCGTGCGGGAATGGAACCCGCGACTTGTTGCGCGGCATCTAGTTACCAGCCACCACGCCAACCGTGCAGACGCTACGAATGCCAGTAAATTCCAGTAAACGTCTGACACGCAAATGAATTTGAGTCTGACACTCCTTCTTGCCCCAGCCTGGGCGAGTGAAACAAATTGATGATTTTCCCCTCAAAAAAAAAACCTTTTTTTTGTTACAGAGTATAATCTACTACACAATCCAGTCAGCTAAGTTAGAAGAGTGGCTATCATCGCCTGTAATAGCAGAGGCATTGAAACCAATGAACGAGAGGAATTTCGTGGATCTGGACCCCATATTCAATGTCAACTTGGATGAGGACTACGACTTTAGAGCTTCTGGTATTACCAGGTACGTTAGTTCCGTAGGTCAGCAAGCTCTGAATTTTGAAATGTTTTTGTAAAGGGAAATCTTGCAACCAAACTTTGAAACAGGATATTTAAGCGATTAGCTGATATTTTGTCACCGTTGATTTGCATTTACATGTCAATCCGCACTCATATAGTTTGCTATCTATCGAGGAGTGTGAAATTAAGGGTCAGTTTTACCATCTTCATTTAAGTATGAGCTGGATTTCATTTAAGGATGATGATGTAAGCTTCTGAGGCACTATGTAGTTAATACTAATTTCGTCCTTTCGTTATAAGGAGACATCCATAAAGTACAACCCCCTCCCCCCGTCCATGTCACAGGTGGTCACATTTCAGAGCGCCCTCCGTAGTGTGACGTCACATGTTTTGCAGTTTTACATCGAACACAACATGTCACTAGAGCGGGTTTCAAGCCGTCAATAAAACAATTTAAACCGTGTTGTCCCAAAGAAAAAGAGTTTTTTTTTTGTTTTGATTAATATTTCAAATTACGCAATTGGTACATACATCTACATATATTAGATTTTGAAATGTGATGTCACGAAACTAGGACCCCTTCCACCCCTAATCACACCATGTCACACATGGACGGTCTCCCGTCCCCTTCATGTGTGACGTGCTTTATGGATGATCCCTGATATGTATTGGCTTTAAAACATTAAAAAACAGACCCATAAAATGTTAACGTTGTTATGTAGGAGTCGTTTCTGCGCGGTGTACGGGGAGTGGATCGCGTACTGTGGGGCGCGGCGTGGCGTAGGCTGGAGACGGCGCGGGGGCGCGGGTGGGAGCGCGGGGGGCGCGGGCCCGGGCGCCGCCCTCACCACGCTGTGCTTCGCGCTCAGTCTGCTCGGCCGCCGGGCGCTCGCCGCCGCGCAACATCTCTCCGCATCCAGGTTATTGAAGCTACATTATAAAGCTTGTTACAAAAAAAGCCATGAGTATAAATGTGGATGGATGGAGAAGGAGACCAAAGAAAATATGGATGGATTGTGTAAGAAGTGATATGGAAGACAGAGGAGTTAGCGATAGCGCGACGGGTGACAGGACAGAATGGAAGAAAAAACATATTGCGCCGACCCCAAATAAAACGGGACAAGGGCAGGAAGATGATGATGACTAACATTATAAAGCTGTAGAGTTTGTGTGTTTATTTGAACGCGCTAATCTCTGGAACTAGTGGTTTGAATTGAACAATTCTTTTTGTGTTTGTTAGTCCACTTATCAAGGAAGACTATATGCTATAAAACACTACGCTACGATCTGTAGGAGTGTATTAAGCACAAGCAGTCGTTGAAACCGCGCGAGAATAACTATAAATAATAAAACACCATCATTTTGGATACATATCTGAAGGATCATTTTACGAAAAGAAAACGAACTATGAAACGCTTATTTGTTTACTGTATTCAAAACACTAAGTTCTCCAAAATAGTTAAGAGTTAGTACCTAATATTTAAAACTTTCCCACTGTCTAATTTTCTTCTATACTAATATTATAAAGACGTAAAATTTATAAGTTTGTAACTTTGTATGTTTTTAAGTTTGTATGTTTTTAAGTTTGTATGTAGGGGATAATCTTTGGAACCGCGATTCGGATTGCCGAAATTCTTTCACTGATAGATAGCTACAATGTTCCTGAGTGCTATAGGCTATAAAACATCACGCTACGGTTAAAATGGAGCCGAGCAGCGGGTGAAACCGTGCGAGAGTAGCTAGTATTTAATATTTTGCGCTCAAATTAATATTTTGTTTTCAGCGTGGAGTTTTTCCTATACGGCTTGCACTCGCTGTTCAAGGGAGACTTCCGCATAACATGCGCGCGCGACGAGTGGGTGTTCACCGATATGTCCTTACTGCACTCCGTACTGGCTCCCGCCATACGAATGGCCCTCAAACTCCACCAGGTAACCCATACCGGGGTTAAACCCGATAATGCTGTTATGATTGTTTGTTTGTTAGTTCCAACACTGAAAACTGAAACCGTGTAATGAATTTATTGCTACTAAAGTAAACAATGTTATTATAAAGTTTTGCCTAATTGCAATATTGACGCAAATTACATCAAAACTAATATTATAAATGCGAAAGTGACTCCGTCTGTCTTTTCTTCACGCCTAAACTACTGAACCTATTTGTGTGAAATTTGGTACAGACATAGTTTGGAACTCGAGAAAGGACATAGAATATCTTTTAAATCAAAAATCTGCATGAAGTCACTATTCCACGCGAACAAAGTCGCGGACAAAAGCATATATACCTACAACTAAGGTCAATGAACAGAATCGCTCGTACAACCTATCGCAAATAATGATGTTCCGAATATCCGTATCCGTTATTTTTCACCCGGATATTTTACGGGTAATCAGATAGAATTAACATCATTTACCATCCTAAAATAATAGTACCACCCGCGCAGTATAAGTCAAAACATGTCCTGTCAGTTGTTGCGGCGGCGGGCGTGACGTCAACTACCGTTTTAATTGTCGTGGGCGCCGCGGATCTTGACACCAAATATCGGTTTTCGGATCCGTATCAGCGGACGAAGGGGCCGTTTATTAAGTACGTCACACGTAAAGGGGTGGAGGAGTCGACAAAGTGTGATATGGTGTGAGAAAGGGACGGAGAGGCCCTAAGTTTCGTGACATCACATTTCAAAATTTAATATATCTAGATGTACTAATCGTGTAATTTGAAATAATAATCAAACTAAAAAATATTTTTCGTTCTATCTTTACGACGACATGGTTTACATTGTTTTGTTGACGAGGTCTTACCCGCATTAGTGACACGTGCCGTTCGCTGACGATCCTTTTAACAAATGCCACTAAACTCACCGTACCTCATGATTTTATTTTTTTTTATTTAATGATTTTTTGATGTGAAATTGCAACACATGTCATTGTGACGTCACGAAATGTGACGTACTTTATGGATGGCCCCTAATTACAACTATCACTGCTTAAAGGATTTTGTTCTGCGGAAAATTTTTAATACTATGATTGTTCCCATAGGACCACTTTATGTTTCCCGAGGAGTATTGCAGTAGCTCAGCTCTGTACTGCGCCATAGCGTCGCATGCGCAGCGCCTCGTCATCTGCCACGAGGCCGCCCCGGCCTGGCGGTACAACGTACTGCGCGGGGCGCCGCATCTACTCGCGCTCAGGTGCCTCCCTATATAATACACTACATTACTTTCAAAGTCAAAGATTCGACTGCACGGTTTTTTTATTTATGTGATAGGTTGGCAAACGAGCAGACGGATTACCTGATGGTAAGCATTCGACGCCGCTCATGGACACCTACACTAACTAACTAATAACAAACTGTCGCGGACTCGATACCCGCACGGAACAACTCTTTGTGTGATCCACAGATTGTTGTTCCCGGTGTAAGTATGATATGTATGTGCAATTGTATGTATGTAAACACACCCACGATACAGGTGAAATAACGAGGCAGGGGCAACGTTCTCTTTAAAAAAAATATTTATTTCAATTCGACCCTTTCAGGCACTTTTGAACGTCAAACAAAGCTTAAAGATAAAATGAGTCAGTCTGTCGGTCAGTCAGCTATTTGCTCGTTCCAAAGTGTAGATTCCAATGGAGAAGAACGAGCAAGAAACTCCATGGTTTTCTTTTTAAATAGTTTCACACTACACTAAAAACCACCCGTTCCTCCTCCCGCTCTGGGCTGAGGTCGCGGTGCCTCATTGCGCTTACCCCGTAACCCTATAACCCTGCTATATCATTGCAGACACGTGGTGGACGAGGGTAACGACGACTTCAAGATAATAATGCTGAACAAACGGCATCTAGGGTTCCGCGTCATCAAACTGAACCGCGAGTGCGTCCGAGGCCTGTGGGCCGGCCAGCAACAGGAACTCGTTTACCTACGGAACAGAAACCCCGAGCGAGGGTCCATACAGAATGCTAAACAGGTAAACAATATTTCATTTTCGTACAACTTTGTGTGACTTAAGGAGCCAAGGACGATAATCATCAGTACATGTGTATCGTACTATGTTTTTCAACACATTTCTGAATAAAATAATACTTAAATCAGAAACCGTCAAAAGAGAAAACGAGTTGTGAAAAATGTTTCGTAATGGCGGGAAAAATTAATCAGGATTCTTATGCGCGCGCATTAGCCATAGACTAAAAAATGAGTTTCTTTTTTGGGCTTTTTGCCAACCAATAACATAAAAAAACTGTCTCTTGTTTTAATTGAGTAGTTTCCTAAGTCAAAAATAAATAATTTTGAATTTTCATTATAATGGATTATTAAAATATAATCATACCTTCATTGATTAATTTGACGGTATACTAAATCTTGTTAACTTTAAAAAAATAAGTAATTATGCTATTTGGCGTGAATAGATATGACGTCATCTGTTCCGACTTCATAAAAAAGTTTCGTTTAATGACATTTCGATAAATTCTTGAATTTGACTTTTTTAGAAACTACCGTATTGTGAACATTAAATAGATTTTATAGTTATTTATCATACAAATAATTATGTTTCGCATGTAACAGGCCCTCCGCAACATAATAAACTCGTCGTGCGACCAGCCCATCGGGTACCCCATCTACGTGTCCCCGCTGACGACGTCGTACGCCGACACCTCCCCGCAGCTGTGCGAGCTGCTGGGCGGGCCCCTCACTGTCACCGCCATACGCCAGCGCCTCGCCGCCGCGTGGAGACGGTAACTTACTTCCTACTATTATATAATAGATGATACAATTGATGACTTGTAAGAGATCCAGTGTGGTTTGTTTCAAAGATTTAAGCTTGTAAAATTTGTGCATTGTACCAGTATCCGGCGTCGTTGCGGCGAGGGCTGCTCGTCGGGCGGCGCGACCGCAGCCTGCGACGCCGCCGCCGCCGAGGCAGGCGCCGCGCGGACCCACACCCCGCGACATAATGCGCTGCATCTGTCCCGGACCTCACTCGGTAACTGCACACTGTACACGCACTCATTACATACCGCGCGGACCCACACCCCGCGACATAATGCGCTGCATCTGTCCCGGACCTCACTCGGTAACTGCACACTGTACACGCACTCATTACATACCGCGCGGACCCACACCCCGCGACATAATGCGCTGCATCTGTCCCGGACCTCACTCGGTAACTGCACACTGTACACGCACTCATTACATACCGCGCGGACCCACACCCCGCGACATAATGCGCTGCATCTGTCCCGGACCTCACTCGGTAACTGCACACTGTACACGCACTCATTACATACCGCGCGGACCCACACCCCGCGACATAATGCGCTGCATCTGTCCCGGACCTCACTCGGTAACTGCACACTGTACACGCACTCATTACATACCGCGCGGACCCACACCCCGCGACATAATGCGCTGCATCTGTCCCGGACCTCACTCGGTAACTGCACACTGTACACGCACTCATTACATACCGCGCGGACCCACACCCCGCGACATAATGCGCTGCATCTGTCCCGGACCTCACTCGGTAACTGCACACTGTACACGCACTCATTACATACCGCGCGGACCCACACCCCGCGACATAATGCGCTGCATCTGTCCCGGACCTCACTCGGTAACTGCACACTGTACACGCACTCATTACATACCGCGCGGACCCACACCCCGCGACATAATGCGCTGCATCTGTCCCGGACCTCACTCGGTAACTGCACACTGTACACGCACTCATTACATACCGCGCGGACCCACACCCCGCGACATAATGCGCTGCATCTGTCCCGGACCTCACTCGGTAACTGCACACTGTACACGCACTCATTACATACCGCGCGGACCCACACCCCGCGACATAATGCGCTGCATCTGTCCCGGACCTCACTCGGTAACTGCACACTGTACACGCACTCATTACATACCGCGCGGACCCACACCCCGCGACATAATGCGCTGCATCTGTCCCGGACCTCACTCGGTAACTGCACACTGTACACGCACTCATTACATACCGCGCGGACCCACACCCCGCGACATAATGCGCTGCATCTGTCCCGGACCTCACTCGGTAACTGCACACTGTACACGCACTCATTACATACCGCGCGGACCCACACCCCGCGACATAATGCGCTGCATCTGTCCCGGACCTCACTCGGTAACTGCACACTGTACACGCACTCATTACATACCGCGCGGACCCACACCCCGCGACATAATGCGCTGCATCTGTCCCGGACCTCACTCGGTAACTGCACACTGTACACGCACTCATTACATACCGCGCGGACCCACACCCCGCGACATAATGCGCTGCATCTGTCCCGGACCTCACTCGGTAACTGCACACTGTACACGCACTCATTACATACCGCGCGGACCCACACCCCGCGACATAATGCGCTGCATCTGTCCCGGACCTCACTCGGTAACTGCACACTGTACACGCACTCATTACATACCGCGCGGACCCACACCCCGCGACATAATGCGCTGCATCTGTCCCGGACCTCACTCGGTAACTGCACACTGTACACGCACTCATTACATACCGCGCGGACCCACACCCCGCGACATAATGCGCTGCATCTGTCCCGGACCTCACTCGGTAACTGCACACTGTACACGCACTCATTACATACCGCGCGGACCCACACCCCGCGACATAATGCGCTGCATCTGTCCCGGACCTCACTCGGTAACTGCACACTGTACACGCACTCATTACATACCCCGCGGACCCACACCCCGCGACATAATGCGCTGCATCTGTCCCGGACCTCACTCGGTAACTGCACACTGTACACGCACTCATTACATACCGCGCGGACCCACACCCCGCGACATAATGCGCTGCATCTGTCCCGGACCTCACTCGGTAACTGCACACTGTACACGCACTCATTACATACCGCGCGGACCCACACCCCGCGACATAATGCGCTGCATCTGTCCCGGACCTCACTCGGTAACTGCACACTGTACACGCACTCATTACATACCGCGCGGACCCACACCCCGCGACATAATGCGCTGCATCTGTCCCGGACCTCACTCGGTAACTGCACACTGTACACGCACTCATTACATACCGCGCGGACCCACACCCCGCGACATAATGCGCTGCATCTGTCCCGGACCTCACTCGGTAACTGCACACTGTACACGCACTCATTACATACCGCGCGGACCCACACCCCGCGACATAATGCGCTGCATCTGTCCCGGACCTCACTCGGTAACTGCACACTGTACACGCACTCATTACATACCGCGCGGACCCACACCCCGCGACATAATGCGCTGCATCTGTCCCGGACCTCACTCGGTAACTGCACACTGTACACGCACTCATTACATACCGCGCGGACCCACACCCCGCGACATAATGCGCTGCATCTGTCCCGGACCTCACTCGGTAACTGCACACTGTACACGCACTCATTACATACCGCGCGGACCCACACCCCGCGACATAATGCGCTGCATCTGTCCCGGACCTCACTCGGTAACTGCACACTGTACACGCACTCATTACATACCGCGCGGACCCACACCCCGCGACATAATGCGCTGCATCTGTCCCGGACCTCACTCGGTAACTGCACACTGTACACGCACTCATTACATACCGCGCGGACCCACACCCCGCGACATAATGCGCTGCATCTGTCCCGGACCTCACTCGGTAACTGCACACTGTACACGCACTCATTACATACCGCGCGGACCCACACCCCGCGACATAATGCGCTGCATCTGTCCCGGACCTCACTCGGTAACTGCACACTGTACACGCACTCATTACATACCGCGCGGACCCACACCCCGCGACATAATGCGCTGCATCTGTCCCGGACCTCACTCGGTAACTGCACACTGTACACGCACTCATTACATACCGCGCGGACCCACACCCCGCGACATAATGCGCTGCATCTGTCCCGGACCTCACTCGGTAACTGCACACTGTACACGCACTCATTACATACCGCGCGGACCCACACCCCGCGACATAATGCGCTGCATCTGTCCCGGACCTCACTCGGTAACTGCACACTGTACACGCACTCATTACATACCGCGCGGACCCACACCCCGCGACATAATGCGCTGCATCTGTCCCGGACCTCACTCGGTAACTGCACACTGTACACGCACTCATTACATACCGCGCGGACCCACACCCCGCGACATAATGCGCTGCATCTGTCCCGGACCTCACTCGGTAACTGCACACTGTACACGCACTCATTACATACCCCGCGGACCCACACCCCGCGACATAATGCGCTGCATCTGTCCCGGACCTCACTCGGTAACTGCACACTGTACACGCACTCATTACATACCGCGCGGACCCACACCCCGCGACATAATGCGCTGCATCTGTCCCGGACCTCACTCGGTAACTGCACACTGTACACGCACTCATTACATACCGCGCGGACCCACACCCCGCGACATAATGCGCTGCATCTGTCCCGGACCTCACTCGGTAACTGCACACTGTACACGCACTCATTACATACCGCGCGGACCCACACCCCGCGACATAATGCGCTGCATCTGTCCCGGACCTCACTCGGTAACTGCACACTGTACACGCACTCATTACATACCGCGCGGACCCACACCCCGCGACATAATGCGCTGCATCTGTCCCGGACCTCACTCGGTAACTGCACACTGTACACGCACTCATTACATACCGCGCGGACCCACACCCCGCGACATAATGCGCTGCATCTGTCCCGGACCTCACTCGGTAACTGCACACTGTACACGCACTCATTACATACCGCGCGGACCCACACCCCGCGACATAATGCGCTGCATCTGTCCCGGACCTCACTCGGTAACTGCACACTGTACACGCACTCATTACATACCGCGCGGACCCACACCCCGCGACATAATGCGCTGCATCTGTCCCGGACCTCACTCGGTAACTGCACACTGTACACGCACTCATTACATACCGCGCGGACCCACACCCCGCGACATAATGCGCTGCATCTGTCCCGGACCTCACTCGGTAACTGCACACTGTACACGCACTCATTACATACCGCGCGGACCCACACCCCGCGACATAATGCGCTGCATCTGTCCCGGACCTCACTCGGTAACTGCACACTGTACACGCACTCATTACATACCGCGCGGACCCACACCCCGCGACATAATGCGCTGCATCTGTCCCGGACCTCACTCGGTAACTGCACACTGTACACGCACTCATTACATACCGCGCGGACCCACACCCCGCGACATAATGCGCTGCATCTGTCCCGGACCTCACTCGGTAACTGCACACTGTACACGCACTCATTACATACCGCGCGGACCCACACCCCGCGACATAATGCGCTGCATCTGTCCCGGACCTCACTCGGTAACTGCACACTGTACACGCACTCATTACATACCGCGCGGACCCACACCCCGCGACATAATGCGCTGCATCTGTCCCGGACCTCACTCGGTAACTGCACACTGTACACGCACTCATTACATACCGCGCGGACCCACACCCCGCGACATAATGCGCTGCATCTGTCCCGGACCTCACTCGGTAACTGCACACTGTACACGCACTCATTACATACCGCGCGGACCCACACCCCGCGACATAATGCGCTGCATCTGTCCCGGACCTCACTCGGTAACTGCACACTGTACACGCACTCATTACATACCGCGCGGACCCACACCCCGCGACATAATGCGCTGCATCTGTCCCGGACCTCACTCGGTAACTGCACACTGTACACGCACTCATTACATACCGCGCGGACCCACACCCCGCGACATAATGCGCTGCATCTGTCCCGGACCTCACTCGGTAACTGCACACTGTACACGCACTCATTACATACCCCGCGGACCCACACCCCGCGACATAATGCGCTGCATCTGTCCCGGACCTCACTCGGTAACTGCACACTGTACACGCACTCATTACATACCGCGCGGACCCACACCCCGCGACATAATGCGCTGCATCTGTCCCGGACCTCACTCGGTAACTGCACACTGTACACGCACTCATTACATACCGCGCGGACCCACACCCCGCGACATAATGCGCTGCATCTGTCCCGGACCTCACTCGGTAACTGCACACTGTACACGCACTCATTACATACCGCGCGGACCCACACCCCGCGACATAATGCGCTGCATCTGTCCCGGACCTCACTCGGTAACTGCACACTGTACACGCACTCATTACATACCGCGCGGACCCACACCCCGCGACATAATGCGCTGCATCTGTCCCGGACCTCACTCGGTAACTGCACACTGTACACGCACTCATTACATACCGCGCGGACCCACACCCCGCGACATAATGCGCTGCATCTGTCCCGGACCTCACTCGGTAACTGCACACTGTACACGCACTCATTACATACCGCGCGGACCCACACCCCGCGACATAATGCGCTGCATCTGTCCCGGACCTCACTCGGTAACTGCACACTGTACACGCACTCATTACATACCGCGCGGACCCACACCCCGCGACATAATGCGCTGCATCTGTCCCGGACCTCACTCGGTAACTGCACACTGTACACGCACTCATTACATACCGCGCGGACCCACACCCCGCGACATAATGCGCTGCATCTGTCCCGGACCTCACTCGGTAACTGCACACTGTACACGCACTCATTACATACCGCGCGGACCCACACCCCGCGACATAATGCGCTGCATCTGTCCCGGACCTCACTCGGTAACTGCACACTGTACACGCACTCATTACATACCGCGCGGACCCACACCCCGCGACATAATGCGCTGCATCTGTCCCGGACCTCACTCGGTAACTGCACACTGTACACGCACTCATTACATACCGCGCGGACCCACACCCCGCGACATAATGCGCTGCATCTGTCCCGGACCTCACTCGGTAACTGCACACTGTACACGCACTCATTACATACCGCGCGGACCCACACCCCGCGACATAATGCGCTGCATCTGTCCCGGACCTCACTCGGTAACTGCACACTGTACACGCACTCATTACATACCGCGCGGACCCACACCCCGCGACATAATGCGCTGCATCTGTCCCGGACCTCACTCGGTAACTGCACACTGTACACGCACTCATTACATACCGCGCGGACCTACACGCCATAGTCTACGTTGTCTAAGAATTTTTAATCCCATCTTTAAGTTCTATATGATCTAAGGACATTCTTAAACATGTTCTCTTTTAGAAGTAGTAACATTATTGCTATTTTATAATATCCTTTGTACTTTGGTATAGATTTTAGGATTTATATTTTTGTATTGTACGTTTTTACAGCGGGTACGCGCGGCAGCCTGGCGAGCGCAGGCAAGCCGACGTCGTCGACGCTGGCGTCCCTGGCCGGCCTACTGCGGGACCATTCACACGACCGACCCATAGACCGCACCCACGATGACTCCGGTTAGTATACAACATTTATTTATATATACTAGCTATTCTCGCGTGGTTTCACCCGCTGCTCGGCCCCTACAGATCGTCGCGTGATGTTTTACAGCCTAAAGCCTTCCTCAATAAATTGTCTATTAAACTCAAAAAGATTTTTTCAATTCGCTCCAGTAGTTCCTGAGATTAGCACGTTCAAATAAACAAACTCTTCAGCTTTATAATATTTATAGTGTAGATTATTATTATAAATAGATTTTATAACATTTTTTATTCGATTTTTTTTTATTATTGACTCAACTTTTTTGCTACATGTAACTTCTGCCGATATATATTTTTATCGAATATAAAATTTTTAGTATATTTTCATTATTCGTTATAATATTAAAATAAGTATTTTATTAATATTGTGATCTGTGTTTATTTGTTTGTGCACATACAAAAGGACTAGATATATTGAAGATATATAACTGTGAGTGCCAATTTTTTAACTATGTAGGGATGTAGTATACTCAATAATTTTATTAAATAAAATATTAAGATGGAAACTCGAGGGAAAGCAAAAAGAAAAAAAGATTAAATAATTTTTAGACAGAGATTTAAAATAAATTGTTTGTAAATATTGGTTAATTAGAGATTCCATCTTCGTCTTATTTTCATAGTAGTTTATTATTATTATGTAGTTCATACAGTTTCATAGTAGTTTACTCCCTATTTATATATACAAATTTTAATTGACTGTAGAGTGATACCACGGCTGTACAGAATACCGGCGTGATATAACACTACTATTTAGCCGTATGAGTGAGGCTACCAAAGGTGTAGTTGCAGTCCCTAAATCATCCCTAAACTCTAATAACCTAATAAAAATAATAATTCCTTTGGTCTTACGGTCATGAAAGTCCGATTTCTAACTATTAGGAGAGGAAATGTGGATTGAATAATAATCAAAATATATTATAAAATAGAAAATACACGAATTTTCTTTACTAGTGTGTATAATTAGAATAGAAGTTTTAGTTATATATATCCTAGAAGTTTATAGTAAAAATGTCCAGAAAATATGTGGTCGATAATGAGTTGTGTGGTCCCATTCCAGCCGCGAGTGGCGTGGCGGTGGGCGCGGGCGGGGCCGCGGGGCACGACGCAGCGAGCCGACACGGCCGGGACGCGCCGCGCCGGGACCGCGCCCGCGCCAGGCATGGGAAGGACCCCGCCCGGCAGGTACACGATACTTCATCATATAATAACATGACTAAATAATATTTCTGAACAGACTACCTAATCATGGAATAATGGTTGTAAGGAATTAGTTAGTTTCCTATGTCAAAAATACATCGGTCTGTTGATACACTAAATTTCTGATATTTTTCAGCTAAATTTTAAGAAAGAAGTAAGGTATTTGTCGTTATAATAAATAATATGACGTCATTATTTGGAGTTTGATACAAATTTTATAGAAATGTATCGTTTTTGACATTTGGATAAAAGTATTGAATTGGACTAGTTGGAAACTACCGTACTCTTGAATACAAGTGAATGTATCGGGCGTTACGTTTTATATTTAGCATAAAACATCCCCAGCTGACATAGACGCTCAAAAAGACACTAATTTTATGTCAAATCGTAGAAGTAAATTCTTAGACAAACCAATTTATGCAGTCCTAGAATAATATTTCGAGTATTATATAAAGATAATTATATATTAAAAAATATATATACACCGTGACTTTTTAGTCGTCTTACAAAGGCAGCCCAGTTCATGTATCCAATGATTAATTACCGTCATGTAGACGTTATTTTATTTAAAAATAAATAAACGAAATGTTTTACCAAAAATCAATTAAAAATAATTTAATTAAAAATAATGGCGGCCAAATTTTGATAGGCACCCTAGTAAATATATATTCTATTAATTATAAATCAGCATAAAAATTTGGTTTTGAACAAAAAGTCAATGAGCACACCAATCCGCAGCGGGATCTCGTACTAAAACACTCTGTAGCGAGCGCGGTCCGAGCCTAAGCTACAGTAAGAGTGACCTTCACCTAATTTCAACTGAAAGGGGCACGGCGCACGTGATGCCCCATCACGTGCGCCGACGTTGTCTAAGGATAGCGTTAGACAATCTGATTGGATAACAGTCCAAGTGGACTATGCTAGATTGGTTTGCGATATTTTGTCTCTTCTCTTGATATGTAAAGATTTTTAACAGGGTGTTTTATATTTCTAACGTTTTATTAATATTTTTCGTACCTATTATCCTAATTAATGATTAAAAAATAATAATCGCGCCTAGAGGTGTTTTATGTCGGATACATTAAATGGACAAATTTTTGTAAGACGACTAAAAAGTCACGGTGTATATAAGGAGAGTAGTATTGTATTGCGTTGTACGGTCAGGGCGCGCGTCGCGCGGCGCCGGCGTCGTTCCGTCTGCTGGGCGCGGCAGACTGCGCGCGCCTCGACCCCGCCTGCTCCTCGCAGCCCAACGACGACACGCAGGTACACGCCCCGCACTACTACACCGCCATATATTTTTTAATATTCTTTAATAAAAACTGTTGTCAAACATACTTAACTTATTGGAAATAACGACCTCGCCGCGATGTCAAAGTCAAAGTCAAAATCATTTATTTCAATTAGACCCATACAGACACTTTTGAACGTCAAACAGATGACTGATGCGCATGCTATTCATGAAAAAGAATCCCGTTGTGACTTGAAACTAGTAGAGCTTTTCTCAGTTGTTTCATGTGGCTAAATCGTTGTTTTCAATAAATTCAATTTTCACTACATACATAGTATAAAACAAAGTCGCTTTCTCTGTCCCTTAACATAAACATATATTTTCACATACAACACATCACACCCAAACCCGAACAACAATTTGTGGATCACACAAAAAGTTGTTCCGTGCGGAAATCAAACTCAAACGATAGTTACCTAATCACCGCGCCAACCGTGCATCATATTTTCAACGAAAACTTTGTACAGATTGTGTTTGATAATACTGTTTTATGCGGTCAGAGCGCGGCCGGTAGCAACTGGGAGTGCGCGTGGCGAGACCAACCCAGGCGGGCGGCTAGTGCTAAGGTAAGCAAATATTATGACGCACCAAACATAGGTATTACCTTAATTAAGAAGTTGGTAAAATAATCATTTGTCCGTTTTTAATATAGGAACGTAATTGTTTGAGTGAAAGGAAACGTAAAATGACGAATGACAGATGTTAAGCATGAGTATTGAGTGAAAGAGATGAAGTATGATAAACAAGCACAAAGAGTGAAAGAGATAGGCGTATTTAGGTAGACTTATGTTTAAGATGTGAAAGTCAGTTAAGGATTTTTGAACAGACAAAAGACGATGAAGACGAACTTGTGTTAAATAATAATAAACTTTGTTTTCCAAGAGGAATTCTCTTTTAAATTCGCCTCCAATTGAACCAATCCCATAATAATGTTTTCTTAATTTATTTACAATTTACTAAAAGTAGAGGTGACTTAAAATTACAGTGTATACAATGGGCAACCTTATTAATCACTAGCCGCCCGAAATTATTATATTTTCATTATCTATACTAATGTTATAGAGGTAAAAATCTGTAAGTTTGTATGTAGGGGTAATCTTTGGAACCGCTGGTCGGATTGACAAAATTTTTTCACTGATAGATAGCTACTATGTTCCTGAGTGCTATAAACTATAAAACACCACGCTACTAAATGGAACGGAGTAGCGGATGAACGCACGAAATTAGTTAGTTTATTCATATTTAAATGTCTATCATTTGTATCACCATAACCAGGTATCCAGCAGCCGAGGAGGTCAAAGCGCGGAATCGTCTCTAGAGGACCTGACTCTCACCCCGACAGGACTGGACCTGTCTCTACCGGACTGCAAGATCATCGCCAACAGAAACGCCAGGCAAGACAGAGACTTTAAAAGGTATTCACGCATGCCATCATTCATTCTCATCGCTTGAACACTGCCTGTGACGTCAGAGTTTTTATGAAGATTGAGAACATATTAGGTTTAAAAAAACTAAATTGAGATCGGTTCATTCGGTCGGGACCTATGATGCCACAAACACGTCAAACTTATAACAGCCCTCTTTTTGCGTCGGGGGTTAAAAAGGTTAAAAAAAATTTTTACCCGATACTATAATTTCTCCCTTGTCGTGGGTGCGTTTATAAACATACAAATTCACATATACAAGCCACTTAGAACCGAAACAATGCAGATCACTCGGTCTTTCCTTGTGGTAATCGAAGCCGCGACATGTTACTCAGTAGCCTAACCCAGCCACTGCACCAACTTTGCAGTCAAAGCATGACTTACTTACACATAAGCATCGCAATGACGTTCCTCAACTCACTCCCAAGAGGGCGACAGACTCTTGCTCTTTAGGAACGTCAATAGTAATAAGAACTAAGGCTTTTTTCAGTACAATTTAATAAGCCAAGTGAGACTTTTTGCAATTAATATTTATTAATATTTTTCAAATACATTGCATAGAAATAGTTAAAACTATGTTGCTTTTAAGGAAATTAAGATTAAAAATTAAATATAAAAAGTTACATAGCTAAAAAATTAAAAACATTGAAAACTTTTAAGACTGATTTTTTAATGGTTAGATAAAAAGTTACCTGGGGAATAATTATGATGCTGTCGCGTCAGAATGTTTGTATAAGACAGTGATAGCAACAATTTTATGCCTCAGATATCATTTATCTGACTACTGGTTTGATTGATTGTCAATTCTGAATATACGTTACATTACATTATGTTTAAATAATAAAAAACATGTTGAAATGTACAAAATTTCGCTATAACCATTCTGTCATCATCATTTGCCATCGTAACGTAACCATATTTTAATATTCTTCTCTTCGCTTTGAATTTAATTTTTCTTATCTACATATCTATTTATTACATTTTCACCCAAATTTTTATCCTATAATTGGGTAGTTTCCAAGATAAAAAATAAATTATTTTAAATTTTAAATAAAGTCCGGTCGCGGAGCAGGAAGAAATTAGTACAATGACTTCTTTACCTACTGACAGTGGTCACAAACATTTTTGTATAAAGTGCAGTTTATAATATTTGAAGGAGAAAAAAAAATACTAGCTTATTAAATAAATTATTTCTTTATTGTTAATTTTAATAACAAAAGAGAAAGAGAACTAACAAAAGAGAGCTAACAAATAACAACAAACTAAGATAACTGAGATTACTGTCCGAAAACTGAGCGATCACTAACGCACCCCGAGATGGAATGTCGTTCGTTAAAAAATTATGAACCATGTCAAGTAAGCCATGTCATGACTCAAGGCCAACCAAAAACCACAACCACAAACAAACAAAAACAGACCTTACAGTAGTAGGTAAAAGGTTCACAATCCCTGAGTGCCGCGGTCATTGGATTTGTGCGAGCGAGACGCATCATATTTACGCGAGAGTGACAGAGACAGGTAATAACAGGCCATTGTACGAATTTCTTCCTGCTCCGCGACCGGACTTTACATACAATTGATTATTCTATCAATCAGACTTTCATTCATTGATTTGATAATAATATACTTACTTAATATTTCAATGAAAGTATTGGATTTGACTAATTGGAAACTACCGAATTAAAATCATAACACTATTTATATCCCCTTTTATCGCCTCCACTATAATATAAGACTTTATACTTATAAAATAGTTATGTTTCCAGGTACTATGTAAACGAAATGACTCCGAAAGACTTGTCGAAACTCAGCAAGGAGATCCGGCATGAGAGAGAGAGCTACAGAGAGCTCACAGGCCGCTACATAGAGAAGCCTGAAGCTATACCTCTTAAGGAAACGCACTACTCAGACTTATCAAACAAAGAATCGATACTCAAGAAAGAAGCTAAAAAGGACTCTAAAACCAAAGAAATAAAGACTAAAATTAAACGGTCGGACTCTGGTAGAAGTGAACTAAAAGTGAATGTTAGTGTAGGTAGTAAGGTGTTGATCATTGAGCCGTTGGGAGTGTATGACTGTATCAACCTGGGGAGGAGGATCGACGTTCAGTGGCCCTCCGAGGCCGAGAGGGAGAGGGGAGGCCGCAACTACTGGGGGAGCTGGGTGCCTCTTGCGGGGATGGACGGACTGGTGAGTCAAAGATATTTTTTAATACATATAATACGTATACTCAAAACCCTTATTAGTCTTCTTTCAAAATATTTCTCTATCCACTGGAAATACCACATAAGGTTTTGAGATTATTATGAACATATAAAACTTTTTTTTTCTATAACATTCAAAAATTTTATTATTCCTATTCATTCATCATTTGGAATCTACAAATTAAAACAAGCAGCTAACTTCTTGACTGGGAGAGTTTGTATTATAACCATTCCAAAGTAGGAATTTATTTGCAGACGGGTTTTACTTCACTTTGTTTTTTTTTAGTGTTAGGTCGAGCAGACGGATTACCTGATGGTAAGCAATCAGCACCGCCCATGGACACCCGCAACAACGGAAGAGTTAAGAGTGCGTTGCCGAAGTTTTGGGGATTAGGTATTGGGGAGGTTTGCTGATTGGACCTCCGATAACCTCACTCACACGGCAAAACACAACGCTGTAGTTGTTTCACGCCGGTTTTCTGTGAGGCCGTGGTATCACTCCGGTTGAGCTGACACATTCGTGCCGAAGCATGGCTCTTCCACGCTTATAATATGTTATGTTCCCAGGTGGTACACAAATGGACCCCGAACCACAGAGACCCAAAACTCCGTTCCCACGTGGACAAGAGCATACTCCTAATACAAATCGACGACAAATTCGTCCCCATTGCCGAAAACTGCGTCCAAGACCTCGGCGACGAAGTATGAACCTCACACCAAAAGCACAAGGTCGAAATCAGCTTGGACAACATGTATGAACTCTTTTAAATCTATTTTATAACGAATCTATGAATTGTCAGTAAAGTCTGAACCTTATTTGTATGACAGTAAGGTCGATACTACCTTCTTTATAGGAATCTTTGACGATAGATACTCTGTTTAGATAATATGCATGCAATCCCGACAGTCGGGACGCTTGCACGATCTCGGTGTTGAATTATGAACCTTATGTGTACAGTAGTAAGGTGGGTTATGCTTATTTTTTAATTAACGCAACTGAAACAGTTCCTTTAGTCCAACTTGTAGTATAATTAATGATTGTAATTAATTATAATCATAAAAATTTTGAGTCGTTTTTCTCTGTTGCAAATTTTGGATAATTCAAATCTTATGTTTTTTTTTCTGTTTGATTTTTTTAAGTGTAACCTTATGATATCCTTATGAATCATACTTTTTTATAAATAAATATAATAAGCATAAGTATGTTTTAATTAAATAATTTAGAAGCAGATATTTTCAACCGATTGAACTGAAATTATGAATAAAATTTTAATTACAAGACTATAAATGCTAAGCTCTATGACTTTATTCTACATCCATAAAAAAAATAAAAATTTTTTTGGACCCGGGTCTTATTGACCCACCCGATAAGTTTTTTTTATTAGCAATATATAAGAGAAATAATATGATTATAATTAACATTATAAATCATTAATTAGGCTACAAGCTATAACTAATATTACGGTGTTATCTTTTTGAAGGCGTTAGGCAGAAATTCTAGGGACAGCATCTTTATATCCAGTATAAAATGATCCTTGTTATTACGAATTTCTAATCCAATAAGGGCTCAATTTATACTGGTTATTTCAGTTCGTATGTTATACTATAAATCCAGTATAAAATGATCCTTGTTATCACGAATTTCTAATCCAAGGAGGGTTCAACTTATACTGGTTTTTTCATTTTGTTTGTTTGTTGCTCTTCTCTATTATGAATAAAATGTTTACGTCACAAAACATAGAAATATAGATCTTATGACAACTATGAATAAGTTTAAATGGAATAAAAAACAATGGCCAACTTCACAATCGATTTTTAACCTTACCTCTATATGTTAAAGTTTGATTTCGCAAGAAAATTGTTTCATTAAAGTTTGTGTTATTTTCAGTCTTATTTCTTAGGCAGTAAGGTTGGTTATACACGAAGTTCGTAGGGTTTACCTAATCATATTGAAATCAACTAAAAATATTTAATATACGGATATGAAGCTAGCAGAATTGTCTACCATAATAATATAAATATATATAGACTAAAAATAACCTCAAAACATTCACTAAATAACAAAAACTAACTGATAGGAATAGTAGTTCTATCTCACTCTATCACGAGGAACTAGAAAGAGATGGAACATGTTCAAGTTAAGTTCATTTAGAGTGAAAGTCTACTCCGTAATTCATTTGGCAATCCTTATAAAAAAAGGTAATCGGAAATTCCTATTTTTCCTCAATTTTCGTATCTGCCATTAGTTTTTCAACTAGTTGTAATATACGACCGTATTATTATTATTAAGTTGCGTTCTAGATAGTACCGTGTGTAAATATATATTATGGGTGGTTGTGGCACAAGCGGGGCTTTTACGATTCAGGAGGGATCTCTAATAATGTGTGCTCTTCCAAAGTGGTTTTAATATCTTTGACAGTTCTTTTAAAAAAGTCAAAAGGCAAGTTTTTGATCGTTTTGTTATTTTAGCTGTAGTTTACAATCGTGGCCGACGTACTATGGGTTTACAAAGTAAAAAAGAAATTATTACGACCTTTCAATGGCATTTTAATAATTAACGCATTGTAACGAAGATTAAGAAGATTTTGACTTGGGAAAAGTATAAACTTTAGCTCGATATGAGTCCCGATCTGATACGAAAATAGTCGAGCCATTCTCGAACTATTCTCGTGAGTTATCTGTATATTTCATTTACTTGCGTTATTATATTAAGGGTATTCCTACTGCTATGGAATGCCACAAATCTAGTAAAAAGTCATTGATAATAAGAAATTTTGAATAGACCAATGAAAGTATCTAGAAAAATTTATTAGACAAAAATATTTGCTGACTTTTTCTTGCCAATGAATACTCGTAAAAAATATTTAAAAAAAGGTCTTGAATGATTAATTGCTGCGTTGCAGTGATAGGTGTTTTGAAAAAGAAAGAAATGGATGTAAAAATTAATATTTCATTTCTGAAAGAAGTTTATGCAAAAGAGAATTATAAACTTATGAATCGTAAGAGTCCACCGCAACTTGTGTCCACAACGCAAGCTTCGTTATGTGTGTAGCGTAACATTGTAAATATTTGTAAATAATGTAAAAAAACATAATGAAAAAATGTATATTCGTCTCTTTAATATATTATTAAAAACATCTTATTACAGTACATAAGTAGAAACCTTTTTTATTTTTGTTATTACAAGTATTTCCATTTTTTTGTCTAAATTTGTTTTGTATAAAATGCTGTTCACCCCAAATATCTTTAGTCTGACACCAAATGAATGTGTAATTTGTATTTAAATTATTTATAAATTATATTTAAGTGGCTGTGTGTTTTGGCTGTCAAGTTGAATATTCTTGAGTGCATCAGACTTCAGGAAACTCAAAAGTAAGTTATTTATCTCATAATGCAGTGATGTATCAATTATATATTTACTTATCTAATATTATACTCATTGCAATCTCCGGACCGTTAAAATTTAAAGATTACTTTAACCATTCCTTAGTGACTATTGTGTTCTGAAAAAAAAAATGTCAAGGCTGGTTGCTAAGTAACAGTTTGAATGACTCTGAGTTCGGCGGTCATCACTAATACTTTAAAATAATAAGTCGGGCTGCGATTGGTTGAGAGGGCATGGGAACATAAGATCACTAAATACGAATGTTTATCTTAGTAAAATAAGCGGTTTCCAATGTGGGGTGATTTGTCGCCACTAATCGATAAACATCATCAACAGCTGCTGAGCAAAGCCTCTTCTCACACGGAGAAAGTTTGAGCATTAATCACCTCGCTTGCTCAAGACGAATTGGTGATTTCAATCTTATGATTAGAAGTTTTTCGTCCAGGTTTCCTCATGACTTCTTCCTTCGCCGTAAATAATTACCACTAATTCAAATCCGGTCTCTTAATAATACATATCTTGGTAAGTCTTCTAAGAATATTTAACTTGGCCGGTACACGGTACATGTATTTGTTCACTGTTGTTATTATATTCTATATATACTATAGTGCATTTGATATATTATCACTGTATAAGTATATGTATTGGTTACATAAATAATGGACAAATTTATAATAATGACGTTGAGTTTTGCGAATTTAAAGGGGTGTGAAACTATCAATGTTTTTAATATTCTGTTAGTATTATTTCAACGTATCAAAATGTGTTGGAAAATAACACTATGATGTTTTTGTACAATAGAACAAATACAGGTTGAAATAAATTATTTGAACATGACAAATTAACATTTTGTTTGAGAGAGCCATGGTTCGGCAAAAATGGGTCGACCAGAGTCGTACCACGGTCTCACAGAAAACCAGCATGTAACAGTGCGTTGTTTCGCAGTGTGAGTGAGGTTACCGGACGCACGATCCTGCTCTTGCCCAATCCCTAAATCTCCGGATGTATCTCTTGTATTCAAGTACTGCGGGTGTCTGTCTATGGGCGAAGCCGACGGCTTTCTATCAAGCAATATGGCTGCACGTTTGCTGTGCTATCACATAAAAAAAAATAAAAAAAACTATAATCACCACCTTAACTCATAGTGTTACATCTTCAATTTTAAAATTTTTATTCAAAAGATCTGTATTTGTTCTAGTTCAAAAATAAATAATAATTATTATTATTGATAGTTTTCACATAATCCCCGAAGCGTTGAGATAATTTAAAAATTATAATTCAATTGTTCACTTTATATCGTCAATGTATTGTTTATCGTCTGCTAATAAAAATATCTTGGGTAACATCTTTTCAGGTTCAAATATAATTACATATATATTGTAAACGCCTATGTTGCATTCTAAATAATTTTTCTTTATAAGTCTGTTGAAAATGGCTTAATAAAGTAATATTGTTTGAATATTATCTTTGTTAGATGTTTTGAATGTTGAATTTATTAGCAGATGATATTATAATGATTATTAGTGACTCTACTGCACTCTGCACTGTGACACTTCGTGTCTCTTGTGGTATTCGTTCGCGTTTACAATTTAATTCAAATACATATATTGTAATAAAATAAAATAAAAAATTTGGCATTTTTCATGTGATTTTGTTAAAAGAGCTTTATTTTGAGTTGATTTTTTACTTAGGGCTGATATTTCAATAGTCAAATAAATGGTTATCTGAGGAATAAAATTGTCACTGTCTTATACAAACATTGTGACGCGATAGAATCATAATTATTCCCCCGGTAGCTTATATCTAACCATTGAAAATGCCAGCCAGAGATACCAAATTAATATGTCAAAAATACTTAGTATACTTTTTCGCCACAGTAAAATTTCAATTTTACAGTTTTTCAAATTTCATTCCGCCGACGCGAACGTACCACAACTAATATATGAGTATATATTATATTCTCAAGTTGCCTTAATATATTTTAGACTGATTTTTTATAATCGTGATGTGTGTCAAGCAGATTTATAGATAGTTAAGGTCAAAACTGCGCTCGTTTCGTCATTTTAATGTTAAGGTCGCAGTACTTATGAACTTGTGTTTGGGCGGTTTACTCATATACGTTGGTTGCCGACAATGGTACTTGTCGTCTTTATGCAAATTAGAAATTATAAAAACAGACAAAATATTATACAATTTTATCGTAATATCTTACATATACTTTGTTTCATAACCCGTATAACATTTTTTATCTCAAAATGTTCAATGGTCTATGCAATGTTCCTAATTTGACATAAAGGCGACAATAATTACCAGATTAAAAAAATCCGAATTTATATTTATTACTTTGCAAAAATGATAGCTCTACGTTAATGCTTGGTGTATTCAGTGTTAGTCTAAATTGAATCTTAATGCAATGTAAAAGGGTAGATGTTTGTACAGTAGAATGGCACGATCCGTCCACAAGTGATTTTTCTGCATATGCGAGTTTTTTTTCTTATCTTTGTTCAATTTATATTGATATCGACAATTCCGTTTGATTTTTCACGTAAAAAGGTGACAATTGTATCTGCTGTTTATTAATATGAGAGATAGAGATACGTGGTGTTTTGCTGTCAAATTATAAATACATGGAAAGTAAAGCGAAATTCAAATTTATTATACTGGTACATAATCAATAGACAGTCTTCCAAAAACTAAAATAATAATAATTCACCCTCGTATAAATGTTTGTCGATATCAATAGAGTTCATTTTCCTATGCATATGCAGACGAGACGTGGTTGCTTTGTGATGACGTACAGGTAAACCGCCGCGCCGTTGTTTTGTGTCACATTATCAATATCAGAAATTAATACTGAATTAAAATGGTACATGGATATTTTTTGTGTTTTATTACTGTCCGACTACTCCCGTTCTGCTCGGCTACTATTTATTTAAATATAAAGGGTCTCCAACAAGAAATACATTAAGCTTTTTCATAGAAATAGCAAATAAAATATAAAAACAACATCATGCAAAAAATACTTATTTACAATTACAATATTAAAACACAGTCAGACACAAAATCAGGCATAATGAAACTTAAAATGTGATCGGAAATAAGCAACAAATTAGGAAATATGTCATATAGTTAGATTAAAATTAAAAAAAAATCCAAACAAATATAAGACACTATTGATCTAAGCTCGAGGTTTACTCTTAGCTCTGCCCTATACATACACTTTTCAATTCACATAAATATTTATAAAATACCGATGTTCATACTGAAACTAACCGCAAGTATATATAAAAACTACAGTTAGTGTCGATAGTCTTTCATACCCTACATCCTGCCTCAATTAATGGTCTGTCGACGCATAAATAATTCAATTCGAACCAGTAATTAAAATTGCAAGCAAATAAACTTTTGAGCTTTATAATAATAAAATCTTATATGTATATAAAATTCTCCTGCCTCAATTTTAGTTACCTTACTCCTCCGAGATGGCTTTACTGATGGTTACCAAATATATGCATATTCCGTAGACCTCTCGCTGCTAACCTTTATATAGTGTATATACACTTTACATAGTACGTTAACATATAATATTCGAAATAATTTCGGGTCAGTTAGTATACAGAATTAAATAATGTCTCGGGTGTTCCTCAGGGTCCTGTATTAGGTCCCACGTAATGCTGAATAAAATTGTTTCATTAGGTACTGCATTATCTACAATAGAATGCACAAATTATGTCCGTAAAGTTTTAAGAAAAAAATGTAGCTTCTGATTTCTTTAACATTATTATGTACAAAACGGAAAATTATATAACTTATTAAAAACATGTACAGTTCGTCAGAATCGAATAAAAACTTTAAACGTTTATAATTTGCAAATTAAATAATCATAGTTAAAATTATACAACTATTAAAGTAATTTGCTAGGCTAATGTTGCAGTAAAATTTTCAATACCGAATCATTGCACAACTTTGTAATTAGATCCTATTGAAAAAAATAATTCTTGTTGTACCTGCCCAAAGGACAGAAAACTAAGTAGGTATTAAAATTATGCATTTTCTATTCCATGTACCTGTCATATCTATGCAATGTTTTTTTAAATCATAGCTAGCTTAGATTTAAACAGACCAACATTCAAAACATTCATCAAGAAAACAAAACAAAATTGTTACCGCGACATACAAGCAAATCATTCCCTACTCATGTTAAATGACTTCTCTCACCCAGGATATGGCGAGAGAGAGGGAGTGTCATACTCTTACTGACTAAAAATTCGTTCCCGTTCTTTCTCCTACTGGCCCGAGGTGCCTCATTGCGCTTGCCCCGCAACCTCGACTCACGTAATGAATTTAATTTGCTATAATATTATAATAAAACTAATTTCGTTAATTCTACATAATTCGAGAAAAATAATTTCACTTGATTAAAAATTCATAATAATATTGCTTTATAACTTTGTTTTTCAATCAATGTATGCTCAGAAGAATTACAGGTCCTTCTAAAGTCGTTGTTTGGATTTGATAATCGTAATATCTTAATTCTAAAACAATGTTGTATGCGGAGCTCCCAATCGACTATGAAAACACTTTTGGCCGCTACATCTTTCTCTTTAGATGTATTGGGCTAGATTTTTTTGAAGATCTAACTATAACATTTAATAAAAATAATGTAAAGTTGGCTTTGTTCAGTTTAACATTTTACCCATTTATGGCTAGTCAGTTTGCTTTGATCACAAAAATTAGCGGTGACAATTTCTTGGAGAACATTCGCGTCGTTCCAGTTGATTTGATGTTCTTTCAGGGTGAGTAAATATCTCCAGATATTGAGTACAAGTTAAGGCACTGAAGTAAAAGATATACCTCATTAGTTCATAAATACATCTCTGCAGTCCCTGACATTTTATAACTTTTAAGGCCCATAAGACCTTAATCAACTTTTTAATTCGTCATTAGATCAAGAATATTGCAAAATATCCTCGATTCATAGTCATGTTTGTCAAGTACCCTGATTTATTAAGGTGAGGAGGAGGAATTATCAAATGACGTCTCTCATCTCAGGTACCATCCCGTTCCTTCTCTTGCTCCAGCCCAGGGCCAGGGTTCATTACTGCGCTTTGACCTGCAACCCTGGCTTTTTAGCTAACCTACCATCCTTATTTAACATTACAGATGTTGTCAAAATGTTAATCGCAATTTTTAGAAGATCGAAATTAAAAGAAATGATTCTGGAAATTGGTGAGCTCTGGCCGAAAGATTTGGACAGTAGCGACCCCAAGGCTGCAATACTAAAGTCCTGGATTCGTAGGACCAAAACTCTTCTTGATAGTAAGATTACTCATTGGTGTTTAAGTTTGGTATGATGGCCTCTTACGTAATAGCTTGTCAGCTCCTATGTAGTAGATGAATAAAAAAGTACCTAATTTGTAAGAACTGTGTGCCACATTAGTTTCCCAGGTGCTGTGTAAAGGTGGAGATGGTAGTAACATCAAGTAAATTAGGTATTTTTTATCGATTTTACTGAGACAAACGGTTCACCTGATGGTCAGCAAACGGCGCCACCCATAGAGTCCTGCAATACCGGCAGGCTTTTTTGGGACTTATAATGGATTTAAGAATTGTGGATGGTAAGAGAGAAGGTTTGGCCTTCGGTAATCTCACTCGCATCACCACTTTACATCGGTTTTCTGTAAGGCCGTATTTACTAATATCCCGGACGAGTCGGCCCATTCGTGACGAACCATGGCTGTACCATATGCAGACCTGATATTAGAGGAAGTTATTATGTGCAGTTAAGTCTTCATAGTACCTGGCATTTAAGCAGTTTAAAAAAACCTTTTATATCGTTTCCTAAATTATCGTAAAAATCTATTTGTCAAGAAAGAGACCTAAAACTACACTAGCGCCTCTAACAGCGCAAAAATCACAGTACACATTATAATAACAATTGGACTTATTGTTTCAGTGTTCTTCATTTTTGCCATAACGAATTTGGCTTTATTCGAGGTTATACCGTTTCTGATAAGTGTATTCAACCTGTGCAATGGCAACGAAGTCTACTTGTTTCCCTTTCAACCGCCTAACTTCTGGGATGTTGACTCTTTCTGTACTTACATTCTAATTTACTTGTGGGAACTGGCTGGCAGTAAGTAATCTACCTACCTATGTTAATTATCATGGACTAACTAATATAAATAATATTTATTACATAGGCAACTCTTAAAAAGAGAAATGGAGAGTTGTAGGTATTATTCTCAGCTCAGGCAACCTCGATATGGATATTCTACTACTATTATAAACGCGGATTGATGTTTGTTACTCTTTAAGCAAAGATATGTTATAGATATGTATATTCCGAAACAAAATTACGCTACTTTTTATCTTATTACAACGCAGAAGCTTGTATGAAATAATACAACAAAAATAATTATATTACCTAATTATAGGTATATTTTTTGGTTCTGCCAGACTACAACACACGACTAAAACAAAAGCTGTGTTGTGCAGAAGAGGCCTCCAGCAGTAGACTGTTTTTTTTTCACGTCATTTAACACACTGTTATAAACTGCAACAACTCAAATTTATTATCCGATACCTTTTTTCCACCTCCTACACAGCCGTACCCTGTCAGATGTGCCTGTACCTTCCCTTTGACCTTACAATCGTCATTTTAACGTCAAACGTCAGTGCCCTCCTAAGGCTTCTTCAAATGGACCTCGAGAACGCAATCAAGATCCATGATGAAGACCAAAACTTGAAGAAGAACATTAATATGACTGATCCAGATAGTTATGAGAACGTTCGGACGCTTGTAATAGTTCATCAAAAACTATTAAGGTATGTTTTATTGAAAACAAGCTCTTACCCGCGGCGTCGCTCCAGTCATTTGACTACCTGTACCCTACTCTACCTACCCTACTCTATGTTCCTTATCTACCTACCCTACTATACCTAACCTACTCTATCCTATCCTATGTCCTTCTCTCAGTTCTTACCTACCTCCTACGAATTTTCAGCCAAATCGGTTCAGCCGTTCTTGAGTTATAAATAGTGTAACTAACACGGCTTTCTTTTATATATACCTATATAGATAACGACTAAGCTTTCAGATAGAGTCAGATTATGGTGGCCAGTTTATCTAACGAGACTAGCCACTATGATAGATGGACTCTCTGTTGCCTTACTCTCTCAAACCGACATAGGACGGCAGACCGACTCGTTTGGAAAGGGATCTCTCGCATCAACAACGGCTGCACGTGCTTTCCAAAGCATGTGGGTGAACCAACCATTAATCACAGAAAACCACGCGATGCATAGCTGCTAGTCACCACCATTTATAAAAATCACTTTTCAGAATATCAGATCAACTGAGCAGTGTATTTGGGTTGGTCATATTCATCCACGTCGCCTTCGCAGCGCTGGAGATCTGCTTTTTTGGGTTCCTGACTTTGGTAAGGAACTACTTCAAGTACAATACATACCTATTATTTTTATTAGTATATATTTTTAATGTAGGTAATTAGATTCACTTTTAGAGCTCGCCTGACCAGAACCAGACCCGAGCGCTCGGCGCGTAGAGGTTCGCGCACACTTAAAGAGTCAATAGACCACACATGGGGCCATATAGTGCTGATTTTACTCTAGCGCAATAGTCGCGTCCGCGTCCCCGGCCTGGAGCAGCAAAGAGATCGGAGTGGTTTATATTATAGTCTGTAGGCGTAGGCGTCTACCACTCCCTCTCACCGAGAGAAGTCATTTATTGATCGTGCCCTTAAAAAAATGGTTCACTTTTAGAAGAGAAATTGACTGCATTGGTTAGCGCAGTAAGGCTGAAGGCTAAGCTGGTTTCAACGGCTTCTTGCCTTAGATTGCTGTTGCGTAACGCTGCGCGTGTTTCCACGGACCAACTCTGGGTGGTCCACATAAATATTACAAGTACTTAGATAGGTCTGCATCTCGATTAGGTAATGTGTATAAGAAATCATGGGTATGTTTATAAACGCATCCACGACATTATTATTTTTTTATTTACTAGCTACGATCGAGCAGGATGTTTTATAGCACTCAGGAACATTTTAGCTCTCAATAAGTGAAAGAATTTTGGGAATCCGACCAGAGTTTCCAAAGATTACCCCCTACATACAAACTTACAAACATACAAACTTATAAACTTACAAATTTTACCTCTTTAGAATATTAGTAGATTTATTACATTTTTCTATATCAGTTTCCCACAAACTGGTTTAACAGTTTTCTGTGGGCGAGGAGTACACAGAGAAAATAGGTGCCTGCTTATTTGGCCTTATGTAACGAACTAATATCATCTTTCAACAACCATGTTTCTAGGTGTACGGAGGAGTAGCGGATACAATCGCTAACTTACTGACCGTATTCAACGCGGTGTTCACAATTTTTCTGCTGTCGCTATCCGGACAATTCTTGTGTGACACGGTAGGTTTCCAACACAGTTACATTAATTTCTCAACCAATTTATTGTGCAAATTATTACATGATTACTATAGACCGGGAAGGTATCCTTTTTGCGGGTGTCCAATTGTCCATGGGCGGCGCTGATTGCTAGCAGTCAATCTGTTCTCTGGTTGGCTTTGAAAACTTGTAACAATCACTACAAATTCGCTTCTTCAGCCCCTATATTCCTATGTTTGCTTAAATGTTTATAACTACGCATTTTTTTAAATTACGGATTCTAATGAGGTGTTTTTATAGATAGAGTGATTGAAAAGAAAAGTTAATAAGTATGTATAAATAATGACATCAGCATTGCACCCGTGTGTCGACGTGTCGGGTCGCTAGTACCTACCTAAGTAATTAATTTCTGAAACAAAAATTCTAATTCCAGAGTTCACAAGTAGCAGACGCAGCTTATCAAAGTTATTGGTTCGAGAGCGATGTCAAAGTGAAGAAACTCATCCTTTTCATAATAATCAGGTTAGCAAGGCAACGTTTGATAATTTTTATGTTTTATGTCTATTAAATTTAATGTCATTTTACCTTGTCTCCTTGTTTATAGAGCTCAACGTCCCAGCTATTTGTCAGCTCTTGGATTTTCTCAGTTGACTCTCAAGTCTTTTTCAAAGGTAAGTTTTTACTTATTCAGCCCAAGGCGGCTACGTACTTTTGCTCACTAGATGGCGGCTGTGTCGTTCTTTGGCATTTTCGTCCCAAAGAAAATAAGCTAGTTCCTACTAGGTAATAGGTAGTTTCATAGATTTAAAATAAATGAATTCGACGTTTCAATACAATAAAATATTGGAAAATAACTATACTTTTATTCATAAATCTGTCGATAAACAACATTTTCGGTATTTTTTAACTTATCTACTTTTAGGAAATAAGTAGGTAAGCTATGATAAGATGCAAAAATACTATGACGTCATAATTCGGATTTTCATAGAAAAGTAAAGTTTTTGACATTTGGATAAACGTCATTCATGACTTATATTTCAGATCATGAGCTCCGCCTGGACCTATCTTTCACTATTGATACAAGTTTATGAAGAAACGTAACCGAAAATATTACGGTTTATATAATAGCATCACAATATTAGCTTGTATTATACCTAATTAATAAGTAACTACTTACTTTGTCATAATTTTAAAATAAATAGCTTGCTGACAGTAAAAAAATCGTTTAATTTAATCATCATCATATCAGCCCATGGCATCCACTGCTTGCTGCCTGCTCGCCATTGTAGACTCGACTAATTTTTTTTTAATGTCATCGCTCAACAAGCCGCCTTGCGGATCACCTAGTAAGTAGTTAACAATTGGCGCCGCTCATAGACACCCGAAAAACCAGAGGAGGTACCTACGATTGCGTTGCCGGCCTTTTCGGATTAGGATTGTGGTGATTTCGGAATTGTGAAGGGTAGGGGAGGGGAAGGATTGTTCCTCCGGTAACCTTACTCACAAGGCGAACCACAACGCTGTAATTGATAAAAATTTTAATGTGTGTTTATGTGATGCCGTGGTCTCCGGTCGTGCCGACCTTCCGTGCCGAATGAAGCGTTTTTTAATATCTTAATATTGGTATAGGTACTGGTACCTATACATATATTTCTTGATATATAATAATAACCAATGGACTAACGATACAGCCAACACATTTGTTCCTGGCTCCCCAAGCATAGCTTCCACACCTAAACATTCCTTAGTATCCCTCCCCAATCCTTAAATCTCACACATTCCCAAATATCCTTCATAATTATATTATTAAGCACAAGACGTCTACGTCCAAGCCTAATGAAATAAAATGTCATGATTGGCCATTTGGAAGGAAAAATTACGAAGAGTGTCTTTAAAGCCGGAGTGAGAAGGTTCCTTATGGGGAGGCGTGCTCCATCGTACGTTGTAGGTACCTACGTATCATCGAGATAGAGGCCAAACACCAGTCTATTACAAATAAGTACCTACCTAATTGAAAAAAAAAATACTTCCTGACTAAAGAAAACTTAAAACAGGCTCATTTTAGAATTTCCTACTAATATTAGATATAAATGTGAAAATTTGTGAGAATGTATGTTTGTTCTTTCACGTAAACTGCTGGAACAATTTGGTTGTAAGGTATGTAGATAGGTGATAGTCTGGATAAAAACATAGGCTGCTTTTTATCAACATACCATGCAAGCGAAGCCGCGGGAGGAAACTAGAAGGAAATGAAACAACACAGTAAACAGTATCCAAGAAAATATATTTCCATCTATAAACACAACTCGGTATTATTGTGCCACAATGTATAAATAATTTCAATTCCATTTCACTATGTCAATAAGGTAGGTATATGTAATGATAGTAAATAAACATTAAGTATAAATTTAATTTAATAAATTTGGACGATTTTGGGGTATACTAGTCACATAATAATTAATTTTATAATAGGTACTGCTAATAATACTGTATGGTTTATGAACGTTTTTCTAAAAGTTAAAGGCCTTTAGGCGCCATTTGAAAATTGGCGCCTTTTCTGAAGTTTTAGGCCGTTATCTAAGGGTAGAGCTTGTCTATGAATTTTTAAATCTACATTTCGAAAGCGGACAGCCATTCCTATAGGTATTATTTTTCCTTGGCGCCGAAACTGCAACGCCTCCTGATTGGTCGATGTGTCACCCGGCTGCCGCCATTTCTGTTTTTAAATTCTAAAATATTGGTCTACCTACGCGATTTCTAATCGCAGTAATTTATCTACAATCTATAAAGGTAAAGGTTACGACCATCGAAAATATTGGCCCGAAATAAAGGCTAACATTTAAAAATTCAAATGCTAGGTCAAAACCTGCAACGACTAAGTGACAACTGAGTTTAAAATCTGAAGAAAGAATAAAATAGATTTATGCAAAAGAAAATGGCGGAGTAGTTATTCAATCAACTAAATAAAATCTTCATTTGTACCTAATGAAAAACACAAATATTTCTGTCCGTCGGGTTGGTTGTCCTATGGTGTAAGTAATTAATTTGTTTCTAGACAGTCGTTGCAGGTTTATATACTATGTATCTTTTTAAAATCTAAGCAAATTCTGGTTGTCTAATCTATGAATGGACCCAAATATGGTCTGTAGGACATTTTGTATATCTAAGCTCGACATTTTAAGCTACCTACGGTATGCGTAATGCCTATATTGACATCTTAATTGGCAAATCAGCTAGCTCCTTATGAGCAATTTTTTCAGGAGACACTTAAAATATTTTAAAATACCGATGGTAGTAAATCCTAATTTTATAATACTATCACATCTTTTATATTTTTTTACGAGTTAAGTATCTGTTTCTTTCAAATATCGAGTTGACTGGTTTGCTAATTAAGGTATCGATATTTAAACCTAAGTTCACATGACACGAAGCTCTTTGAGCGAACCAATAAGAAATATTTACCATTTTAATGCAAAGTTTGAACCGATTCCATTACCTATATAATTCTCGATTTTATAGCTTATATCATATCTTAAAAATATACTGAATTGATATTTAGGTAACCTATAATTTAAAAATTTCTTTCTTTTTTTATTTTGCCTCACATTAGATTTTTTACTTTGTCGTGGGTTTACAACCATGCAATTTCACACACAGGACACCCAGACCCGGAAAAACAATTTGTGACATCGCGCAAACCGTGCCGTTAAAAAAAATGATCAACATTGCCACACTTGTCTTATTAAAAGTCAATTATTATAGTCCTAAATGAAGATTTAAATCCTGCATTAAAATGGTAAACATGGCTATTGATTGCTCACATTAAATCCCTACTACGTACGCAGCGTAATTAAAGTTCTAAGCGTGGACATACAAGGATGGACTTGAAGCACCTAAAATATGGTCTTACGGCTAAAACTACAACACACAGATGTAGAATAACTATTTTTATTAATATTTCTAAAAAAAATTGTCTATATCATTATGTTGGATGGAAGGAGAGGGTGCAATATGAAAAGAGAGAAATTCTGTATTGCATAGGTAGTATGTAATAAGTACCTATGTATGCATTATAGCCTAGTTCATAAGATTTAAATGCTTCTTAAAATAATTGTAATTGTGTATTTCTTTGGAATAAACATGGTTGAAATACCTACATCTACCATCATAGATATTTTGTTTTGTTTTTTATAGATAATAAATCGCTCCTCTTCTAACCATTGAGTTCCAAGAGAACTTTTATAGATATGAACATTGTTTTATTTTATACAATTTCCTTTTAGTTATGAGTAAGTAATACTTAGGTATTTCATACTTCATAAATGTTATCAGACATTTCTGAGAAAATAATGTTCTTAGAAAAAAATATATTTATTTACACCCTTCCTTCCTTCGTTTTCGCCCTATATTTTAAATATTATTGTTATTATAATCATCATAATATGTAAGTTTTTTATAAGAATCCTACATTAGAAGATAGTCTTTTTGAAGATGCCTACCTACCTAATTTTTACAGTTTCATGCAGTTGCAGCGGAAAATGTAAAAAGTGCATAATTATAATCCAATAGGCGATATATTATTATGTATTTATGTGAATAGAAAAAGTGTCACAAGTAATATATAAAATAGACAAAATATAGATGTAGAAAAATATTTGTGAATATTATTTTCTAGTATAAGTATCTATTACAAAAAGCGCGCCAAAACACGATTTTTTTATCTGTCGCCTTACCATGATGACTAAAAATGTATTGTACCGGACCCCATGCATCTTTCATTAATTTATAAGTAATTCTGGCGCACATTTTGTTTTTAGAATTTCATATAAAAAAGTAGCTACGTGCTAAAGTGAAAAGTGAACTTTAAAAATACATCTTTGTGTCAGATAGGTTTTAAAAAATATTTCCATAATACGAATTTTACGAATTTGTTGTCGACTCGAAATCAATATTTTTTCATGTATTGTTAATCTTATAAGGTTTCGTTCGAGTCTACCGTACCACTTGACGAAATTATTAATTTAGCCACGTAATGAGTCAAAAGTAGGTCATTCGTAAAACATTTTTGTGTAAGTTATACATATTTCGTAATTTTATTTAATTTTCGTCTGACGTAGACTGAATAGAGCTCCGTTTGTCGCAACGGGCTTAGGGCTAGTTGCGCAGAGCATCATGCGGTACTTCATACATTGCTCCTAATGTTCATAGATATGTTTGTATTTGCGCGGCGGATGCGGCTTGCTACAGCAATGGAAAAACAAACGCATCACGACGATTTTCCACGCAACGTTAGCGTGCGAGGACATTTTAACTAGCTTTTATCGATATATTTACGAATTTGGTAAATTATTGTAGTGTACTATGTATATTGAAATATGGATAATTTATTACACGTTTGTGAGAACCTAGATAAATTTCTGAATATAGAGTCTGTACGAATATTTATAAATCTCAGTGCTGAGTTATTATAGATTATACAAGAAGTAAGACACAAGGCGGGCTCAAATAGCGAAGCCAAGATATGTTCAGTTGAAATCAGTTGCAAACACATTAACAACTAAAACGCAACCGTGCACAAACTACACACCAAAAGAAAAGGACAGACAGTGCGCTAGAAAGAGAAAGAGTGCATAAATAAAAAAAAACAAATTCATAGAAAAAATATATTTTTTACACTTAAAAAATCAGACAGACTAGGCCTAATATTGTAAACAAACGCATAAGCAAATCGATAAAACGTAAAACTCATAATTTAATACATTTTACAAAGAATATTTCGACCATTTCTCAACTTGGCGTACTTTGCCTATCTAAGGTAACTATTTTTATTTTTCACTGATTAAACTTTACACTTTTCCCTCGGCGAAACACTTCGCATGTGCATTCGCGGTGGTCCAGAATACCTCCTTATCATCAATGAAAAATAAAAATAATTACAATTAATCAAAAAATGACCGATTCATATAAGGTAAGGTTGTCCCGCACTATTTTATATGCACCAATACATTTCTCATCACAAAAAACTTTAAAATGGAGCGGTACAACCCTGATAAACATTGAATAAATATAACAATATAATTAACTAATTAATATAGGAACAATAACATATTACATTGTAAATATAAGAAAAAATAATATCTATAGCCTAATATCTAAGGCAAGGTAAACCACCTCAAATATTCTTCTAAATATAGAAAAAACTTGATACAGTTCTGATTAAGTTTTTCTTTAGAAATAATTTTCAGTAGATTAATTATATAATAACAGAAAGAGGTCTTCCATTTTTTTCGAGGAAACATCAAATTTAAGCCGCGGAATAAGTGTTTTTTAACTCTTAAAAGGAAGAGAATATTGGTCTTAAAGTTTTGTGGAAAACCTCTAAAGCTGTCACAATTAATTAATACATAGTAATATATTAATAATAAATATTAAAATAAAATTAACATGCTGCTGTCGAATCCCTTCACTCTGTAAAAAAACAAAACCCAAACCTGATTTCACGAAAACCTTTAAAAATATCATAATTAAAGCTTGAACTCAAGTCACTTATACATCGAAAAAGAAAATTGTGTCAAATTAAAGTGTACTCTGCAAAATTAGGTTCTACATATTTACATAAAAAGAAGCTGCAAAATAACATTTGAGTGTACTCGTCAATAGAATTCAATATGTTATGAAAACTTCACCATTTTTTGAGCCAGTAAGTAAGTACTGCAAAAATTTTTTTTTTTTTTTGGAATAGTAGTCAATCGATCCTACGATGCGACGGATCAACTGATTGATAGTAATTGATCAGCGCCGCCCATGAACACTTGCAATACCAAAGGAGTCACAGGCGCGTTGCCGGCCTTTTAAGAAGAAATACGCTCGTTTCTTGAAGGTTGGAATTGGAAGGTCGTATCAGTTCGGGAATACCGCTGCCGAAATATCATTCCAAAGTTTTGTTGTGCGAGGGAAAAAGTTTCACGAAAATCGCACTGACAGTTATTCATAATATTGTTTTTTTCTTTTCTAAAATATCGTCCTCCTTAGGCAAAAAGTGTATCTAACCTTTTTAATTTAGTATATAAACTGAGTTTTCTTAACATATTGCATATTTTAATTAAAGAACCAAAAAATGTATATAACACAAAACAAAATAAGTTTTAGGCTACAGAAACAGCGGGTACAGTTAGCATCATAGCAATTTAATTTTCGGAATAATTATCACAGCTTTGTGAATTTACAGTCGAAAAATCACTACTATTTTTACATTTTACAATTTACTTACTGTCATACAATTCTTTTGAAAAATATTGGCAAGAACTTTGTTTTACTTTAATTTTGATGCTGACTGTAGGTATTGCGAAAAATCATAAAAAGGAAAGAATAAAAACATTGTCTAATTTATTATGGCTACAAAACATAAAAACACATTTTATAATAACTTAAAAAAATTTGAGACGTCAGCGTGTGTTTTTGGCAGACTTCACAACAAAGAGGAGTTTCTCAATTCAACTGTATATAATATGTATGCTAAGACATGTCTCCAGCACTATATAAATATGCTTCCCATCCAAAAATAACTAATTATTATTATTTATTTATTTATAATTATTATTATTTTAATTATAGTCTAGTCACCAAAACAATTTTCTTGTACAATAAAGCCTTAATTATAAAAAACAACTAAATTAAACTTTTACTAATTATTTACGTATGGTTTAAGAGACGAAGATAATATAGTCAGTCTGGTCAAGATACGAAGTCAGGAGATTGACCTTGAATATTCAACAATATGTATAAGGAAGACTAGTTGGAACCATCAAAAATACAACTGTCTAATTTATTTAAGAACTCAGTGGTATCCATATAAGAACAACACACAAAGCCAAGATAAACTTAGAAAAAACCTAATGACAAAAATATGATAGTTTCTATCACATTTTGATCTACTTAATCGTTTTCTTCTCCAATTACATCATCAATTAAAAAGCTGTACTTGAGTTATCTATTGAAATTTATTTATATTAATAATATCCGTATTCCGTACCCGCCCCTTTTAAAACAAGGAGTTTATAAAGCTAACAATCCTTCTTTGAGCATCACAGGCTGACATCTCTATTTAGATATATAATCTGTGGTGTCTACGCGCTCTCCTTTTTCTTACCGGCCATTCTGTCTATGAGTCCCGTGATCATATCCGCGTCGACTAAACCGATGAATTTGTCCACTATGATCCCGTTTTTAATTGCTATTACTGCCGGCACCGCTTTTACCTGGAAAATTATACATAACGTTAATTTTATTTCGAACGGTTACATAATGCTGGAAAAGCCTCAATAAAATAATCAAAATATTTGAAACTAGCTGATATTTTTTTCGTCGTGGTGGCCCGGTGGTTAACACATTCAGTGCCCCCGACGCGTATGTGCGTTTCCTCGCACGCACATACGCGTCGGGGGCACTGAATGTGTTAAGGAGCCCGCTTCTCATGCATAAGAGTGTGGGTTCGAAACCTGGCAAGTACCAATGTGACTTTTTCCGAGTTATATGTACTTTCTATGATTATTTAGACACCACTGACATACGGTGAAGGTAAACATGGTGAGGAAACCTGGACTTATAATTTCTAATTAAAAATTTGAAATCGCTAACCCACATTAAGCAAGCGTGGTGATCAATGCTCTAACCTTCTCCGTATGAGAAGAGGCCTTTGCTCAGCAGTGGGCACTTATAGGCTGATAATGATGATGATGAAAAAACTACTAAGAACACCAAATCTCGTATCGAAGATCAAATTCCACGGGGAGCCACATGGTATAGCCACAGCCAGAAACTAGACACCAATATATCTAAATATTTCTAATTTCTCACCTCGAACGTATGCACCAGGTCGGCATTATCCTCTACGTCGACGACAGCCAGGTCCAAATTGTTGAGCGGCTCAATCAGCTCCTTCAGTTTCGGAGTCAGGATTTTGCAGGGCTCACACCAGTCCGCGTGGAAATTCACTATCACAGGCTTATCGCTGTTCATTACCTGGAAGTGGAATTAAAGTATTAGCAATCTGAAGTGAGAGCAGGCTGGTCACATTTGTCGAAGAACCGATGACCGTTATTTTTTTGTCAGGGGAAAATCATCAATCTTCTCCCGCCCAGGGTAAAGCGAGAAGAGAGAATGTCAGAGTCTTACAAACTAAACCTCCCCCCCCCCCCCGTTCCATTTTCTGTTTTAGGCCGATGCCGCGGTGCCTCGTTGCGCTTACCTCGCAACCCCGGCTAACTGATGACCGTTGGGGTAAGATTTGGAATGGCGAACGCGTCTGGACAACAGTACCTAATATAGAGAGCTCTTCTGCCAGTATGGAGTGACAATATCCGTAAAATATCTGGCAGTAATAGGATGTTTTCGGATAAAGATTGAGGTCAGCACCTTGCTATTTCATAGGCATTTTTAAAGGGGGTTCTCGCCCTGGATAGACGTAGTCCTCTAACTGATTAAAAACCATCGCGTTCCATCTCCTACTTAAGGTCGCCATACCTCCTGTATTGCGCTTAAACCGCATCCCCGGTTTCAAGGCCTATGTTCAGCATTCGAGGAAAACTTCTTTTTTAAATAGGTATTACTTTTCAGATTCTGATTTCGTTTTCGCTTGGATTAGTGATTCTTGAGTGATTTAAGTTTGCCGTTGACAATTATAGTATCAATCATATCTCATTACCAGTAATTCATATCAGTAGGTTATAGATTTTCTTAGATAAAATAATAGGGCCCTAAAATAAGATACTTAGTTTACGTATAAGCAGATTACAAATTAACATTAATCAATAAGGCAACACTGGTTGTTCTTCAACAAACAATTAAAGAAATAACATCGATTGTCGATGACACAGATTGATGAGGAAAAGAAAACTAAATTGACATCCAACTAAGGTATTTTAACCTTCAAAGATATTTTGCTATCCGTTATCAGTCACGTCGTGGAACTACTATTTGCTTTTATATCTCCACAGTAGGTAATCACAATTATCTTACTATGAAGATAAAAACGTTACGTGTTTGTAGTAATTTCAAGACCATTCAATGTAATGTGGTAGTATTTTACCTGTAGTTAAGAGAGCGTTTATCTAAGTGGTATAAACTTACAAAATAAAAAAAAAATTGAAACTACTGAAACGGGGTTGCGGGTCAATCGCAATAAATCCCGCGTCCCCAGCCTGAAGCGAGTGGGCTGGTTTTTATTCTAGTCTGACACACGCAATCGCTCCGCCCAGAGCGGAAAAGCGAATGGGTCCTATGCCCCTCGACAAAAAAACTCTCTAGAACAGCCAAATAAGTCAAGGTTTTAAATAAAAAAATTAAGTAACCTATCCCTGTCTCTCTATAGAAAATGAATTTAAATAAAATCAGTTCGGTAGTTTTCATTATTTTCTGACTTGATGACACTACCCGTGTGAAAAGCCGTGCGCCGTAAAAACTTCTGCCTAACTCACGGTCGCGTTTAATTACATTCAATGTTTTTGTGTCATGTATCCACTAGGTACTACCACTGCGTTGTTGGTTAAATATGCATAAAGGTACAAGGAAAAGAGTTCGATTCGATTGGACTATAACATCGCGCCTGTAACTCCTTGAAAAACTAGGCAGGAGTGTCCGTACTTAATGTAATACAGGTTTGCTCCCTTTTCTTGTGAGGGGAAATCATCAAATGACGTCTCCCGCCTTGGATGGGGTGGGAGGAAGTGTTAGACTCTTAATGACTTAAAACCCGCCCGTTTCTTCTCCTGCCCCAGGCCGAAGCCGCGGTGCCTCATTGCGCTTACCCCGCAATCCCGGCTGAACATCAGCCCTATAGGGCCCCGTCTGTGGCAGTTTTGTTCCCTATAATAATAATGTTTGACTATCTATAGGTTAATTATTAGTCGGTTAGCAAACGATTTTCGGCAGTTTTGTCATTTTCTTAAGAGATCTTAAAGAAGGGAATTCTGATTCAATGTTGAACTTTAATGGCATTATATTGATGACCTCATTGCAAACGGATGACGTCATCAAGTATTTATTTAGAGTTGTTTATATTTACACGGGTTTTCTTTGGTTGGTATAGGGAATTGTGAGACGATTTAGACAAAAAAATATTGTATATATTTCCAACTACATAGTTAAACGCGTTTCATCTGTTGCCCGCCTCCAATTAATTGTAGCGTGATGTTTTATAACTTACGCTTTCCTCGATAACCGACAAAACCAATACAAATTATTTTATTTTTTTTATTTGTTGTAGGTATAGTATAGACAGAAAATCGTGTATCTACAAATGACACACGCTTTTAGTATTATGAAATTAGTTTTATGATAATATGGTCATTGCCAATCTATACTTTCATTATTCAATTGTCACTATGCAGTTTGAGTTTTGTGGTAAACACAACATTTAAGAACAATTTAGTAATGAGATAGTTTTGATCTATTGGTAAGTAATGTTATTTATTATTTATTGTGCTAAGCTTGTATGTTTATTTATCAATTACAGAATTACTCCTATTTTTACTCCTACTTTTACTTTAACTTTTACTTTTAATTATACTTTGCTGTGCCCGACAGGGTCCATTATGATCTCATAATTTATAATTTACCACCTAAGAAACACATTGTGGAATGCAATAAATGATTGAGTATTGAGTATTGAGTATATCATTAAAAGTGAACAATCATTCAGTAGATTTTTGAAGAAATATACACAAACAATTTAAAAGTAATTTATAATGAATTATTTTTCTGCGTGGCCTTCGTCATACCGAAACTGCTGAGCAAATAAGTCATGTGTCAATCTTACATTCTAGAATTATTTTTTATAGTAACTTTTTGTGATACACAACTAAATAACGACTTACTCATTGAATTAACTGGTTCCAAGTCACAACAAGACTCTTAGTAGATGTTAATTTAATAAGGATTAACGTGAAGCAAAAAAAAAATGCTTTAAATTACGAATAATTTACAATATTAAAAAAAATTTTTAATTGTGTAAATGATGATGATCTCTTATTTTTTAACTCATAAATTTCAATTCCATACATACCTTATTGACAAATTCGTCGTTATTTTTAACTAGTATAGTCTCGTTGTGTACAAGGGAAGTAGATATAGGGTAAGCTCGGCGCAGGTTCGCCAAGCGTTTTATTGGTGACCGCAAACTTTGACATATCGCATTAGACATATTGCCTGAAACAATAAATAAAAGTTAAGCATGAAACTAGAATTTCAATACAATTAAATGTAAATTTGCAGATATTTTGACAGTTACACATTTTTTTAAACATAAAAAGCTTTATTTAATACAAAGAGCATATAATGGATTTTGAAAATGATGGGACAGAGAAATAATAATTGAATGTGGTTTGAAATTAAATTCCACAGGCTGAAACTTAGGCCTTAACAAAAGTATAAAAATATCTAAGTACTAAACTCATGTAAGCACCCATAAAGATACAGAAGCATGCATTATTACATATAATTTATTGATTTATTATTATTTTACCATACCAGCTACCTAATTATTTTTGCTAAACAAATTTTACTTATATGATATAAAATTAATGTATGATCGTAACAAAGTAAAATTAATTGCAAGCAATGTTTTATTCAACCCGTGCCTTATCTGCTCATAGTGTAAATATCCCAGCATGTTTACTATTTACTTAAACCCTTCTGATAAATAACAACAAGATCTATTTTACAATGAGTCACAAGTTAAAGTATTTTTTGTAACATTCTATGACCTCTCACCGACAACTCTCTTGTAAAATGTGTTGGTAAATGCATTACACAGCACCATTTCTGGTATTTGTAAATTTTAAAAGAAAATCTTTTTAAAATTGGTATTATTATTATTTATTGGTGCTTAAATAATGCAAAACTTTTCAAATTTTCCTAAATGCAGTGGCAATTGGCAATAGTTCAACAACAGCTGTAAACTAGTTAATAATAAATTTGAGTTTTGAGGTTCTAAAGAATAATTCAATTATTTAAGAAATGTTTAACTGTTATTTCTAAATATATTTCTCATGATAGCAAATTTTTCTACTATTTTGATTTTTGACAAAAAGTTTTCATTTTTTTAGTGTGACATACAGACAAAAAGAAAAACTTAATTTAAAGTCATAAAAAAGAAATAACATTGTATTTAGTCTCTGTGCCAGATGCTTAGATCTATAAAACCATATTGTCACAGAATTTAATGACTTTTTTTTATTGGTATAAAGATTCAAGAGCAAGATTTTTTTTTTGTAAGTAATAAATTAAACTTCTTATGGTTTGAGGATGAAACCAAGGCAGAAAGCTAGTACTAAAAAGGTACAAGATTTTGCACATATGGAATATAAAATATTGTATCTAATGGAGAAAAATCATTGACCCACTTGAAAATCTTGTTTTGTCTAGAATAATTAAAAAGATCATTGACTAAAAAACTAACAATGTCAATAGGGATGTGGAACATTCCTTATGAATGTCAATGTCAAGCTCTGTTTGACATGATGTGACATGTTTCTAGTTTATACAAACACAAACATGTTCTAATTCTGCCATAACAATCATTTTGCAGATGTCTTATAAGCTTAGATAATAGTATTTGATAGCAGCTACGTGTGGAGATACAGTAAGTATTGTCAGCAATCTAATGATAATGATTACTGTACACACCATTAATAGTATAATTATTTTTTTTGCCATAGTGATTAAAAATATTAATACTTAATTAATAGGTTAAATAATCATTACTATTTAGTATTTACCAACTATCCTTTTTATTTAATACCTAATTATTATGTACTCAACAAGATAAAAGGAACACAAAAATAAAAACATACCAAATAGAAAAATAAATAAAAAAAACAACACTACAAACTCAAATAAACTTAAAACTCACCAAAATGAAACATTAGAAGCTCCTTACTTTACGCGTCTGAACGGGTGTAAGGCATACGTGAACAAATGCGAATAGACCCCCGATAGCCGCACTAACACCCAGAAACACGAGTATCAGAAACCGCGGTACGTAGAGCTTGTCGTAAAAATTGGCACTGCTTGAACTATGCGACTCGCCTTTTGGCAATATTACCAAAACCAATGTTACGACTGAAGTTACTGCTATAGCTATTTTACCGATGATATGCCCAGTACGAACCGATACCCAACACAACATCAACGTTAGACACCATAGCATCGTCAGAAAATACAACCCCACACCGAAACTATTCATTTCGTTACAATAAACAAAGCGGATAGTCGATAATCAGTAAAAATAGTTTAATGATCATGCAGTAAGTTAGTGAAATTGTTCGTGTTAGAAGACGTTACAAATGAAAATATTTGTTAAGATAGCGCCCCAAAAAGCAGACAGCATTCGCTTATTTTATTTCTTAAATTCTATTGATAAAAACCTGAATTTATTTTATTTTTATTTTCACAAGATTACAATCACAACCACTCGCTGCTGGCACTGCCACAGTTTGACAACCAACTTATCAAATTATCAATGCAATGACGGATGACTGACATAATTATGGTCCTGTCGTTGTCGTTTAGAAACATAAAAAATGAAAAATTCTTTATTACTTTTACATACGAAATATGTGCTTGTGTATATGCTTGTATGTAAAAGTTATAAAGTTCCCTTACAGTTCGAGACGATTAATAAATAAATCACTTTTAACGGATTTTAATGTTTGACATTAAATTTACTAAAAAAATTCTTTAAAAAATGTAGAGCCGTGAAAGTGCAACATCTAAAGTATAGTAATAAAGTTTAAATAAGATTTCAATTCAGTAAATCTATTATCTCTATATTATTATAAAAGATAGTTTTAAAATATATTTTACGTTTAGTGGCAAGTCTTGCCAGTGCGGGAAGTCAGGTCAATATATTTTTACAGTGGGAATCAAGTATCTCCTACAGCGGTAAAATATTTGTTTATTGTTAAAATATTTAAAAGTTATGGTATAATTATATGAATTAGGATATAATTAATACTGTTTTTGAAGTCAACATAACAAAACTTTACAAGCTTACAACATCACATCATGGGCTTCAAAATCATTTTGACATTTATGTTGGTAGCATTGGCAACAGTGAATTTTCTAGTGCTGTGTGTTGCTGTCAATAATTAGAAAGGTAAGTGATTTTTAATAGAAAAATGTTGTTAATTTTATGATATTTGTGTATTTTCACCTAGGTTTGTTATTCAGGTATAAATTCTAACAATCGGTTTGTGGAAACTTATGAACATAACAAAGATATAACCGTAAAAATGTAACGCCATTTTCCGCTTCGGAGATCTATTATAATGTATTTTTTTTGTAATAAGTTGCCGTGACTAAGGTATTGGATTTTATTAGTTTGGTCAGTTATAAAAAAAAGTTTTCTCTTTGCCATTTGTTAAGATTGTAATGGTTCCGGGCATTGCAATATTTTGATAACTTATTCATTTCTGATGACTAATCTTTGCTAACAAGGTCCAATTTTGCGAAGGCATCTAAACGGCAGACTGCGTTTACTTTGTGAAGTTACTGACCTACTATTGATCAGTGGTAATTAGCCAGCCCTTTTGCAAAGGGTAATTACTTCATTGCCCTTTGGAAACTGTGCTATATAAAACCTCATTTGTTTTGATTTCTTCAAATCTCTTTGAGATACTGTTTAAATAATGGCACACGTATTATTCGTATGTTTTGTCTTTCTATTTTCAACTATTATACATTATTTTTATTGGATTTTAAATATACATCTACCTCTTCTCTGCAACAACTTAATATGACTTTAAATTTTGATAATAGATTGATTTTATTGAAACTTTCTTAGCTGTTAACATGCTTTCTAATTCATTTAATATACAACTTAAAATAAGTGTGTTTTGTGAATATAAATATGAATAAAAATAAATAGTGTTTTTAATAATTCATTTCGCTTAGATTGGAATGTATTACCAGCTGTAACTAATTCAAGTAACAATTAATTATTAACTTACTAATGTTTAAAGAACAACATTTTAATATTTCTTTAATCTGGATTAGAGATTCCTGAGCTTAAAACAAAGGCATCAAAGAAAGAAAAACCTTTAGAAAAATATATCAACATAAAGTCTTCAAATTTAGTGTCAATATTATGAATAATTAATTGTTATGAAAATTGGTTTTCCTTTTTTAGACCAATAAGTCTTATTATCAAATATTTAAACAAATTATTCACAATTAAATCTAAACAGCTAAAACAAGTCAGGTTCACATTGTTTTATGATGTCATGTGGGGTGTGACATGTGTCACTATGTTACTTTTATTATAAAGTTCATTTATTATCTATGGTAATTATTTTATCTGACAGACTTAATAAATAGTATGTATAACACTGCTGTAAAACTAAATCTTTTATTTGTGTTATCTTAATCTGTGCTTGTGAAACTGTAGGCAGCTGTAATATCATTCCTGATTAATTTAAAATAAAGTAGACTATATAGCAGTACAGTGCAGGTTTGGTTTCACAATAAGGAGTTTGAGTTTGCATTTATGCTTGGCTACCTCCTTAAGAAGGCACCAAAATGTGAAGCAAGACAAAGTTCAATATGGCCAGACCAACCACTAAACTAGTTGAGTATCTCGTCAAAAAATTACATGCCTAAGCCGAAAACATAATACTTACTAGACTACACTAATAAAAAATTAGACATTTTGACACTGACACTGGTGAAAACTGACTGGATCTGTTTAATTATCTTAATTATAATTATATATTTAATATACATTTTTATTAAGAAGTAAATGCATTTCCTACTACGCCATTGGTAGAGGATAGACACTTGAACATAAATCTCTCTCAATTACCCTCAAAAAAATGAAATAAAAACAATTTATTTTGTTTTGACATACATAACAAGAAACCTGTCTATTAAATTATACATACACTTGACCTTGACACAGCACTTTCTGCTTAGAGTTATATATTGAATCAATTTTGTACAAAGCCACTGAATATTGTTTTCAAAATATTTCAGTTTTACATTTGTCTGTAACATTGTTTCATCTTTGTAATTAATATAAACAAAACAATTATTCTTTGTTTTTAATTCCTGATATAATTTTATTGTAGTTCTGACAAAGCATTCCTTGTTTAGGTATTGTCTTTTTCTTGTAATTCATTGTTAATTTTGTTAGTACATACATAATACTCAAGAAATGTATTAATAACTTTCCGTATGACATATTAAATTCATTTAATATAATTATTTAAGAACACATCATGTGTGTTAGTGTTGTATATAGTAGAAACATGTTATAGTTTGTTCCATAATTAGAGACAACGATTTGACATTTCGAGTGTTGCAAGTTTTTTCTATTTCATAAATAGTGAAGTCCCGCGACCGGTATTGACCGAAAGACCGAAATTAAATTCTGGACCTCGTGCATTTCAAAAGCTTTATTATTTTTAGCTACTTTCCCTGGTACCTTCATGTGCTCATACTAATTCAGTCGGGTTAAAATTACAATGGTAAGGAGGCAAAAGTTAAATAGTGTCCCCCTTTTAGCAGCCATCAGTCTACGACGTATCATTCATAATTACTCTTCTCTTTCCGGGAAATCTCCAACAGCTCGGGTTTCAGCATAGGTTCCTCAAATATAATGTTTTTCTTTTAGCCAGTCTTGGATTTCGCATTTTTATTTTAAATTATTATTATTAATTCGACTAAACTATAAAAGAGATCACCGCAACGTTGTTTTATTTTGCTCAGGATATTTTATAAAAAACAGTATCGGTATTTTATTTAAAACATCGTACTCGGGCCCATCACTATGTTGAAAAATCTGGCCACATTATTTTGTAGTTTGACATTTGCTGTTGTCAAATTGTTGTCTCTAATTATGGAACGAACTATACAAGTATCATCTCTTTGGTAAATCCAAGTACTGGTCCCGTAACCTACATTTTGTTCATAGCTTCATATAGAAGATAACTTCTTTATGGTCCTATCATGATTGCGGACAGACCACAGCACTGCAATGTGTATTAAATGAAAATACATTGCACTGACCCAGTTTCTTTTTATTAAGAATTTATAGCATTATGTGCTTTGTAGCTTTTGTGGGTACTTTGTGTGAGTTCTTTGTTTATATATTATGAATGTAGTGTCTGTTATAATAATATGATAAACAAAATGATCGTTTGTAGGGCTATTAAAAAGTTTAAACTTAGTTCTTTTCATTGAAGTGTTATTTAAATATTTACTTAAATTCACCCCCTTTGTGAATTGAATGGCTGTGATTAAATCATAATAATTAAATTGTTTTAAATAGGTGTCCTCTAGATACTATAGTAGTGCATATTAAATATTATTGCATTCATTTATCGATCAAGTGTTTACGTGGCGTGATAAACCTTGTCTGTTTTATGAGTAATTACTTGTATATAATTCTTTTTTAAAAGATTACTAGTACCTAATTGTTTACAGAAAAATATTATTTTTATTAATAAGTATTAAGCATCTAATTTCATATAGCCTTTGAACAAGAAATATTTGTTCATAAACCTTCTATAAAAATTGCTTATAAATGTATGCAAAGTGAAAAAAGGCCTAGATACAGACATTGGTACAGTTTGCCGTAATAAAAACTACCTGTTTGGAGTAGCGCCAATGTTTTTGTTACGCGGCCATCACTGAGTCATAACCTAGCATATTACCTAACTGCAGCACTAGTTTTGATGTGAAGCAAATTACAAATTTAAAAATACTAGAACATTAAATGCGCCTTGACTTTGTTTTATATATTTTCCACACTAAATAGGTTAATGCTTGGATAACTAAAATATAATTTGCCTGGGTGAAGCTATTATAGAGTTCATAGTTGCAGGGTTCCAAATTAACATGAAATGTACCGTGCAAAAGATAGACACACAAAAACGTCCGTGTCACAATTGATTGTGCATTCGTTTCGGAAACTTCAGACTCGAGTTAGACAGCAGAGATTTAGGATCAAAATATCTGCTATCTATAGTAGGTATGAGTAGAGTATCCGGTAAGGATGACGGAGTTTAAATTGTTGACGTTTCTTCATAAACTTAATTTTATGGTTATTATGAGAGTAGATTACATACGTAAATTATTTTTAGTCAATAGAGTACCTACAGATGTTGCTTATCGGAAGTACTTTATAATTGAATAAGCCTCGCCCTTTTCCGCGTAGTTTTTAACCTGTGTCTCAAATCCAAACTCACATTGTTTTCGTACAGACAAGGGAAAGACTTTCTATTTTATAAGATTACTAAAAATAATAAGTAATCAAAGATATATTTTTCTGTCCGAGCCACAGACTCAATAGACTATATTGTTTTATTCAAGACACTTGTCCATTTGTGTCTGATATTCATTGAACCGTAAGACGGAACAATGTGCATAAAGGTACGCGGCGCCTGCGCAGGGCTGTGTTGCCCTCGCGAGAGTTCACGGTCGCACGCGCAGCGCCCGACGACAATGACAGACCTGTCTTATGTCAATGTGACAAGTGTAACGTTCCTTTTTGAATAAAATTAGGGAATAAATTAAGTTTAAGGCCTTTTTAATCGTATATAAGAGTAGCTTGTATTTTATTACATTATGCGATATTGTTTTGTTTTAAAACTTACAGTCTAGTCAGTAAAAGTGGTGTGTGAGTTTCGTAAACCGATTTTTGTAACAGGCTCGTATCATGCATCAATAAAGAAACAAATAAAGCAGTTTAATAGCGCATTTACTTAAAATGATTGATTTGATTTGAAGTCGTGGTGGCCTGGAGGTTAAGGAGCCCGCTTCTCATGCATGAGGGCGTGGGTTCGAAACCTGGCAAGTACCAATGTGACTTTTTCAGAGTTATATGTACTTTCTATGATTATTTAGACACCATTGACATACGGTGAAGATAAACATCGTGAGGAAACCTGGACTTATAATTTCCAATTATAAGTTTGAAATCGCCAACCCGCATTGAGCAAGCGTGGTGATTAATGCTCTAACCTTCTCCGTATGAGAAGAGGCCTTTGCTCAGCAGTGGGCACTTAGAGGCTGATGATGATGATGATGATGATGAGTAAATCAATATTCAATGAAAAAAAAAAAGGAAGAATGTAACTATTTGTCAGTTAACTCTAT